GGGGGTGGAAAGTCAATCCTGGCTTTCAGAGCATAGTGATCAGACCATGGCACCTTCATCGAAGGAGACATGATCACATCTATACCTACGCCAAAGATCAAATCCAGCGTGTGGCCTGCTTGATGTGTGGGGCCCGAAACAAACTGGGAGAGCCCTAGTGTCGCCATGGAAGACACCAGGTCCAGAGCCTGTGAGGAGGGAGTGGCATCAGCATGGATGTTGAAGTCCCCCAATACCAATAGGTTAGGGAACTCCAAGGCCCAGCCGGCCACCGCCTCCAATAGGCCTGACAGGGTGGCTGCTGGTGCGCTAGGTGGCCGGTACACCAGCCAGACAGCCAAGCTCACCTCAGAGCCCCACACTAGGCCAACACATTCAATGCCGGGGATCGATGGCGATGGTAGAGCCCTGAAAGAACAATCTTCCCGGATTAATAATGCCACCCCTCCCCCCCGGCCCACAGTCCGCGACTGGTGGAGGACGGAGAAACCCGGAGGCGCCATCTCTCGTAAGGTAACTGTTTCTCCTTCGCGCACCCAGGTCTCCATCACACAAGCCAGGTCGACTCCCTGCGAGGTAAAGAAATCTCGCAGAGTGGCAGTTTTGTTGCCTATAGACCTGGCATTGCACAGCACCAGTGACGGAGGTGAGTAATCCTTGCTCACCCTACCCTCGTCCCTCGGGATGGGGCGCAGATTGGAAGGGGTACGAGCATATCCGTATCTCGATCCCCTTCGCCTATAACATCTGCCCCCACCGCCATACCTCCCTCGCCCCTCCACGGTAGCAATCCCAAGCCTCAGACTAGCCTCCATTTACAAAATAGAAAAACAAACCAAACCAAAAACAATTATACCTAAACAAAACCAATCCCCACCCCAAACCACAATAAAACGGAACAAAATAAAAATACATAGATAAAAACCACTGTTCACGGTGGTACAACAAAGTAAAAAGTAAAAACACCTTTAAAACACTTTAAAATATATAAAAACATTTTTAACATTTGCTGCAGCAGCACCAGTGTCCTTAAAACTGTAGCGGAGGTGAGTCCAGGCCCTGCCCCCTAGGCCTGATGGAGTTAGCCTGAGGAGGGAGCGGCCTTCCCCCACACTCACGGTGCACCACCAGCAGCAGCGGTGTCCCAGTGCCTCAATGAGGCCTCTTAAAGCTGTGGCGAAGGTGAGTCTAGGCCCCGCTCCCTAGGCCTGGTGGAATTAGCCTGAGGAGGGAGCGGCCTTCCCCAACACTCACGGTGCAGCAGCAGCAGCGGTGTCCCAGTGCCTCAATGAGGCCTCTTAAAGCTGTGGCGAAGGTGAGTCTGGGCCCCGCTCCCTAGGCCTGGTGGAGTTAGCCTGAGGAGGGAGCGGCCTTCCCCCACACTCACGGTGCACCAGCAGCAGCGGTATTGAATGTCTGGGACACAGGCAAAGTCCAGGCACTCCCAACCACTGCTGGACCATCACTCATGTGCACTTTTGTCTTGAGGGATCAGAGCCTGGGTGCATGGGATGGAGCAGACAGCCACTGCCCACAACAGTGTTTTGCTACAGGGGGAAGGATGATCATGGGCATTGCTGCAAGAGTCCGAAATATGAGAAGTAGCTGAGTATCCAGGTGGCACTGCTGGGTGGTATCCAGCTCCCTTGTTCCATCAGTGCAAGGATTTCTGATCGACTGCTTCAAGCCCAGACTGTGTGCTCAGAAATATTTTTCTGTATTTTGTAAACACAAGATTTTTACCTGTGTTCATATTGCTGCTGCGTGGAATAACACATGTATCTGACCTTTGGGGTTTGTAAGTAAAGCATTTAAACTTGCTAATGGTGTGGTCTGTTCATTGTGAGAAGGGTAGAGAGGTGAAGCGTTGTAAGCAGATTAAACGGGACATTTAAAAGGTCTAGCAGCCTGTGTTCCTCACACTTCACCGTGCTGCATGATTCTGTGATTTTGATCTCTGCTGAGGGCTCTCTCTTGCAGGAGAGTGTGTTTAGCCCCATGTTTTGGATATAGGGATCCAGCCAATTCTTTTATTAATTATCCCACACGGGATATCCATCTATATCAAGTTTTCCCCCCACACAATATGAGCCAAAGTGATCAAGGCTATTCAGTGGGTCACAGGTGGAGAACAGGAACAAACAAGGTACACTAGGCCAGAGGTGCCTTTATGATACACTGAGCAGATGTGCCCTCAGATGGCTCTTTGGTCAGGACAGACATCTTCAGGCAGAAGAATTTTCAAAGGAAAGCATCTCAGGAGGCACCTTCAGCCAGACTTGGCAACCTCTGCAGCATCACAGGGACAAAGGGAGAAGCATTCTTGTTAATAAGCGACACACGATCGTTAAGTGTTAACCTGGGGAAAACTACGGAATAAACTCCTTCCCACACCATACCTTTAAAGCACAAGACTTCTCTGCACAGTTTCTGGGAACTGTAGTTTACCCCCCATGGCGCTTTACTTTCCAGGAGCCTTAAGCTATAGTTCCCAGGATTCTCGGGGGAGGGAAGCCATGTGCTTCCAAGCTGTGGATGTTGACAAGCTTTAATAACTTTTACTGTTGATTATTTTAAATGGTGTTTAACTGAACCAGTTGGACCAATTATTTTTATTTTTATTTATTAAATTTTTGTGCTGCCCTTCTTTTGTAGGTCTTAGGGCAGTTCACATCATAAAATTGCAATATAGGTAAAGGTAAAGGGACCCCCGACCATTAGGTCCAGTCGTGACCTACTCTGGGGTTGCGGCGCTCATCTCGCTTTATTGGCCGAGGGAGCCGGCGTACAGCTTCCGGGTCATGTGGCCAGAATGACTAAGCGTCTTCTGGAGAACCAGAGCAGCGCATGGAAATGCCGTTTACCTTCCCACCGGAGCGGTACCTATTTATCTACTTGCATTTTGAAGTGCTTTCGAACTGCTAGGTAGGCAGGAGCAGGGACCAAGCAGCGGGAGCTCACCCCGTCGCGGGGATTCGAACCGCCGACCTTCGAATCGGCAAGTCCTAGGCTCTGTGGTTTAACCCACACCGCCACCCGTGAACAACAACAAATCAATAATTCACCCCCCTTCCACAACACATTTACAGTGAGGGGGGAAAGTATTTGATCCCCTGCTAAATTTGCCCGTTTGCCCTCTGATGAAGAAATGACCAGTCATAATTTTAATGGTAGGTTTTCTGTAGCTGTGAGAGACAGAATAACAACAGGAAAACCCCCAGAAACCCAGAAGACAAAAGTCAGAGATTGATGTGCATTATAATGAGTGAAATAAGTATTTGATCCCTTTGCAAAAGATGACTTAGTACTTGGTGGCAAAACCCTTGTTGGCAATTACAGAGCTCAGACGTTTCTTGTAGGTGGCCACCAGGTTTGCACACATCTCAGGAGGTATTTTGTCCCACTCTTCTTTGCAGATCCTCTCCAAGTCAGTAAGAGTTCGAGGCTGATGTGTACAGTAAGTGGGCATTGGGTGTCCATCTGCCAAAGGCCGGGTTGAAGAGGAGCGTTTTTGCCTAGTGCCAAAAGGTGTCGAGTGAGGCTTCCTGGGGAGATCATTCCACAAGTGGGGAGCCACTACAGAAAAGACCTGTTGCCACCCTCCAGACCCCTCATGGAGGAGGCACACAAAGAAGGGCCTCAGAAGATGATCTCAGGGTCCAGGTAGGTTCATATGGAAAGAGGTGGTCCTTGAGGTATTACGGTTCTGAGCCATTTAAGGTCCACATCAGTGAAAGTTGGCTTCCTATGTTTATAAAGCAGGCATACCAGAAGCCCTTCTTATAACAGCAATCATCTCTGCCACCAAACAGCAATGATAAGCTATTCATTCGTGGAGGAAAAAATTAATTTAAGATTACCCATAGATTATATGGGAGGTAACAAATGGGGATAATCGAAGGAGAATTTAATTGGTTTGAAGAACGAGCTGTTGGGAAAATTAATGGGTGGTAAATGGAAGAGGATTTGGGATAATCTGGGATTATTGATTGTTTATTGAGTATTATGACATATTCTTAATGAATAAGATAACCTAAACTGTTTATCTGTGGTGGCTTGGATAGGAAAATCACTTGGCTTGCATTCTACGACATTTAAAACCTGTGTATGAATATATGCATATAGCATATATTTAAAGCTTATGGAAATGTGTGTCTATGAACCCTTGTCCTAAATATTCTAATTTCCAGTGACAACCCCTTTTCTGAGTGGTGGAAGGAGCAGTCAAAAGGCCTCGTGCTTGAGGCCTCGGGTGCATGTTTAGAACATATAAAAGTAAAGGCACCTTTCTCAACCTGTCTATAGAGTCAGACTGTGGGCTGATTTTGCCCAATACTCTCTGCTCTGACTGGCAACCACATTTTGATGTCTTAGGCAAAGTTTTTTCCAGGCGTCGCTAAATCCTTCAAGCTACAGGTCTCAGGCACTGACCTTGGAACCTCATGCATTCAAACCATTTGCTGTACCGCTCAGCTCTCATGATGTGTTCCTGGATGAGGAGGGCCTGGCGAGATTCACATCTGATTGCCTATGACCACTTGACCTGAGAAGCAAGGCTTGGTGGGCATCGTCGCTCCTTGTCGAGCCAAGAGATTTGCCCGGTGCGGCAGAGGAACTTTAACACCCCAATGTCCCGAGTGCAAATTGACCCCGGTCCAGTTGAGCTGCAACGCTCTTTTGCCCTTGATGATTTGGAGAGCAAAAGGCAGGAGGAGGGAGGGCCTTGTCCCCGGCAGTGGTTCAGCCATGCCTTGTGGAGTTCTGCAGCATCGACAGGACTCCCGAGGCTGATTCAAAGTCCCAGCCTCCTCCTGCCGGCTCTCGGTTACGTATGCCTTGAAGCCGGTGCTCCTAACTTCAGCCTATTGCTCATCCCCACTGTAGATCCATCCAGAAGGGCCTCTCGTTCCTGGAAAGACGGAGCCTGTCTGCTTTCCTGCACCAAGGCTGAAGCATTTTTAATCGGGACGAGCAAAGGCAGCTGGCTCCCCTCCGCGCAGATGGATTTCATCGCCGGAGCCATTGGAGGTAATAAATAAATAAGCCACCCAGCAGCCCGCTGATGAAGAGAGACAGCTGTGTTTCCTTGCTGTTAACTTTCAGGCAGGTCCCCCACGCCGGAGGGAGAGGGCGAATGACCTTCAGAGCCCCCAAGGCGGAGGTTTTAGTGGACGCGAGTTCAGCGTGCGTAGGGGCACTTAGTGGAACTCAAAGCTGGCGGCGTCATTAATTCCAGGAACCATTGCAAATCGGATATTATTTCCGTACGATTGCATATACGTGGTGAGCCCATAGAGAAAGGCAAAGACAAGGAGGGATCAGTCGCAGCCGCAGGTGTGAATCGAAAGAGACTGATGGGGGAATTGAAGCAGAATCTCAAAGGGGCAGGAACTTAAACGTATGCCTGTGTTAATGTCTAGAGTGCCATCTTATGCATGAGGCCCCTTGTGCAGCACCTGTATGACAGGTCCCTGCCTCTAGGGGCTTACAATCTAAATGAGATACACAAGGAAACAACAAAGGAGGTGGGAAATGGAAGCAAGGAACTAGGGCAGGGGAGACGACATGGTTATTTCAAATACATGTACTAGGGCAGGATGAAGGATGTGGAGTAGGATTGGGATCCCCAACATAGTGCCCATGGGCACCATGGCATTCTCTGATAGTCTCCTTGGTGCCAGCCAAGGTTGCTGCCCCTCCAGATATTTCCCCCCTGTTTTTGTCTTTTGGGAGGGTTGTTTAGTTGTGGGGGAATGCCTGTTTTGTGTTTTATTTGTTTTGGGTGTTTATAGGTGTTTTGCAATTTGCTGGGGGTTTTTTTGGGTGGAGTTTCTCAGCAACTCCAGATTTCTTCTGTGCAATGGGTATTTTGTGGTGCTCATGCCAGTTTCTTAGGTTTCCAAATGTGCCCTGGGACATATGGACTAGGGGGATGAAGGAAAGGCAATTCCAGAGAGAAAAGGAAAAGGGAAGCAAGGGAGCTGGTGATGGTGGGACAAAGCAGGGATGAGATTAGTCTACACTGGTGAACAGCAGCTGTCCAGGATTTCGGGCTGGATTTCTTCCCACATCCACCTGGGGATGCTGGGAACTGAACCAGGGACCTTCTGCTTGACACTATACCAGTGAGCTACAACTCTTCACAGATGGACCATCTCGTAATAGATTAAGGTTACCATACCTCCCCGTTTCCCGGGGAAAAGTCCCTGGATTTACAAACCAGTCCCCATACAAAATCCATGGAAGTTGAAAAGTGTCCCCGGATTCATTGAAAAAAATCTGGTAACCTTATAATAGATGTCCCATGCATGCAAGTTGCAGGGATCCACAGTGCCAAAACATCATGCAATGAGAACATCCCGGGGTTCCCTAAGGCATGTTGCCCATTAGTCTCTTGTTTTATCTCTTCCCACCCCAACTTTAACATCAGCTCCAAAGGAGGGCCCAGGCAACAACCCCATAATTTCCGTGCACACTTGGCAAAAGGCAAAGGCCATCTGGTCAGGTCTGGCGTGTGCACTCTGAAATCGTGCACGCCTTTCCGAAGAAGGAACCTGTGGACATTTGCTACACGCCAGGTTTTACTGTGTTTAGTAATGCCACACAGATGTGCATTCAACAAACAAATATTGCTGAGATTTGTTCTGGCTTGTCCTGGTGAAGTCTAGCTCTGATATAAGCAGTTTGGCAAGAGGCCAAGGCCTGATCTTGTTACTTGTAAGATTGCACAAGGCAAAAAAAAAAAGTGTTTGGTGACTGTGATTCTGAAGAACTAGTGAAATGTGCGCGCGTCATCTTTACTAGAGAGGGTTAGATGAGCATGGCATATGGCTGCAGACTCAGTGTGTTATTGATTTACCTGTGCCAGTTCCTGATCTTAATTTTGGCAGCTGCCCTTAGCTATTTGCTCCAGGTGGTTATTTCTGTCCATTGAGAGATTATGGATTTAGAGTTGATTGACACCCATGTCCTGAAGGATCACACAGGGCGGTGCTCCTGGGATGGTGCCATTCAGAATACAAGAAGGGAATTAAGAGCACCTATTTGCATGACATGGCTTTCCCCGGCCCAGTGGCCTCCAAACATTTTGGACTACAACACCCATCATCCCCAGCCAGCATGACCAAAAGTCAAGGGTGATGGGAGATCCAATCCAAACCTTCTGGCATTCAACAGGTTTGAGAAGGATACCGTAGGGAAAGCCTAAATTGCCTTCAGGACTCTCTTGTGCTATTTATGCTAGTATAGAATACTGTATCTTTTAAAATGCAGTTGAATCTGCCTTTAAAAAATCCCCAGCAGTAAAAATAAAAACCCCAACCTAATGCTATGTCTGAAAACAGCCTAACAGTTCTACATTTAGATAGCAAGGATAGCAATTTTTTTTTAAGGGAATTAAAGAGAAATCTGGCAAACTGAAGTTAAGATTGGAAGAGACTGAGAAAGTGGGAGAAACCAAAACTGACAGATCTCAGACCCTCCAAGTGTCCCTATTTTCCAGGGACAGTCCCGGATTCACACAAGCTGTCCTGGTTTCTAATTTGATCCTGGAATGTCCCACTTTTCTTTAGGTCATGGGTAGGCAAACTAAGGCCTGGGGACCGGATCCAGCCCAATTGCCTTCTAAATCTGGCCCACGGATGGTCCGAGAATCAACATGTTTTTACATGAGTAGAGTGTGTCCTTTTATTTAAAATGCATCTCTGGGTTATTTGTGGGGCATAGGAATTGGTTCATTCCCCCCCCCAAAAAATATAGTCTGGCCCCCCACAAGGTCTGAGGAACAGTGGACCGGCCCCCTACTGAAAAAGTTTGCTGACCCTGCTTTAGGTCATCCCTATTTTCATCAGAGAAATGTTGGAGGGTATGCGTAAGTTATACAACCTCCGAGCCAAGGAGATAAGCAACTATACAACCTTTGGATGGTTACCTGTCATGGATGCTTTAGCTGAGTTTCCTGCATTGCAGGGGGCTTGACTAGATGATCCTTGGGGTCCCTTCCAACTCTACAAATCTACAATTTGATTCTATGTGATCTGGCCCTCTTCTATTCAGGAAGCACTTGAAGGTCTGCATGGTTTTTATTCTTATTCTTTCCTGTTTCCAGACCTGGTATACAAGCTGATATCCCTAAGCTCCCAGATCCTAGGACTAGACGCATGCCTCCACAGCCTAACTCGCAGGGATGTTGTGATAATAATGAGATTAGGATATGAATTATAATACATCCTGAGCTTTTGATGAAGGTGTAAAGCCAGTCTTAAGTAATTAGAGAAGCTCTATGCATGAACATGCTCTTCCTGTTGGGACACTGAACATAGTTTGAAGAATGGGAGGAGGCTCAATGAGTGTGAGAACCTCCTCTGTAACTTGCTTTGTGTAATGATTAATGTACCTGCAGGCTTCCATCCAAATTGAGAAAAAAGAACAAGCTAGCTGCGGTTTAAACCAGCAACTTGGGTGGAAGCTGGTTTTGGGGAAAACACATCAAAATGTGGTGCTTCGTTAAAAAAAAAAGAGGGCAAGATACATACAGAGCAGACATCAGACTGTGTCTAAAATTATGCGGCAACTCACTAGATACAGAATAAATAGGAGTGTGTACACAGTCAAAAAATTAAAAGATGCCTGCTTCTTGGGAGAAAAGCAATGACAAACCTAGACAGCATCTTAAAAAGCAGAGACATCACCTCGCTAACAAAGGTCCGTATAGTTAAAGCTATGGTTTTCCCAGTAGTGATGTATGGAAGTGAGAGCTGGACCATACACTCCCATGTATGGAAGTGAGAGCTGGACCATAAAGAAGGCTGGTTGCCGAAGAATTGATGCTTTTGAATTATAGTGCTGGAGGAGACTCTTGAGAGTCCCATGGACTGCAAGAAGACCAAACCTATCCATTCTGAAGGAAATCAGCCCTGAGCCACTGGAAGGACAGATCCTGAAGCTGAGGCTCCAACACTTTGGCCACCTCATGAGAAGAGAAGACTCCCTGGAAAAGACCCTGATGTTGGGAAAAATGGAGGGCACAAGGAGAAGGGGATGACAGAGGACGAGATGGTTGGATAGTGTTCTCGAAGCTACCAGCATGAGTTTGACCAAACTGCGGGAGGCAGTGGAAGACAGGAGTGCCTGGCGTGCTCTGGTCCATGGGGTCACGAAGAGTCGGACACGACTAAATGACTAAACAACAACAACAACACAGTCAAAGTAAGATTACTCAAATAGCAAATAATTTTGACTGCACCACAGGCAGGGTAGGGGTGATTACATGACTCCACCCTAAACCAGACACATCTTTTTTTTCTTAACCTTGTGATTTATTATAGATAAAATGTTTCTTGTATATTGGGGAGCAGTAGAAACTAGTGAGAATCTGGTGCTGCCTGATAAGCTGTTGGCCAATGTTACAAGAAAAAACTGCTCCTTTTCTCTTATGGGGTACCCAAGAGCCCGTATAGAGTCCTTATGTAGGTTCTCTATCAGTAGGAGAAAATAACAGAGAATATTGAGAAGCAAAGCAGCTAGTAAGCCTGATCTTTATTGATCTGTTGCAACAGGGTGCTCACACCCCCCCATGCACACAGGAGGGAGGAGGAACCCAGAACAATGGTGTGCAAGCTCTTATATAGACTTTTGAAATTGCCACCCTGTAGCTCAAGACTACCTCCCAATACATCATACATACATCACAGAAGGGGCAGTCTACAGCAGAATCCTGTCTGGCAGGAAACCTGTTGATGGGTTTACCTGGAGAGCCTGGCCATTCTTTTGTGATGATAAATACTTAATTCCTGAGTCTAGGTCACAGGCTCACCCTATTCATACACAAATGTGCCCTTAAAGCAAGATTTGTGAGCACAGAGACAATGGGGAGGCTTTTCCCATTTTCATCCAAACTGCAGAGAAATATTTGAGGTCACTGAAAGTGTCAAAATTGCTTTAGGACTGTTTTCCTGTACTGTTTCAGACATGTGGTTTATATATTTATGTATGTGTTTGCCTGGTACATTTATGAACATTTATTTTATATCTTAGACCTTAAAATTCTCATAACACCAAGAACAGCTGAGAACAGACCAAAGGAACCTTGGAAAACCATCCCAAGCTCTTAATTTGACCTAACCATTAGCTTCTATCAATGGCAGCCAAGAGCTGCATGCCTGAATGAGACCTTTCTGCAGATTTTGCCTTCTCTGTGTGGTGTATTCAGTATTTTGCTTGTGTAGGTTGGGCTGTGCAAACAGCACAAGGGACTGGCTCGAGCTGTCTCAGTTCTGCTTACAGACTGTGTGGGTATCCGGAGACTCACTTTGGAGGGGAGGAGGGGCACAGCGGAGGGGGGAGGTCGGTGCAGTGCAGGTGCGCTGGTGGAGTCCTGCCACTGCAGCCACACTGTGCTGGCCTTCCCATTACCTCGCCTCTCCTGGTGAGCAGCAACAACACAACTGCTGAGAACTTAGCACTGCACCTCCATCCCTCATTGGCCGAGCTTCATCCGACTCATGTCAAAGAAGAGGATCAGGGAAACACACTTGATTGTGTGTTGCAGTTTTGAAAATTGTGTTGCTGTCCCCTCCCGGGTAGAATAGAGTGCCATTATTTATTCTCCTTTCCCAATAATGCAGTGTGTTCTGTAATATGACATAGATGCAATAATGGGGAGATAGTGGTGGATTTAGGTAAGGTAAAGGTAAAGGTGGGACGCGGATGGCGCTGTGGGTTAAACCACAGAGCCTAGGACTTGCCGATCAGAAGGTCGGCGGTTCGAATCCCCGCAACGGGGTGAACTCCCATTGCTCAGTCCCTGCTCCTGCCAACCTAGCAGTTCGAAAGCACGCCAAAGTGCAAGTAGATAAATAGGTACCGCTCCGGCGGGAAGGTAAACGGCATTTCCATTCACTGCTCTGGTTCGCCAGAAGCAGCTTACTCATGCTGGCCACATGACCCGGAAGCTGTACGCCGGCTCCCTCGACCAATAAAGCGAGATGAGCGCCGCAACCCCAGAGTCGGTCACGACTGGACCTAATGGTCAGGGGTCCCTTTACCTTAAAGGTAAAGGTAAAGGACTCCTGTACGGTTAAGTCCAGTCAAAGGCGACCATGGGGGGCAATGCTCATCTCGCTTTCAGGCCGAGGGAGCCAGCATTTGTCTACAGCTAGCTTTCCAGGTCATGTGGCCATAATGACTAAACCGGCTCCTGTGCAACGGGACACTGTGTCAGAAGCCAGAGCGCACGGAAATGCGGTTTACCTTCCCACCACAGCGGTATCTATTTTTCTACTTGCACTGGCATGCTTTAAAACTGCTAGGTTGGCAGAAGCTAGGACAGAGCAACAGGAGCTCACCCTGTCCCAGGGATTCAAACTGCCAACCTTCTGATCGGCAAGCCCAAGAGGCTCAGTGGTTTAGACGCATCATTCCCCTTTATTAGCTGTTGTGTGGCGCTTCCCCAGTGTTTCGGCATTATTGCCGTCAGGAGGGACATTCTTGCACCGTAGCACAACAGACATGGGGCAATAAAATAAAATACGTCAGAACAAGTTGCAGGATTTTAGCAGGAAGTTACGAGGCTGGCACTGATTGGAAACAAAGCAGTATGCCCACCCTGAAACTTTTGCCGGTGGTGCAAACAACGTTGGTGACTGCCCTGCTTCTTGAGTCTTGAGACCTCTGCCCCAATATCACCTTGAGTTCAAATAATCATGGCACCATGAGTAATAGAGCCAAGTGGAGAGACCGGGAGAGGAAATGAGGGAGAGGACCACGCCTGTGCTCTCCGTACGGCTTACCCAGAGCAGACTGGCATGTGAGCCCACACAGAACTCAATACAGTGGTGCCCCGCAAGAAGAATGCTCGCAAGACGAAAAACTCGCTAGACGAAAGAGTTTTCCGTTTTTTGAGTCGTTCCGCAAGACGAATTTCCCTATGGGCTTGCTTCGCAAGACAAAACGTCTTGCGAGTTCTTGCGAGTTTGTTTCCTTTTTCTTAAAGCCGCTAAGCTGCTAAGCTGTTAATAGCCGCTAAGCCACTAAGCTGTTAATAGCCGCTAAGCCGCTAATAGCCGTGCTTCGCAAGACGAAAAAACCGCAAGACGAAGAGACTCGCGGAACGGATTAATTTCGTCTTGCGAGGCACCACTGTAAAGATCTTAGTTCTAATCTAAAGCCTGCAAGTGCTTTGTCTTAGTGAAACAATCATGAATGCACAATGAACAGGACGTCCGGAAGGACCCCATGTAAGACTTGCTTCAGAGTAAACACGCTTAGGCTCATGCTGTAAATAGAATTCCTTCTGAGCAGTGGAGAAGTTTCATTCACTGGGGCTGAGGAAGGCCTGCCAGCCTCCCATTGTGCCTGTTTGTTTTGCTTCTCCAGCTGTGGCAGCAGCTTTGAGCTTCCATCTCCCCAAGACTATTTTAGGCCCTAGACGCGTCTATGGGTTGCTATATCTGGAGTGTGGAAATCCCTGGAGAATGCTAAATCCATGTTTTTACTGCTGCTCTTGGAGCACTCGCAAAGGTCAGTTGGTGTCCAGAAGGGCTCTGTTGATGAGTCTGGCTTGGGAGATTATTCCTTTGCTTTGCCTCAGCATCAACAGTGTCACACTGGGACTGTGTTCTCTCTGTCTCTCTAAGAGCAAACTCCGTGCTTCTGCTGCGTCGACAGGGCTGGACCCGAAAGAAGGCCACTGTTAAGGGAAGAGAGAGGTAAGTATCAACACATTTGGATGAATCCCAAGATATGCAGAAGTAGGTGGGGAGCAGCCAAGGGGACAACTCCACCCCACAAACAGCCCAATGAGGATTGAGCATGTTCAGTGGTCACCTAGGAACAACTAGGGTGGAAGCAGGCATTGCATTACTTTAGCAAGATCCTAATACCTTATAGTTCTGGCCCGTGGACTGGGTAGAGCCCTGAACAGCTTCAGGCACCTACCTTTGGTGACCCAATAATGTATGCAAAGTACCACAAAGCACATGAGTGCGGACTGTGCATTTGGAAGTGCAGGTTAATGTGAACTGCAAGCACTATGTTGCATATCGCCCCAATCTCCCGAGTGGTGGGAGATTCCAGGGGTTCCTAGTGTTCACCTTGGGGTCGTTTTTCTTTTTAGAAATGAGGCACAGTGGAGACTGTGGTGTCTTTATGATATATGGTTCATTTACACATAGATACAACCTGAGCCTACAGTGTAGGGTTCACAGCATTAAGACCCCAAGAGAGTTTTGATTCTCCCATAGCTACAGCTTTAGATTCAAACATAAATAACCCATCGTGCTCTGATCTTGTCTTCAGCTTGCTGTCTTTACACTTAAGCTCTACCTCAAGCTTTGTCTTTGTCTTCTATCTTAGAGCTGAAGTAGGAGCCCCACCCATTTGCCTCCTCTCCTTCGCTTTCTTAATGGCCCATTACCTTTCCTTTGTTCTCTCAATGGCCCATCTCCCAGGTGATCTCCTGAACATGGGAAGCTGGGTCCAGGAATTAGAAGTCTGGCATCCAGGTTAACTCCCCAAGCCTTGATTAAATACTAACACTTACTCGACCCAGGAATTTAGGGGAGGCCGGCACCCGCAAACTCATAACAATAAACCGGTTGTAGAGTAAAATGTGGGTACAGATGTCTGGATGAAAAGCAGCTTGCAAAAACCTAACCACATGAGAAGCATAACCACATCTGAGGTTTGTATTTACATTATAATTACGCTTATGGTCCTTCACAATTTTCTCAGATTGTGGTACAGCAACATTCTCTTCTCTGTAAGAACAGTAGTCAGTTTATTAACTTTGCTGCTTTCCACATAAACAAGCCTATTAGGAAAGCTGTTGTATTTTTGTCCAGCATTTTTTGCCTTGTCAATGCTGTAGTCTTCACTATATCAGAAGGCTATAATATGCAGCAAAATGTACAGGGAGAAATCAATAAATACCAGCCCAATTGCTATGCTCTGCCTCACCTGTCAGAGACCGTATGCTCCTGAATTGCTGGGAATCACAAGTAGAGAGAGTGTTATTGTCGTCAGGTCCTGCTTTCAGGCTTCATATAGGCATATGGTTGGCCACTGTGAGAATGGGATGCTTTCACTAGACCTGCCTGATCCAGAAGTTGCAAAACTGGGCTTCTCTTTCCTGCAGCTCTTTCCCTAAAGCTCCCTCAATCTGCTCTGGAAGGTTGGGGGACTCACCTGGAACAAATTTTGCTGGGTGTGTGTGTGGAGAGAAGAGATATATGAGAAATAGGGCTGGCCCACGCATGAGGCAAGGTGAGGCAACCACCTTAGGTGGCAGGACCCACAGAGGCAGCAGATCCCAATGTAGATCTTTATTCCCCCCCTTGTCCCTGATGTAATCTTCACTCACTCCTTCTTCCCTGGTGGGGAGGCAGGTGCCATTTTGTGGTTCGCCTCAGGTGTAAAAATGTCCTGGGCCAGCCCTGACTGGAAGTCGAATTGTGCAACTGAATGGATTTCAGTTGCACAATTGGGTAGACCATCACTGGATACCACCCATAATAGTTCTCTTTTGTACAATGATCAGTTTGGATTCCTCCTCCTCCAAGTAAACATATGTAATATTTCACATCCCCCTCCCTTTATTTATGTATAGTTCTCTTTAAAATGGTATGTATTTGAATCTTTGAATGTGCTATGTGGAAAGGCAATTTCCCACCAAACAACCACATAAACGTCTTTGTATTCTTGTAAATATATATAGCAATACCGTTTGTTGCTAAGGAAGTACAAAGAATGTGTACTGTTACCATGCTTTATATGTGCCAATCAACCTTATCCCCTCCCTGACGCATTTCAATGCTATAAGCTATGAGCTTAGTAGACACAATTCTCAAAACCTGGCTATACCAGTTTATGGGTTGAAAGACTGCACCCCAACACACCCTTTATTGTACTTGCGGTGTTTGTTGTACAACATGAACCATGCATATTGTGCTGTAGCGGAGAGGTCTGAATGCCCAGGCCCTCATTCAGCAGCCTCCCCCAACCTGGTGCCCCCAGATGTTTTGTACGATAATTCCCACCAGTCCCAGCCAGCATGGCCAGTGATCAGGGATGCTGACCTACAATCCCCAATTTCAGAGTATATTTTTTGTTTTGTTTTGGAGGTGGGGTAGAATTACAAGGGTGGACCATGTGCGGAATTATTTGACAAGGTTAATGGTAAGGTTACCAGATTTTTTTCAATGAATCCGGGGACACTTTTCAACTTCCATGGATTTTGTATAGGGACTGATTTGTAAATCCAGGGACTGTCCCTGGGAAACGGGGACGCCTGGTAACCTTAGTGGTGCAATTCTATACTTTGCAAGGTGCTACTTGCAAGTAAGGGTATGTTCACATTAGCAGCTTAAAATGTCATGAGGTTATCTCCCCCTCCCCCATTGTGTTTTAAGTCGCATCTGCATGGTGTTGTACACATCAGAGAGGGAGTGGAGATGTCTTCACCCAATGCACTTTTTGGTTCTCCTTCAGCCCTGCCGGAACTCCTGTTCATGACATTGCCATCTGTCCATATGTGCTCATTTTGTGCATGTGCAACAGCTGTCTCAAATGTACACACCTGTCTTAAGTGCAAAGTGAATGTGGCTTAAGTTTTCTGGTGTTACTGAGGTTGGTTCTCTGTGAGGTGAATGTATTGCTTCTGAAACAATTTAACTTACAGATTCAGGTAGGTAGCTGTGTTGGTCTGATGCAGTCGAAATAAAGGGCAGTGTCCTTCAGCTCTCTATATTGGACAAACAGGCCAAACCCTACGCCAAAGGATAAATGGACATAAATCTGACATCAGGAATCACAAGACAGACAAGCCAGTAGGAGAACACTTCAATCTCCCCCCCCCCCCAATATATAAGGGTCTGGTGACTTCTGTTTCAGTGTATCTGAAGAAGTGTGCATGCACACGAAAGCTTATACCCAGAACAAACTCAGTTGGTCTCTAAGGTGCAATTTTTTAATTTTAAAAATTTAACTTACAATGTAACTGTTTCAGGTGGTGTTAGTGCTGCAGTCGGATATCCATTGGACACAATCAAGGTATTTCAAAGTTTAGTTTTCTTAACTACAATAAAATCTCCCAAGTCACAAGGCATAGCCAACTCCCAAGTCACAAGGTAAAATGGAGAGAACTCTTCTCCACCCCGTTTCAGAGCTGAAAGCAGCTAGGATGAGTGTGTGGGGCGGTTCTCACCACTGCAGTGGTTTCTCTACCCAACAGCTAATAAACCATGGTTTGCCAGGAGGAATTCCAGGGCTCCTCCATTTTCTGCTTCCCCAGCTGCTCCCAATCCTTTCATCATACTCTCAGGACCAAACTAGAAATTACATTGTGAGATCTGTAGGTGCCTCCAATCTTGTCCCTCTTTTGTGGGAGAGATTCAAGCACATACTACAAATTTAGTTTTGCGCAATGGATTAAAGCATTCTGTTGCCCTAGTGCAGGGGTAGGCAACCTAAGGCCTGGGGGCCGGATGCAGCCCAATTGCCTTCTCAATCTGGCCCGCGGACGGTCTGGGAATCAGTGTGTTTTTACATGAGTAGAATGTGTCCTTTTATTTAAAATACATCTCTGGGTTATTTGTGGGGCATAGGAATTTGTTCATTCCCCCCCCATATAGTCTGGCCCACCACATGTTCTGAGGGAGGGTGGACCGGCCCACAATTGAAAAAGGTTGCTGATCCCTGCCCTAGTGCAATAAATTCACTTTTCATGCTGATTTGATGCCTTACCCACTTGCAGAATTACCAATGAAATGTTTCTTTTCCCCAAGATGAAATGAATGACGGATTGTCCCATTTAACAGGTGAGGATTCAGACTCAGACAAGTTATCGTGGAATATGGCACTGTATCAGAGACACATACAGAACTGAAAAAGTACGTATAGTAAAATTTCCTGTTGATGAAGGGGAAATTTGCTTCATCATGTCTGCTTGACTTGGGGCGGATCCACACCATACATTTAAAACAAATGACTTCCTCCAAAGAAACCTGGGAGCTGTGGTTTGTTAAGGGTGCTGGGAATTGAGGTTGATGGGGCAAATTACAGTTCCTAGCGAAAAACCCCCACAGTCTGTCCAACATTAAGGAATGGCTTTATTACAATGACTCTGGGACAGAGCTATTGTGGCCTAACACGGCATATTTCACACAGTTGTGTGAATGGCTGAATAACAGTTAATTGCAGACATGGGTTGGATGGAAAATGAGGGAAGGGATTTTTAACACTTTGCCCTCTGCAGCAGTCCTGAAACAGATTGCTCCCCGCACATCTATTTTAGCAAATGGGAGCTTTCCACCTGCTGCGAGTGCAAATAAGAGACTCTCAGTCCAATTCAGGGATGTAGCGTGGGGGGAGGTCAAGAGGTTAAAAATCCGTTTCCCACACCAATGTTTCAATCTGGATTTGGTCCCGAATCCTGAATTCTAAAAACCCCTTTGTGCAATTGCTAACTGCATCGAGGGTTAGGGTTTGGCCCTAAGGCTAAGGTTGGTTGTGTTTAAGAATACCTGTGAACAAGAACCTGATTCCTGGTGCATTGGGCCTCATAAGCACCTAGAACAGAGCTGGGAATCCTGGTATCCTCCAGATGTTGCTACACTACCACTCCTATCATGGCTGGAATTGATGGGATTTGGAGTCCAACAATATCTGAAGGGCCACAGGTTACACATCCCTGACCCTAGAGGTTTCATAGAATCATAGAACTGTAGAGTTGGAGGGGACCATGAGGATCTAGTCCAGTGTTTCCCAAACTTGGGTCTCCACTCGAGAGCCAGTGTGGTGTAGTGGTTAAGAGCGGTAGTCTCGTAATCTGGGGAACCGGGTTCACGTCTCCGCTCCTCCACATGCAGCTGCTGGGTGACCTTGGGCCAGTCACACTTCTCTGAAGTCTCTCAGCCCCACTCACCTCACAGAGTGTTTGTTGTGGGGGAGGAAGGGAAAGGAGAATGTTAGCTGCTTTGAGACTCCTTAAAAGGAGTGAAAGGCGGGATATCAAATCCAAATCCAGCTGATTTTGGACTACAGTTCCCATCATCCCTGATCACTGGTCCTGCTAGCTAGGGATGATGGGAGTTGTAGTCCAAAACAGCTGGAGACCTAAGTTTGGGAAACTCTGATCTAGTCCAACCCCCTACAATGCAGGAATCTTTCACCCAGCGTGGGGCTTGAACCCACAACCCTCAGATTAAGAGAGTAATTCTCTACTGACAGAGCTATCACCTTCTCCTTTTCCTCGATAAGTACCAAACCTGAAGACAAACTGTGGGGTGTCCTTTATTCTATTATAATTAATTTCCTTATTACCAGAAAGCCAAAGAAAAAACCCAGCTGCTGTGACTTTCATATTATGGAGACTTGGGAAGGTTAGGTAAGATTAGCTTGGCTAACACTTTCTTCTCACTTTTCTATGCAAACCAGCTGCTAGGTTTCTACCGAGGGGTGTCGATGACTGTCATAACTGCATCGTTTATTACATCGTTCTCTTTTGGCATCTACAAAAACATCCTTTATAACATCTGCAGATTTCGATATGGCTCTGCAGACAGAAAGCCATCAAAGGTAGACGTGTCTTTTGCAGCAGCTTCTACTGGTGCAATCCGGGTAGGTTACGAGTCAAATAATGTTTTGTTTTGTTTTTAACTGCAAGGAATGAAAGTTTATGCACAAATTCAATCCAGTTGGGAGAAGTCCAAAGCCACACTATACACGTAAAGCTAGGGCTGCCATACATTATTGGGATTTCAAAGGTGGAATTGACGTCCGGCGGGAACGTCAAAGGCAGTGCTTTGTCCTAGATCAGGGGTCAGCAAACTTTTTCAGCAGGGGGCTGGTCCACTGTATCTCAGACCTTGTGGGGGGCCAGACTATATTTTTTGGGGAAAATGAACGAATTCCTAGGCCCCACAAATAACCCAGAGATGCATTTCAAATAAACCCAGAGATGCATTTCTACTCATGTAAAAACACGCTGATTCCCAGACCGTCCGCAGGCTGGATTTAGAAGGCGATTGGGCTGGATCCGGCCCCCGGGCCTTAGTTTGCCTACCCATGTCCTAGATCTTAGGCAAGTCAATCAATTAATTTTGCCGTTTTTGGTCTTCGGGGATTTATTGAATGGGATGAGGGATTTATTCAAATACAGACAGGTAGACTTTAATTAGAAATAATGAACTGTTGTGAAGTTGGCGGAAGTCCACAATAAGTGTGTTTAATTTTTTAAAATGTCTGAGTTTATTGAAGAATGAACTAATGTTGTTTTATGTATACTCCCTTTTTTCTTTTCTTTTTCTTTTCTTTCTTTTTAAGAATTAAATGTACTTACAAAAGGTATATATTTATATCCCTTACTTCTTTCTTCCTTTCTGGAGTTTCTGCTTTTATTCTTTTATTTTTTGCTCTCTCTACATAAGCTTTTGTATTTTCTTTTTCTTTTTGTTTAAGTTTGTGCATTTTGATTTATGTATATGTGCAATACAATCAATTAAAAAAAAGGGCAAGTCAGTCAATTAATTTTGGCGTTTTTGGTCTTTGGGGTGTCCTGGTAAAGCACTCTTATTCCACTTTAACAGTCATGCCTTCTCCCAAAGAATCCTGGGAACTGTAGCTTCTTGTGGCTGCTGGGAGTTGTTAGGAGACCCTTAACAAACTACAGTTCCCAGGATTGTTTGGGGGAAATCATAAAGGTTAAAGTAGAATAGGGTTGGCACCTGTCTGTCCTGGGAGACAATGGAGGAGTGCACCTTTGGGGATGAAGTGAAACCATTGGTGTGGCTGTAGAGACAGATATGGGAGAGGCATGTTTTACTGTAGCCGGGGCAGATTCTGCTATGTAGAAGTAGCTAAAGTGGTGCCTTCTGGTTATTGAGCACCAGCCAGTATGGCCAGTGCTCACAGATGAGGGGAATTGTAGTCCAACAACATTTGAAGAGCACTAGTGTTAGGTACTTGCCGGCGTGATTGCTTGAGAGCGAACAGGCAAGACCCCCACTGGTCTTTTCAAGGCTTTATTATTGGTGCAAAAACATTCACAGTGCAGAACGACTCACTTCCATGTCTGCTCAGTCACTAGCAGAATCTGGGAGTGGGCGGTCCTTAAACTTTCCCCAGCAGAGCAGTCTTTTGACCCCCATTCTACGCGTCCCCTCTCTGCGCGTAAAATGACTGTGCAGAGAGGGCATGGGCAAAGGGGGACCTGCCTCCCCCACCGCTTTGCTCAGACTTGGTATTATGGCTCTCCCTTGCATCCTCCGAGCCCTGCATCCCTTCCCCACTGGAGGTGTGGCTTCCTTCCTCCCCGGAAGAAGAGCTGCTTCTCACGCAACTGCCCTTCCACCTCTCACCTCTGAGCTGATGGCAGTTCCCTGACAACTAGATTTGGCTTCTCCTGGTACAGACCAGTAATGGTGTTCATGTAACGTGTTATATATTAAGCACTGAAGTTTCTTGATTACCGAAAGTGATCCCTGTGGAAAACATCCGTGTTATATCATCTGTCCCTCATCATTTTGTTGTTGTTATGTACTTTTGTGTTTTCATTGTGTATTTTAATGTTGCAAACCGTCCTGTGATCTTTGGATGAAGGGTGGCATATAAATTTTTATAAATAATAAAACAAGATAGTATTACTTGTGTAATTAGTTTCCAGAAGACTATGCATGTTAGGCTCTTGCAGTGAAATGTCTGAGCCACCATATTTTTGCTCTGTAAGACACACCAGACCATAAGACGCACCTAGTTTTTGGAGGAGAAAAACAAGAAAAAATAATATTCTGAATCTCAGAATCCCTCTTGCTGTTCTGGCTTCTGGGATAGCTGCAACCTGTATTCGCTCCATAAGACGCACACACATTTCCCCTTACTTTTTGGGAGGAAAAAAGTGAGTCTTATAGAGCAAAAAATACTGTATATACACTAAGGCAGGCATGTCCAAAGTCCGTTTCAGGGGCCTAATATGGCCCGCTGGTCAATGTAATCCAGCCCGCCTGGAAGTATATGTCCTGGGGTAAAATCCCCAAAAAAGCTCAGCACTGTAAAAAAAGCTCAACAACTACAATCCTAAAAAAATCTCAACAGCTTTGGGGTTAAGTCCTTAAAAGAGCTCAACAACTTTGGGGTAAAATTGTGAAAAAAAGCTCAACAACTTTGGGTGGCCCTCATGCAAATCTGGCCCTCTTTGAAAAAAGTTTGGGCACCCCATAATACATGAGTTTGGACCCTAGGCTCTGTATCTTCATGGTCTGGTCTGGGGATGTGTGGGTGATGAGCTTCTACAGGAAACATCTCTTTCTAGACCACTAATTCCTAATTACACCCTTCAGGTTGTGCTAATGTCACCTGCAGAGTTGGCCAAAGTGAGACTCCAGATCCAGAAAGATCCCTTGGCTATTCCACCCCACGTCCTGATCTCCAAGCCTAAGTACCAAGGAGCTGTGCACTGCCTGCGGACCGTCGTGAAGGAGGAAGGTTTCAAGGGTCTATACAAGGGGTCTTTGGCTCTGATGTGGAGAGACTGCTGCTCATCTGTCGTCTATTTCCTCACCTACAACGTCCTGTGCGACTGGCTTACTCCAGCGGGAAAAGACAGAGCAGGTGTGTGCATTAAATGAGAAGGGTTTATTTCAGGAGTTTTGAAAAACCTGTCTTCATAGCTTCTGCATTTGAGTCACCACAATTCTGCAACTTTCGTATAGAGTGTTTGTTCCTGGCACTAAGTTATCATGGCTAGCAGCCATTGATAGCTGCCTGCTCTGTAAATTTGCCCAATGCAAATTGGTTGGTGGACATTCTGTGGGATAAAGTTCCGTGGTTTAACTCTGTGCTGTGGGAGAAAGCGCTTTATTTTGTCTATCCTGAATCTCCCAGCTTACAGCTTCTTTAGATATCCCCAAGTTCTAGTGTCAAGTCCTCTCTCTACCGTTCTGTAACCCCTTGGGGTTTGCATGCCTACAGCAAACAGGGGAAGCTGGATGTTGACACATCCCTCTTGCCCATAGGTGCTGCTGCTGCTGTTTTGGCTACGTAAGCAGCGGCACTCAAACCGGAAAATAGATGGGAATGATTAGAACAGAGTATTATCATTGGCACAATTTGCTCCAGTTGTGTAATATGCTCGGAGCGCCTGTTATGAAATTCTATTTGAGCTTCTCTTGTGTAACTGGTTAACTCAGAGGCCGCGTCCTCTGATGTCATCCAAGAACTCTTCCTCTCCAACTTCCCCCTCGAATGCTTATTAACTGCAGTCATGCCGGCTAACTGCACCTTTCAAATGCATCGCTAAAGCCTATACAGCTCGGGTGTAGGGGCACCTTCTAAATGATGAAATGGATTTTATTTTTAGCTCTTCACTAATCCCAGAGGCATGATAGCCCATCTCATGCAACGTGTAGGGAAGGAGGAAGGGAGAGGAGAGGCCAGCGACCCTGGAAGCGTTTTCACAGGTGCCTGGGCCGGGGTGGCGGGGCCAGAGCATGACAAATGTTTCAAGTATTTCAGGCACATTTTTACATCTTATTAAATGGGGAAATAATAAAGCCATAAGCTATCTCAGTCAATATTGCTGCAATGAGTTGTATCACAATCACAGGTGGACCTGACTTTAGGAAAAGAAACCTGAAGAATTAGCAATTGTTCAAAGCAAAAATACAGAACGTGTTCAGAACATCAGTCAGCATCCCTCCCCACACAAATAATCCCTGTGGGGTAGGGGGGGCGGAGTTCCATTCTCTCTGTGTTCCTCCCACAATTTATACAGTCTATGTAGGAGTTTAGCCTGAGGAAATAGGATAGCCCGTTCATGCATATGGGTTTTTATTTTATAATATAAAGGTAGAATATTTGTGCTGACACATGGAACAGGAAGAGTGCACAGCTACAAACATAGGGAGGAATTCAAGGTTGCACTGCTACAAATGATCAGTTTCTGCTTGCCTGGTGGAACAATCTCCCCTCTCCTCTCCCTGTGTGGTAGTTTGGGAGATCTCCAGAACAAGTTTTTGTGGTTTTTTGCCGGGGAGGCAGGGTGTGAGGAAGGAGTTGGCAAGCCCCATTGTGCAAGGGGAAATCCTTGCGGATTCACTGTGTTCCGTCCAAATTTCCTGCCTTATTGGGAAGCAGTGGCAGCTGATGCTTCTAGGGAAAATGGTCTTGGTACTCACTGTAACAGCTTCATGCTAAGTACCACACTTTAAACCAGGGCTTTTCTTCTAGAAAGAAAAGGTGCCAGTTCTGTGTACTCCTTGAGTACCCCCAGAAAAAAGCACTGGTAATAACAAACAAAATAATAACCCCCCGCTCCAGTTTAAAAGGCCATAGATTGCTTAGACTCACTTTAATCAATGGGACTTGATTTTGAGTCTGGCTCTCACATGGAGATTCCCGTAAATGTTGTGTGTGGATTGCACAAATGGCTGATTTAATTATGCAACCTGGTTTAACCAAGCCGTAGAGACCAATGCTGTGTACACACCATACATTTAAAGCCATGCAGTTTGTAAAGGGTGGTGGGAATGATAGCTCTGTGAGGGGTAAACTACAGTTTCCAGGAAGCTGCTCTGGGAGAAACCATGTGCTTTAAATATATGGAGTGTAGTCAGCCTTTGATGTGGGAAAGCTGAAGGGATGTAAACGTATTTGGAACCTTTCCAAATCAAATTTAATTAGGATTTGAAGAGAAAGGGAATCCACTTGTCCCGGATGCCGGAGAAAGGGGAAGCTTCAAAAAGCAGAGCCTCTTAAGAAAGGCCTGCCTGATGTTTCACAGAAGGTATGTCAAGAATCTTGTGCATGGACTACGGAGTGCAGGTCAGAGAGGCAGCATGACATATAATCCCAACAGGGGATATCTGCTCTCGAAGCTCATTAGCAGATTTCTCTGTGTGCCTAATCCCAATATGAGATACTTGCAAAGTATCTTCTTACAGTCTTCCTTCCATAGTTCAGAGCTGATTGGAAGCCACTGCCCATGGCCATCAACCTCTCTGCCTATTACCCCACAGTAGTGCCTTATCATCTTATCTGCTGCTTGTGGGAACTAGCCTTAGGTAGGACTTGAGTCAGGATAAGGAACTTGGCCAGGGGCAGCAGAAAGTGGATTAGCCACTATTTGGCATCTGCTTCAAGCTGGTAGACCTTGAGATTCTGGGGGCTGAAAAGAGTAGACCTCACAAGACTTAAGTCTGCCCACTGCTGATCTGGAAGACGATAATAATACCACTACTTAAGAGGGCATAGCTAGCTAAGTTATACTCAAGAGTAGACCCATTGAAATTAGCTTGTCTATTAGCAGCTGCAGTCCCAAGGGCAAGCCAGGGAGTTTCTCCCACCCAAAATTAGTTCTAATGCATCTATTGGGGTTTTTTTGTTTGTAAGTCATTTTGGGTTGCCACAGGCAAGATAAAGCGGCTAAGCAACTTAATAAGTGATAATAATAAATAAAAACAACTATTTCAAATGTCCAAAAAAATACTAAATCAAAACGTGTGTCAACATTCTGCATTCTAATTAAAGAGGAACGCCCATTTCTCCTCTGCAAACCTATCTCGCTGTCAGTTTAACGCTGCTTATAATTACGTTTTGCAGACTTATGGGCTGTGCTTCTTTCTGGAGGCTGCGCTGGAGTCCTGGCCTGGGGCACGGCCACCCCGATGGATGTCATCAAATCCCGGATGCAGGTGGATGGCGAGGGCCTGCGCAGATACTCGGGATTAGTACACTGCGTAAGGGACAGCGTAAGAGAAGAGGGGGTGAGAGTCCTCTTCAAAGGCCTCGGACTAAACTCCATCCGCGCTTTCCCTTCAAATATGATGGTGTTCTTTACTTACGAAGGTGTGCTTAGGCTAGGCGAACGCTGGATGAAATAAAGGGCGCATTGCACCCTTCGCTAGCTGGCATCCTCGAGAGCAGGGCCAGGGAACTTTTGCCATCAGAGGGCCATGTACAAACAGGGGAGGGACAATGAATGCTAAATTCATCTTTGTACAGTAGGGTAGTTTCTACACACAGTTGTGCACCCCTCTCTATCTTCCATCCAGACATTCAAGGGGCATTATTATAATTAAAGGACATTCCAGCCAGGCAAAAACACTCAAGGACCAGTGAGGGGTGTGGCCTAGGGAGAGGGGGTGTGGCCAGAGAGGGGCGTGGTCTAGAAAATCTCAAGGGCCAAACAGAGAGGTCTGGAGGGCCACAGTTGCCCCCTGTGCTGGAGGCTTCCCTGTCCCTGCATCTGAAGGACACCAGGTTGCTGAAGGCTGCTTCACTGCAATATCATCTCTCCAAAGCGGTCTTTTCCTTTCGGAATGTTCAACCGAATTTCTTTCGAGAAAGCCGTCTGTGCATTGAGAAATTATTACTATTTATTCAATTTGCATTGCACTTGCTACACAGAGAGTCCCTAAACAACTTACATAAAGCATGACATATTATCTGAAAAGAAGAACATCACATTGCAATAAAAACCATACAAAGACCCATGGAACAGACCCAGCAAAACAGCAGCAGCAAAAATAAAGTCAGAAGCAAGACGTATCATCAAGCAACATGACAATCCTTCAGATGCCTGGGAGAAGAGAGATTTTACCTTTCATCTGGTGCGGAAAGGATGCTGGCACCAAGCTTGGGAAGGCATTCCACAGATAGGAAGCCACAACTGAAAAGGCCCTGCCCTTGTTGTCAGTCGCTGAACGTTCTTTGGAGGGGCGCTCTGAGGGCCCAAGATGAAGACCTGAGGGCCCAGGTAAGCCACCCTGTGGTCCCTTGATAAAGGGCGGTATATAAATTTAATAATAACTTAATATTCATTGCACACATACGCTGCTCTGCTCACCTTTGCTTCTGACCCCACCCATCACTGACCACTGGCCTTTACAAGGTTGCTCAGAAAGGAATGTGGTCCTCCCGCTGAAAGAAGGTTCTCCATCCCTGATTTAATTCTGGGTTCATCTGTTTTCCATATCCAGACATGGATGCTTCACTTTAGAAACAGATGCACATGAATATCGCTGCCTGAAGTTGCTTAAAGCTGAAAACTTGCAAGTGTAAAGACAGAAGGAAAAATGGACACATACAGAGATCTGGATTTGCCAGTGATGGGCAATGGAAGAGTTTGATGTTCTAAACATTTCATTGACCCCAAATTACTCGTTACTGAACAAACAATAGAGCTGTTCACCAGAGAGGCACGAAAAGCTCAAGGCCACCGGCAGAAAGAAGACACCACATGTAACATTCCATGTCCAAGAATTGCTTTGCTGGAAAACTGCAGCTTGCAGTGGGAAGGCACATGTTGCATAAAAGACTATTAATGGCCTTCCATTTACAACATGCTTTGCTTGACAAGGAAAAGTCGGCACTTTTAATTCTGCTCTCCCATTTATGCCATTGCAATCTCATTCATTCCCAGACAAGTGCTTTTTTACAAGCTCTGCAAGGGGAACTGGCTTTTGTGAGCACTAAGGGAATTTGGCATGCTGGATTAAGAGCATCACGGCATGCTCAGGCAATTGGAATTACCCTTAGGCAAACTTTTGCAAAAACCGTGCTAGGTGGTTCACATTAAATTATGTGAAACTGTCATTCTCTACCCTGCTCTCCCCAATTTTCATTAGGGAAGCTGTATTTGTCTGCTGCAGGCGTGAGCTTTCGTGGACTAGAGTCCTGTATCCTCAGATACAGGAAGTGTTATCTTAAGTTGGCAGGTAGATATACATGGTTTTTTGTGTGTGTGAGAGAGAGAGAGAGAGGGGGGGGGAGAGAGAGAGAGATTGATTGATTAATTGTAAATAGTGAGTTTAGAGAGTAATTTTATTTTGTTAAAGCTCAAATGTATTAAAATCTTACAATGACAATTCTTAAAGGAGTGCTGAGAACAACACTGGGAAACTAACCCACATTTTAGGGTAAAAACCCATTATTTTCCTTCAGTACACAGGTGATAGAACTGAATTTCTTGATTCAGCCATGTGATCTGGTTTCACTGCTCATTTCCTGTTGAGATTCCTTTCCTGTGCAGCAGTGGCTTTCAGGCTGTGCACTGGGAATTCCTGGAGCTACTCAGAAGCTCATGAAAAGTTTTTTGATGAATAACAGCAAATAGGTTTCCTGAAAAAGACAGCAGGGGCACAGCTTACAAGCTTCCCTAAAATGCACTGCTCCAGCTTTGGGGCCCCAGACCTTGCTGGGCTCAGACTCCAGATACCCCCAGCTAGCCTGGCCAATGACCTGGGGACCTAAGGTTGTTTGAGGTCATGCTCTCAGTTCACAATGGGCAAGGATGTCGCCCAACTGTGCCCCCGCATGAACGTGTAGCTCAATGGAAAGTGTTTCCAGCACTTTAATGAACCGCTGTACTATACAATTAGAAAGTGTACAGTCCTCAACAAGAGCATGCAAGTCCATCTGGCCCATGAGTTTACGGTGACCTGGGACTATTGCAAGAGCTAGCAAATATTGCTGCATATAGCGTCTGCTCCACAAACAGCTCACTACAAGTTCTGTTGTTCTGTATGGGACAATGACAATAAAGATTATTGTATCGTATTATCGTATTATAAGTGTCCCCTAAGCAAATTTAAAGTGATTTCTACCAGCCTATATTTATGTGCAACATCTGATAATAGTTGCATCTTTTGAGTGCTCACACACAAAAATGCACAAGTCTATACACTAGGTAATAACGGCAAAAACAGCCTTTGTTCTGCAAGATCTCCCTGTTTTTATTGCGTATGGTTTCAGTTTGTACAGTTGCTATGCATGATTAATAAACAATTCCCTTTACACCAGCATTCGTAAGCTGCTGTGCAAGATGTCTGAGCAGGGCTGGATTTACTGTCGCCCTTCTTAGCGCTTTTCAAAAACAAATTTTGATTAGCTGCACCATTGTTAACAAAAACGAAACAAAAGACAAAAGCTCATGAACCAGACACACCAACATGATTTGCTACAAGAACGTATGGCAGGTCACAATGCTCCAGTTGCAATTTCCCATCCACACTCACCTGTTGTGGCACCTCAACCTTCAACTAGTTTGATTGTAACTAGCAAAGAAATACTAGGTTGGTGCAGTGTGCTTTCAGTGCATGGAATACAGGTCCGATGCATATAACCCACACAGCAGATCTCTGCTGATGCAGAGTTTCAATGAACTGTGGATTCATGCCGTATCTAATGCTCACTACTTAAAGAAGACAAAAATGGAAACAGGAAGCTTTGTTTCTGCTTGCATCACAAACCTGAGAACCTGTTGTGTAGGAAATACTCAATGAGAGTTATAGTTTGTGGACTAATTCATGCTGAAAGATTATATGAACAACAGAGAGGGAGACACACACAAAGAGAGAGACACACAGAGAGAGATAACCAGCTCTTAATCTCAACAATATAAACACAGAAACAAAGATGTCCTTTGTCTTGCAGCCACATTGCTGATGTCACAGCATCGCTTGGCGATTTTTAACTTCCCAGTTATCAGAAAGGTTTGGTTTTTTTGCCCTTTGTATACACTGTCTCTACTGTGATAATCTCTTAGCAGTCCATGCTGCCCCTGAGAAATAATAGCTATTATTATTAGTTTCCCTTGCTTTGCAGGGCAAAAATGAGAAACAATTTGCTTGCTGGGTTTGACAAAACCCCCCAAAGTCCAGTATAGCCAACTTATAGATACTAGCCAAGTATCATTTGCAGAAAGACTCGTCAACCAACCGTCATATGTTCTTAGAACCACTGAGATATGACTGCCCAAATGAAACTCGCCAGGCTGTTAGAAACACAGCAGGTCTTTAGTTCACACACTACTCGCTTGTTGAAAAGGGGCTCAGGGCTGCACCTTTAGCTATGAAATAAAAGTTTCGTCCTCCTGCTTCCACCATCACCACTGATTGTGCTCAGTAGAATGTCTGAAGGGGTGAGGCTGCCTGTGCAGTTTGCAACCCTGACTGATCAAGGTTCCAAGTTGCACTGGGAGCCTCCACTCACAGGAAAGAGGTTCCTGTTGCAGAGATCACGCTGGTCAGAATGGTGAGGGCAGAATTAGCAGCTTGACTTGGATGAGATGGTCCCAAGCTCCCTCTCAACCGGCTTGTAACAAGTGGACAGTGCTTTTGATAAGGCCAAATTGCAATCATGTCCACTGTAACTAAACAACCGAAAAAGGAAAAAACAAAGACAAATGTATATTCTGGATGGAAGAGTTTAGTTTATCTTTGAAACAGGCACAGCTCCTAGATGTAAAAACATGCCTAACACGGCTACCACGGTAGCAGAATCTGGCATTGCACCACCTTTTTAATCAGTGTTTTTCTTAATATTGTGTTCCGTGAAATAGGGTCCTCTTGTCGACAAAGCATCTCTTTTCCAGGTGATTGGGTTATCTTGCTAACCCGTAATTAGTCAAATGAAGTCCTAGGCCAATGTCTGTTTTTTCCAAACACAAACTACGTATTCCCAAAGTCACTGGTGACAACGGAGGGCAACTGTGAAAGTAACTTGCTAGAAGCAGAGAGGTACGTTGTTAGGGAGAGGCGGCAGACGAGAGGCTAGGGCAACACCAATCAAGTGTGCTCTATGTGTACTGATAAATCAACATGCACTTCTGTAATTAGTAATCAAACGCCAGCTTCCGCGGAGTCATAAATTCCTTCACTATTTCATCGGTGATCTGCTTTCGCCTTTGCTGGTGAGCAGCGATCAAGGGCTGCAGCGTTTCAATCAACGCCTTCTTGAGTTCTCCTGTCAGCAGTGCTCCACTTGTATAGGCCTGCCAAGAGAATGCCAGGGTCATATCTGGTAACATCTGGGGAAAGAACCCTCCTGCAATTCTCCTGGAAGGAACAGCTGCTGGCAAGCAAAGCAATCTGTTTGTCTTAATTAGATACATCATTCCCTCTGACGTATCTCTCGAGCTGCCATAGAAAGGGAAATTTTTAGGCACAGAGGATCCTGGTTTAAGGCCTAGAGGTTTGAGCTGATGACTCAGTGAGGACTTTATTATTACTCCTAAGGGCACTTACTGAGGAACACTTTGCAGAGATTAGCTGCCTCTTACTCTAAGCCACTGCGTTGCGTTCGGAGCATAGAGGAAGAAGGATGGGGTTGCATTCAATGTAGCACAAAGGTGAATACTGTGTCGGTGTGAGGATTTCTTTGTGCGTGATGGAAAGTTCTCCTCTCCGCCCCCCATGCATGTCCCAAATCTCTTCCAGGTTTCTCCCCAACCCTCTGGAGCAGATTTGGTGATGGTGTGCATGGAGGGAGAGAGGGGTATCCATTTGCACTAGGGCTAATTCTTGCACTAGTACAAAACGTTGCATACCTTTTGTGGACTTTCCTACCCTTTTAATGCAGGCGTGAAGGATGGGTTCTGATGCCTCAACAACCCGCCATGATGAAAAGTCTGCAATTTCCCCCCTGGGTGATTTGTATACTGATTGTGCATTCTTCTTTCATGGGAAATTTACAGAGCATAGAAGGAAGCGTCAACTCGCTGCCGACACAGCTAAATGGAGGCCCTAAAAATGTTTCAACTGCATGCACAAACAGGATCAAATAAGAGCAGAACATAATTGGGTCTTCCTGATGCTCAGCCTTTGCCTGGCAACTGCAGCGAGTGCAGTCTGCCATCAAAGCTGGGTGAAGATGTGAAGTCTAGCCTGGGTATGACTAACACGGGCTCTCTCCCACTGTGTAGGAATAATAGACATTCTTTGAGACAGTTGATAGCTACTGCCTCTGCTACCATCGTTTTCAGAGTGCTTATGTGGCTTCCATTCTTTCAACCAAGCTACACACACAACGAAGCCCGCACCCAGAACTTGCCAGTCAATTTGGACCCAGGAGAGGAAGATATAAAGGAGTGCCAGGAAGGGGGAATAAAATCTGTTGAGCTGCTATTGCAAAATCGTGATTGCCTATGTGCTTTTATCTGGGTAGTGAGGCATCTCACTGGGGGAGGGGGGGAGAGAGATAAGAATTACCTGCTTGATTTGTTCTAATTTGTCATCATCTTCGAGGAAGAAGGTGAGGTACATGTAGGACACATCCACATCACAGTTACCCCCATATTTCCGGTGCTCTTCCACTGTGTCTTTGCCACCAGAGAAGGCATGTTTATTGATCTGGAACAGAGATCCAAGGACTTCAGCAGGCTAGCTCTGGTCTACAATCTGAGCTACTTTTAACTATATATAAAGAAATTCTGCAAATCCAGTCAGAAGGGATTGTCATGGAGCAACTCCAAGAATCATAATGCTTGAAAAGTCCAGAGGTCATCAAGTCTATGTAGAGGTTGTCAACATTCAGCTCACTCAACTAATCCAGGACATAGTATACCACCATGGCCTAGTTTATTATACCATGGCTGTTATGTGTTACTCCTGCTCAGAAGCTTAAGCATGGCTTGCTTAGTGCCAACAAATCTTGATGTGAAATCTTTTTTGCTTTACAAACCTTGCTGTGTTTTAACTATGATTTAACTGTGATCTCAGTACCCTTCCTTTACTATGGTTTATTTAACCACCCTACCCTAGATGCTCACCAAACTACAAAGGACAAGCAGCTGGAAAATAAGCTAAACATTCGAGAAACAAGCCATGGTTTTTTGATCATCTGTGGGACAACTTATGGTTAAGTGGCAGGCCAGAATGACTAAAAGTTTGTGTGTGTGTGTGTGTGTGCGCGCGCGCACACACACACACACACGGGTTTATATAATTGTTTTTAGGGGCTTTTATTTTGAGATTAATTTTTTCAATTTGTTGAATATAAACTTTTTGCAGGGTGTAATGAAGGCTGGGGAATAAATTAATACAATACAGTAAAATGAGTAAGCATATGGCGTTATGCCAAAGGGTATGTGTATGCGCGCGCACGCGCACACACACACACACAAACCTCATAAGAACTGGAACTTTGCATAAGAGATTCATGCAACACACTGGATTCTCATGTCACAAAATAAGGGAAGCCCCACCTAATGCCAAAGCAAAACTCCTACCTCTATCTATTATTAAACAACTGAATGATAAAAAAATTATTTGTCATGAGATGACAATCTGAAACTGACTGGCAAGTTCGCTCTTAAATTCTCTGGGAGGATATATCTGGCATTTGGGCAACAGCATGTGAAGTAACCTGAAGGTATTTCAGAAAAAAGCCAAGAAATCATGTTTTGTCCTGTTAAACCTTTGTTTTGTCTTGTTAAACCTTTGTTTTGTGCTTAATTCTTTATCCACGTACCACACTGCAACACACCCAGTGCACTTCCCTGGCAAAGAGTCATGCCGGATCACCTTCAGGGGTCTGCAGACTTCATGTTGGAACACACTAAATGAACCATGTTTCAAGAGGAGAGTTGACTCGTCCATTCAGAGCCAGGCGGTCTGAGATTACAAACCACAGCAGCTTCAACACAGATTGATGCATTAAGCTTGGCTTGCCTAGCAACAGCCACCTTGTAGCAAGTGATTTCTGGTGCCTAGGACAAAACAAGTTCTGGTAGCTTGATTTACATCACAAGATGTCAATCTTTTAAAACCATGTGTATTTTTTTAAAAAATAGTGACACCACTAGGTGAACTTTGACGTCAGCCCCAGACCTGTGCCAGATGAGCAAACAGGATGTTTAGTACATTAAATATTACATCTAGTTTAGCTGAGAGTGCAAGGAGCTCACTGTGTGTGTGATCCAGCCAGCTTCAGAATATTGCTTAGCTTCAGATATTTGTTAGAATATTTGTTTTGTTACAAACTGTGCAAGGAAACAAAGAAATTTGGTAAGCGGTTTGTAAAAGTAAGATGGTGCACTGGAACCCAGGTGTGATTAAAAATAATTGTATACACTGCCGACTTTTGTTTTCTTACCTTTGTTTTTATTTGCTTGGGTGTGTCAGTGAGAAAAATAGAGGAGTTGGGGTCACTAGAGCTCATTTTTGTTTGTGCACCTTGCAAGGCTGGAAAGAAGACAGAATGCAGCAACGCTGGCTTGGAAAAGCCGAGCCGAGGGGCCACGTCTCTCGTCATTCTGAAGTAGGGATCCTGGAAAACAACAAGCAGGAACAGGCTTGTGTGCGAAGCGGAAAACCAATGATTCACAGTTGTTTGCTGTGTGAGTTCAAGTGATGCAAAATACTACATGGCAAAGAGAAAGCCTCTTTCAGGATCTAAGGCACAATAGATAAGCTGAACCTGGCGAAGCTCTGAATTGATGAGTTGCTGTTGGGAACAGAGAACGACGTCTTGTTATTTGTTAAATCGTAAGAGGAGCCCCCGGGATAAGGCCAATGGCTCATCTAGTCCAGCCTCCTGTTTTCACAGTGGCTGAACGGTTTGCCTGTGGGAAACCAGCAAGCAGGGTTTGAGCACAAGAACATTCTCCCCTCCAATGGTTTCCACCAACTGATATAATAAATAACAACAACAACAATTTATTATTTATACCCTGCCCATCTGGCTGGGTTATCCCAGCCACTCTGGGTGGCTTCCAACAGAATATTAAAATACAATACAGTGGTACCTCAGGTTAAGTACTTAATTCGTTCCAGAGGTCCGTACTTAACCTGAAACTGTTCTTAACCTGAAGCACCACTTTAGCTAATGGGGCCTCCAGCTGCCACTGCGCCGCAGGAGCACGATTTCTGTTCTCATCCTGAAGCAAAGTTCTTAACCCAAGGTACTATTTCTGGGTTAGGGGAGTCTGTAACCTGAAGCGTATGTAACCCGAGGTACCACTGTAGTCTATTAAATATTAAAAGCTTCCCTAAACAGGGCTGCCTTCAGATGTCTTCTAAAAGTCTGGTAGTTTTTTCTCTCTTTGACATCTGGTGGGAGGGCATTCCACAGGGCGGGTGCCACTACCGAGAAGGCCCTCTGCCTGGTTCCTTGTAACTTGGCTTCTTGCAGCGAGGGAACCGCCAGAAGGCCCTCAAAGCTGGACCTCAGTGTCTGGGCAGAATGATAGGGGTGGAGATGCTCCTTCAGGTATACTGGACCGAGGCTGTTTAGGACTTTAAAGGTCAGCACCAACACTTTGTGCTCAGAAGCATTGCTGTGTCCAACAGAGGCAGCAGAGCACAGCCATCATGGCTAGTAGCCATCAGTAACCCTATTCTCCATGAATTTGTATAATCCTCTTTTGAAGCCATCCCAATTGGTGGTCCTCATGACCGCCTGTGGGAGCAACTGTCACAGTTTAACTATGTGTTGTGTGAAGAAGTGCTTTTTTTAAGCATTACTGAACCTTGCAAGAGGAAAGGGAAGCATTCGTTCCATGGACTTCTTTAAGTTATCTTACGATCCAAAGCTATATAATTATAGGATGCAATTAAGAGATACGCAGAACTCATCGAGCTCCGGTATTTATACAGCTTTTTGGCCAGAGGCAATAGATTTAATGGAAGTGTTTTAAAAGATTTTAAGAAGCGTTCCCTACCTGATCAATTGCGCATGGGATCAGACACGGAATGTTGCTCTTGTTGTTGAAGATCTGTGGAAATGATGTGCTGAAGGATGGAGCTGCTTGAATAGCAGGAAAACTGATTTTCCCTGGAAGGGAACAAATCACACACATTTGTAAGTTTGCTTTCAGCAGCAAGCTAATGGCTTTAGACTTCATTTTGTGAGGCAACTGACAAAAGTGCACCTAGGACTGGAGTGCTAGCACCAGCTATTCCACAATTTAACAAGGACAAAATTCTTTCCAGTATGTTTACTGATGGAATTTTAATCTTGTGCTTCCTTCAAGGGGTTCAGGGTGATTGACAAGGTTTTCCACCCTCCATTTTATCAAAACAACCTTGGTTAGGCTGAGAGTGACCCTGATTCTTTGATATAGTTGCTGAACAACTCCCACTGGATTTTTGCTTCTATTCATGAATTGCTAGAATCCTATTGGGAACTCACCTATACAGTCACTGTCTGTAAAACCGAAGATTCCTTTCACTTGGTTGAATGTCACATGCTTTTGGATTTTAACAATGTTCCTATAGAATCCTGGGCTCATCCTGAGAAAGAAGGGGAGTCAAAACTAAAAATTTAGACAAGGAAAATAACGTCTTCTGGAGAATATTCACAGGCCAGCACCACAATCTATTCTACTTTTTATTTATTTACAGAACTACAGATACAAATTATTTATACTTAAAGAACATTTACAAAGGAATATTTTTATTATTCCCCCTCCGAAAAGGTGTTGACAAAGATCACTATGACACTAAGATAGTACAGTCGTATCTTGCAAGTCGAACAGAATCCATTCCAGAAGTCCGTTCAACTTCCAAATCGTTTGAAAACCAAAGCATGGCTTCTGATTGGTAGCAAGAAGCTCCTGCAGCCAATCGAAAGTTGCGGAAGCCCCGCTAGACGTTCGGCTTCCAAAAATAGTTCGCAAACCAGAACAGTCACTTCCGGGTTTGCGGCGTTCGGGAGCTAAAACGTTCAGGAACTAAGCTGTTCGAAAACCAAGGTACAACTATAGTAAGTTATCTTTGCTCCGATTCAGTACTTTCTCAGCAGTCTTTTGTTTTCCCTCCAAGTAAAAATAATGCATAATTACTGCAATTGTCTCGGGATGCCCCTTTCAGACCAGGCTATTTGTAGGCTTGTCACTGTAAACCAAGTAACGAACAGAACATAATTAAAAGATTTAATTATAAACACAGCAATGGTCACCCTATGGAGGGCCATAGGCTAACTGCTCCCGGTTAAGATGTTTGTATGTAAGAAAGTATACCATGTTTCTCTGACCAAAAACGTATGGAAAAATATTCTAGGTCACTTTGAATTGCTGCCTAAAAGGAATATTTGTAAATGATAGGGACCAACTTTTGCAGTCAATGTGCTTCCAAGCCAAGAGAGAGACAACACATGCAGTACACGTAAAGCTTATTTGTGCAACGCCATCTGCTTCTATGATAGGAACCCAGGGAGCTGCCTGAGGATGATGGAGATGACTGGCCCGTCTTGCTTAGCCTTGTCTCTGGCAGTAGCTCTACAGTAGGGGTCGGCAAGCTTTTTCAGCAGGGGGCCGGTCCACTGTCCCTCAGACCTTGTGGGGGGCCGGATTATATTTTGGGGGGGAAAATGATGCAAGAGCATCACGAGCCCCAGTGGCTGCTTACCTGGCGGCGGCGGGACGATGAGCTGCACGAGAAAGGGCTCCGGAAAGGGGCTGCTTAAAATGGTGGCCGCTCAAGTGCTACTGCTGCTGTCACCAACAAAGCCCAGCCCCTTTCCTCCTCTAGGCAGGGCAGGGAAAAGCCAGGAGGAGGGAGGGAGGAGGTGCCGCCGCCGCCGCCGTGTGAGGGAGGGAGGGAAAGAATGAATGTGTGTGCTGGTGATCCATTCGACGATTCCTGGACTGTCTGCGGGCCAGATCCAAAAGGCAATTGCGCCTGATCCGGCCCGTGGACCTTAGTTTGCCTACCCATGTTCTATGGGATTTCAGGCAGCAGTCTTCCCCTGCCCTACCTGGAAACGCTGGGGATTTAGTGCTGCTTTACCACTGACCTATGGCCGTTCCCATATCTCAGGTGCTGTTTTACAGTGGGCGTCTGTAAATAAAGAATTTTTCGTTTTCAGTCCCTCTCCCTGGCTACAATTAAGATGAAACCAAGAAAAGGCAGTGACTGCGGTGATTATGCTCTCCAACCAGACTAGTGTACTTAAAAAAGAAAAGGAAAAAAAAAAAGGAGTGGAGCCAGATTGACTCAAAAGTTTTACATTTTACAGTCCTCAGGTCTGCAATCCCTGGAATATTAAAACTCTACGGAAAACTACAGGCAGCTTCCTTGCTGGCCCGCCAAACAATCAAGCGCAACTCAACTTTTGATGAATTCCTATTTCATCTGAAGCTGAAATGACCTCGAGGGGTTGCAGAAGCACTGCGCCCCCTACTGGCACTTAATATGATAACCGTATGCATGACCTAACACTCTGGGATTCTTTCTTAAGGCTCGAGGGCGTGATAAAGACACACTGGGTTAACTGGTGTAATGGAACCCAAAGAAAAATGCATTTACTTATTGAAATTTTTAAAACCGCTTAATCAAATCTCCCTCTACTACTACTACTACATCTGAAGGCAGCCCTGTTTAGGGAAGCTTTTAATGTTTGATGTATTACAGTATTTTAATATTTTATTGGAAGCCGCCCAGAGTGGCTGGGGAAGCCCAGCCAGATGGGTGGGGTATAAATAATAAATTTATTATTATTATTATTGTTATTATTATTATTATTATTATTACATAATAATAATTAGTAAAAACACAAATAAAATCAGTAAGATGTTTAAAATGAATGTAGGCGGTTTAATTATGTTTCTGGGAAGGCTTGCTGAAATAGGTTTTCGGTAGGTGCGTATGAGAATATACCAAGGTCTACATGCAGGGAGTTCCCAAGCACAGGTGCTGCCACGTCGAGACAGACTCCTTGCAAATTGAACATTATACGTCATTTCTAAAAGTGCAAGTTCCGCAGATAGAAGTGATCAAATAGGCATTGCTATTTCCTTCTTTAGTAGGAGCATTACTTTTCAGTAATATTCCGTTTCTTCTTACTGAACAAAGCTTATTTTACATCTGAAGGCAGCCCTGTATAGGGAAGTTTTTTAATGTTTAATGCTTTATTATGCTTTCATATATGCTAGAAGCCGCCCAGAGTGTCTGGGGCAACCCAGTCAGATGGGTGGGGTACAGTTATTATTATTATTATTTATTATTATTATTATTATTATTATTTGTCATGCCTTGCCATGTACTGCATCGTTATCTTGGGCAAAATGGTTCATCTCCCCCTGCCACCCCAGGTAAATTTGATAGAAAGTTTGAGATCACAGAAAACAACAGAAGACTTTTGATCATGCAAAGTTTCAAAGAATACTTAGAAATGTACCCCAAATATTCCAGATCAGAAAAGATGAAGGTTTTATTTATGTCAAATCCGCAGGCTATAATGTCCTTGATGTTTTCTATAGCACACTGATAAGCCTTCTCAAGTGTCATATCCTTCCACAGGTACTTCTCATCATCAGTTATCTGTATGACTAGGGGAACATTAAATACTTCCTGTAACCACCTGGTTAAAAAAAATGAAACAGATTTAGCTTTAGGGTGGGTTCTAGTTAAATCATTAGCCAACATGGTAATCTTTATACAATAGTGCAATCTGGGTTGAAATTAAATTTATTCACAGATTCCTTTGACAGAGTTTACAGAATCGTTTTCTCAGCTGCAAAGACTCTCTTAAATCAATTTATTTTAAAGATGTGGTTATGCACACTATGGGTATGCATTGTCCACAATATTTGATTTGGACCTCAATTTGGCACTTTGGAAAACAACCAGCCTCAATCTGAAGTGCTTCAGACAAGATCAAATCCATGCTGGGGAAAAGAGGCTTTTCTTCTATTCCCTGTTGGAAAAAAGCTATAATTTTCCCCCATTTGACAGAAGTGGATGAAATTTGCAGGCAGAGTAGCTCTTCCAGACTGGATCAAGCCTGCCAAATTATCTGGATACTAAATGCTGCAATTATGTCATGTAATCACAGAAATGGGTAAAGTGCATTTCCTTTCACTGCTACTTTGACGACATCTTGGTTGTGCAAACAGCAAGAAAAATATTTTAAATCTGCATTCATACTTAGATAAATCGAAAGAATTCAAAGAAACATGCAGTTAGTTCCACAAGCAGGAGGGGACTTCAGAGTGGTGCTTTCTAGCAAACTGCTTGGGAAACAAAGAGATTTCAAAAGCAGATCATGATATGGCATGAGGGACAGGTATATCTGTTCATTTTACTTCAACCATTTGTACGCTGCTTAATCACAGTGGTGTATGGGAGACCCAATACAATAAGACTAACAATGTGTTGATGCTGTAAAATTAATAAGTGTCCTAGAATTAAAAATGTCTTTAGTAAGTGCTGAAAGTTCCACAGGATGAGTTTCACAAAAACTGGGACCACAATACTAAGCTCCTTGTGGTACAAGCTACATATCTGAGTCGTGGGGGACCACTAACAGAGACTCCCCCCAACAACTTTATTGATCAAGTGGTGAAATAAGGGATCAGGCAGTCCCTGAGGTATCCTAGATCCAAGTTTTTAAGGGTGTTGTAAATGAATAAAAATAACTTTGAACCTGGCAGCCAGTGCAAGTATTTGAACACCTAGAGTTACGTGCTGGCCATAATCTGTCCCTCCATCAATAGCCTAGCCACAGCATTTTGCACCAGACTAGGCCCAACAGTAGCCCCACATAAAAGGCACTGTAATGACGGAGTCCTGCACAAAATAAAATAAAAAAATCCATTGAGCTACTGCAAGCCACTTGTATGAGCCCATCTTTGATGTCAGTCAGTTTTTTTTTATCCGTGTAAAGTTTTGCTGGCCATTGAATCGTATCAAAGATTAATGTGGTTACGTTACTTGTCCCATTATGTGTTTTCTGTTATTTTCTTGTATCAGCAGGAGAATCCAGTTTCTGTTCTGTGTATATTAAAAAAGTCTTCAAACTCCCTCTTTTCCTCTCAGCTTACAATCAAAAAGCAGAAGCAGAATTCCCTGGGCAGCCCTTTGTTCTTTCGGCTGCTGCAGAGTGGAACTGCAGAATCATTTACATTTCTCTGTGTTGTTACCTTGGTTCTTCTGCTCATCCACATTTGTACATTTATTACGGTGACGTCTGTCACCTAATTCAAGCTGCTTATCTTTGTGGCAGATAAGACAGAGAACAATGTTACAGACAAGTGTGGGGAGATGGATCTGGCCAGGTGGTCAGATTTTTAACCTCCCTACCCCTGGAAGGGCAAGTCTGACAGGTGTGTGCACCCACCTGCCAATTACCTGACATAACAATGGTATCAAACGTTTCCCCATGTGGTTTGCGTGCCTTGATGATCAACTGGTTGTCAGTGCTTGCAAAGTACCGTGCAAAGGGCTTTGCAGGCGCTACGGATCAGCGGTGCCTGCTAATACCCTTTTGCTCAACCACATCTTTCCCAGCCCCACACCTGACATCATATATGGCATCGGTTGTAGGGCAGGTGGGTGTGGCTTGGCCAAAACAGCCTCAGGGACCACGGGCCAGACGTTATCCAATGCTGTTGTAGAGAATGATCTCTCCTAGCTGAGCAGAGGTAACTTGTTTCCCATGTACACAGAAGCCACAGCCATGAACTCAAATAATAGGATAATGAAATTCTGCCCAAAGTCGCCCAGTGTCCTAAAGGGGTGTGCTGTTTGGGGGAGGGCACAGATGTGGTCCTCCAGGCATTGTTGGAGTGCATCTCACGTAATCCCTGGCCATTGGCCATGCTGCATAGGGCAAGTGGGGGCTGGAGCGAAGAAAACAGAGGTGTCAAAGTTGAGAATCAGAGAGAAAGGAAGGGATTCACATTTGGCAGCTGTTTCATTGCCCAGCCTATTCATGAGTTACAGTAGCAATTGCAGCCCTATTTCTGCTTACAAAAGGTGCCTCTGCTGGATTGTGTGTTTTTTTCTTTTTTGCAAGCTCCCCCTGAATGCCACCCCCGTGCCTCATTCCATGGTCTTCAAGAGGACCCCCCCCAATCACCAAGTTCATTTGAATAGGCAAAAGGGGAAAGTAGAACTCATCCATAAATTTCCTTCCATTCATGGATTTGAGTGCCAATTCTCTGAATCACAGGTTCTGACTGTCTAGCGCTGTGTACGTTGTCTTGAACGAATAGCAAATATATAACATGAAATGTTATATACTTTCAGAGTTACTTACTTTGTGAAAGTAAATGGGATAAGGTGACCAACATGCATTGCCTCCGCTGAGGGACCTCGGCCGGTGTATAGGTAGAATGGCTTCTTATTTTCATAGGCATCAAGAATTTGGTTCATATCTCTGGAGAAAAGTAAAGATACAGAGTTTGACTTTTTTAAAGAAGAGCTTGAAAAAATGAAAAAAGCACGAGAAGTGCCAAAGAAGGCAACATGTCCTTTTTGTGACTGCAATTTGTGTTTTAAGGAAGATATTATAATTTAAATAGTGCAACTGGGGCTTGCATGCAGTGGAAATACACCCCAGCTATGCAATTTAAAGAATTATGCAAGACTCCTTTACCAAGGATCTAGGAGTCTTGGTTGACCACAAACTTGACATGAGCCAACAGTGTGACGCGGCAGCTAAAAAAGCCAATGCAATTCTGGGCTGCATCAATAGGAGTATAGCATCTAGATCAAGGGAAGTAATAGTGCCACTGTATTCTGCTCTGGTCAGACCTCACCTGGAGTACTGTGTCCAGTTCTGGGCACCACAGTTCAAGAAGGACACTGACAAACTGGAACGTGTCCAGAGGAGGGCAACCAAAATGGTCAAAGGCCTGGAAACGATGCCTTATGAGGAACGGCTAAGGGAGCTGGGCATGTTTAGCCTGGAGAAGAGGAGGTTAAGGGGTGATATGATAGCCATGTTCAAATATATAAAAGGATGTCACATAGAGGAGGGAGAAAGGTTGTTTTCTGCTGCTCCAGAGAAGCGGACACGGAGCAATGGATCCAAACTACAAGAAAGAAGATTCCACCTAAACATTAGGAAGAACTTCCTGACAGTAAGAGCTGTTTGACGGTGGAATTTGCTGCCAAGGAGTGTGGTGGAGTCTCCTTCTTTGGAGGTCTTTAAGCAGAGGCTTGACAACCATATGTCAGGAGTGCTCTGATGGTGTTTCCTGCTTGGCAGGGGGTTGGACTCGATGGCCCTTGTGGTCTCTTCCAACTCTATGATTCTATGATTCATTCACCCCACAAGAAAGTTGGCTTTTGCTTTCTCTGGCAGAGAGGTATGTGAAATACATCTGTACAAAGTCTGAAAGAGGCTGACAAACCAGCAATTAAACCTACTTACCTGTGAGAAAAGAAGATTCCTCTGCATAGGAAGTGGTGTGGTTTATGCCCAGTAACTCTTTCTATCCGGTTGATGAGGTCTTTATCAATTTTGCTGCTGCCAAATCGAACTGAAGACAACCAAAATGGGCAATAGATATTATTATTATTATTTATTATTATTATTATTATTAATTAGTTGCTTGTTGCACAAAAAGGTCTTCAAGTGACTTAGAGCATATTCTCATAGTACAGTATAGGTAAAAATACAATATAAAATTATAGACACGTTCAGTGGTGATATGCTGCTATTTAACTCACCATTGAATTAGCAATACAGCATAGCAACATTATCTCACCACTCCAAATAAAGACAAGGGAATTGTTAAATATTTTGGCTTACCATTACCCTTAAATGTCTACAAAAATGTACAAAACTATATCTACACTCTTCTTTAAATCAGACTCCCTTTTCAAACTGAGCTACTTCATTCTCAGTAAGCCATCAGAGTTATAGTGCAACCTTTAGAAAGTTTATTCAGAGATACCGTATTTTTTGCCCCATAGGATGCACCGGCCCATAGGACGCATCAAGTTTTTTTGGGGGGGAAATAAAGAAAAAATTTTTTATTTCCCCCCCCCCCAGGCACTTGTGGGGCCGGCAGCGGGGAGAAGCGCTCTTCTCCCCGCAGTCCGCCTTCAGACCAGGTCCGGGGACAGCGGGAAGACGCGCTGCGTCTCCCAGCTGTCCCCGGAGCTTGCGGGGCAGGCAGCGGGGAGAAGCGCTCTTCTCCCCACCACCCGCCTTCAGACCAGGTCCGGGGACAGCGGGAAGACGCGCTGCGCCTCCCAGCTGTCCCCGGAGCTTGCGGGGCAGGCAGCGGGGAGAAGCGCTCTTCTCCCCGCCGCCCGCCTTCAGATCAGGTCCGGGGACAGCAGGAAGACGCGCTGCGCCTCCCAGCTGTCCCTGGAGCTTGCGGGGCAGGCAGCGGGGAGAAGCGCTCTTCTCCCCACCGCCCGCCTTCAGATCAGGTCCGGGGACAGCAGGAAGACGCGCTGCGCCTCCCAGCTGTCCCCGGAGCTTGCGGGGCAGGCAGCGGGGAGAAGCGCTCTTCTCCCCGCCGCCGGCCTTCAGACCAGGTCCGGGGACAGCGGGAAGACGCGCTGCGCCTCCCAGCTGTCCCCAGAGCTTGTGGGGCAGGCAGCGGGGAGAAGCGCTCTTCTCCCCGCCGCCGGCCTTCAGATCAGGTCCGGGGACAGCAGGAAGAAGCGCTGCGTCTCCCAGCTGTCCCCGGAGCTTGCGGGGCTGGCGGCGGGGTCTCCCCGCCGTCAGCCTCCAAACCACTTCGGGAGATAGCGGGATGGCGGCGTTCCGCCTCCCTCTGTCCCCCGACCTTGTGGGGCTGGCGCTGGGGCTCTCCTGAAGCCTGGAGAGCGAGAGGGTCGGTGCGCACCGACCCCTCTCGCTCTCCAGGCTTCAGTGAAAGCCTGCATTTGCCCCATAGGACGCACACACATTTCCCCTTCATTTTTGGAGGGGAAAAAGTGCGTCCTATAGAGCGAAAAATACGGTAAGTCCCATCAGATTCAATGGTTCATATTCCCTAGTGTGCTTTTGACTGCTGCCCTAGAAGCACAAATCACCCTCTGAAATTTCTCATTATGTCATTCCTTCCTTAAGACAGACTTTTAAGGCAATGCTGAACATAAGACCAGATAGATCAAGTCTGGGGAATATCTAGTCCAGCCTTCTGCTTCCGACCGTGGCTTGTGAGAAACCTCCAGGAAACCCACAAGAAGGGTTTGAAGACAAATGGTGTTAGGCAAAACTGCCTCTCGAAAACTGGAAATGGAAAGGGCCGCTTGAGCACAATGGAAAACTTGGTTAATCTGAGCACTTCATGACAAAAATGCAAGAGACAGAGCATGTTATATTATAGATTTTAAAAATCTTTAAAAATGGATAGAACACCACGTACCTATAAGTTTATCATAATCCACTCCTTTTGCATTGGATGTCTGTACCGTCCAAGGGTCTACAAAATCATTATCTTCTGTGTCTCCTGGACCATTACTGACTGGAGTGAAGTCTGCTGGAGGGGAACCTGGTTTATATTCCTCACCTGTCGCTGTTTTATAGCTCAGTTTTAATGACAGTAACAACTTAACTGCTGTATCAATTTCATCCTGGGGTGAAAGAAGAAAACACACACAAGGCAGTGTTCAGGTTAATAAAATGCAGAAAGCTGTGGCCTTGCAGCTACATTATACAGAATAGGAAATGTTCTATATGCATGAAGTCATATGTGTGTTTGTGTGTGTGTGTGTTTTGTGTGTATATACATACATACATATATATATGAATGAGAGAATTAATAACAGGTTGAAGACGAAAGTGGATGGGGCAGAGATGAAGCAGCTGGCTCTCCAAACTCCACGTAAACAAACCAAATGACCTGCTTGTCTAACCTTGAGCAACGTCACTCAAGGTCTCCATTTCACTTTTCCACTTGCAAAACTAATACAAATATTTACTTACCTTGTAGGGGCTCTGTAGGACTTGAAAAAGTTCTTAAATGTGCAGAGAAGCTAATATTTCCTTTACAGACTTACCCTAACCACCCCTATCTGCTGTGATCAAATCCCACCTGAAAACTCAACTTTTCCACTGTTTCCCATTGGCTTAGCCCTTTGTTCAACACTCAACTGCATTCTTACCCATGCCTCTAACCTATCACTAATCTAAAATGCCCTGAAAGTACAATCAGGTAACTAATTAACCTATCAAATACATTACCAAAACATGGGCCTCAAACAATAGGTTTTATTAAAAAACAAAACAAAAAACCAGGCATGTTCGTAGAAGGTGGGCTTATTAATGGACATTAGGCATGAGGAGTCAAATGAAACATCCTGATTCAGAGCTCTTACTGTTGGACATGTAGGGCTGGGGTGGAAACAGCATGGCATGACTGCTGCACTGTATTCCAATATATCTGGATAAGCACCTTAGAAAGTAAGATTCCGGACTAGAGAGACCCTTTGTCGGATTCAGAAGGCAATTTTAAGTGATTTTGTACTCAGACACAGGACACTCCCGCTGGCGAAAAGAGTAGGTGGGAAGAGAATATATTTTTGCCAAGCCCACCTTCCCCTTGCAGTCTGAAAAGTGTTCCAGAGGGTTGAAGGACCCCCTAGAACAGTATGGGGGTAATGCAGGAGGCAGAAGGGGGAAACTGAGGCAAAAAGCCTCTCCCCGTTTTCCTCCAGTAGGCATGCCCACTGGATCTCAATCCTTTCACCAACCAGAAGGAGCTCTTCTGCTTCTGGAAGGGACATTCTAGATCAATCCCTTATATATTAAAATTCCCAACCGAGGAACTTAGAAATTACTGTTTTTGTGAGATAGCTACCTTTTTTCAAAAAACAACAACACCCACCCCCTTTTAAAGGAGCTTGTAGATGTAGAAATTCAGTTTTATTAAAATGCTACACACACACACACACACACACACACACACGAATGAGAAAATTGCATAACTAGATTCTACTAAAATAAAATTCTAACTGGAAAACTAATATTGCTAAGAGTTCAGTTAATGAACTACAATTTTACCTTTGGTGCTTTCTCAGCTTTTAGCGATCTGACTTTTTCTCCTTGTGCAGTCACTTGTTCAAACAGTTCAAGTGGATTAAGAGAGCAAAAGTCACAATTTTGAAGGTCTGCCATTTTCAGGAGTGTGAAGGATCTTTTCTGTTTATAATTTAAAGTGCAACTTGCAGCTTCTTTTTATCCAGAAACTTCAAAACAGCCTGGAGGAGTCTAGAAGATAAAAGACCATGTATGCTTTAATCTTTGGTAGCTAGTTTTATAAATATTGCATAGGTCAAGCATTATTTTTATGTGCAAACACACAAAATAGGATTCAAGTTTTTCAAACACATGTATTTTTAAATCTAAGAATACTGTATATGAATACATCGATTTAATATTTAGCATCCACCTGGTAGGCCCAACAGAGCTTTATTACCGAAAAACAAACCTCATTCCAAAATCAAAGTCAGAGGCCTTCCTGAAGCAATTAGGCATGGCATTTACAGAGAAGCTTGCTCAAGCCAAGCCAGTTTACAAACATGTTTGTCATCAAGGGCAAAGGTTCCTTAGCCTTCCCCCCATCTTTTTGATCTGACACTACTCTGGGCATCATTTAGCACTTAAACAGCTCACTCCTATATGTGCATTATCATTCTGCTGCTCTTCACTGTAAGGTCCCAGAGTGGGCCACAACAATTTAAAGTACATTAAAAACAGTTTTAAAACTTAAAATTAATATATGTACTCACAAAAAGGGTGGGTTTTGAAAAGATACATCTCAGGTGTCAAAGGCCAGGGTAAAGAGGTGTGCTTTCAGCATTCGCTCAAAGCTGTTTAATAAAGTTGCCAGACCCTCCTAGGTGGGGAGGAAGTTTTGCAATTTAGGGGCTGCCATAGAGCAGGCATAGGCAACCTTCGGCCCTCCAGATGTTTTGGACTACAATTCCCATCATCCCTGACCACAGGTCCTGTTGGCTAGGGATCATGGGAGTTGTAGGCCAAAACATCTGGAGGGCCAAAGGTTGCCTATGCCTGCCATAGAGAATGAATGCCCTCTCCTTGGCCACCCCTTTGAGGTTCTGAGGGCAACAGAACCACCAAGAGAGACTCCTCTGCCATTCTTAGCACCAGAGAAGTTCTGTAGGGAAGGAGATGGTCTTTCAAATATTTCAAGCCTAAGTTGTTAGGGGCTTTAAACACTACTTTGCCCACCTTGAACTGGGCTCAGAAAACGAACTTGCAACAAATGCAGCTGTTTTAAAACAGCGCTTAATGTGATCTACATGGAACCCTAGTCAGTAATCTGGCTACTGTGTTTTGGACCAGTTGAGGTTTCCAAGTCAGCTTAAAGAGCAGCCCCACGTAGAGGGCATTGCACTATTTCAACCTGGAAGTTACCAGAATACAGTGTTTGCATTATTTGCGTCCAACAGGTGCTGTAGCTGGGAAAAGGCATGCCTAGCCACCGAGGCCACCTGAGCCTCTAGTGACAGCACCCCCAAGGTGTGGACCTGCTCCTTCCAGGGGAGTGCAGTGCCATCCAGGAAGGTTGTCTCCCCACCTCCTGTACATGAAAACTGGGGACACATATCATCTCTGTCTTTTCAGAATTCAGCTTCAATTTCTTGGCCCCTATCCAACACATCTGCGTGCAAGCACCACTCTAACACTGCATCTGCCTCTCCAGATTCAGATGGAACAGAGAGGTAGAGTTGGGTGTCATCCAAATATTGATGACACTTCATTCCAATGGCAGCTCCCAAAGGCTTCCTATAGATGTTAAATAGCATGGGGAACAAGGTGGAACCCTGCGGGACCCCACAGAACAGCTCTCACGATGCTGAACAGTGGTTTCCCAAGCTACTTTTTGGAAACAGGTCTGGAGACAGAAGAGGAACTGTTGAACCACAGTGCCCCCCATCTCCATATCCTAGAGATGCTCCAGAAGGACACCATGATCAACAATATTAAAAGCTGCAAGGGATCAAGGAGAATGAGCAGGTTCATACTCCTCTATCTCTCTCCTGACAAATGTCTTCAACCAAGGTGGTTTCAGTGCCATGGTCAGGCATGAAGCCAGAATGGAACAGACTTGGAAGTTAAGTCCCACAATTTTCATGGGGCTTACTTCCAAAGTGCTGTTGTAGCCTTCAAAAGGAAGCCACAAGTCCCAGTGTGTAAGCATATCCTTTCACAGCCTTGAATTTTCAGCAATTTCTCCACAATTCTCCAATTTCCTTAAATCCCAATACAGCAATATCCCTTTTCACTGCAATACTCCTCCATTTGCTTGATTGCATCTCAAATATCACTTCTGGAACAAACACACCATACAATGCATCGAACTAAAGCCAATCACTGTTTTAACTTGCTGAGTAAACCATTATTCCTGGAACTTGACTTGGGAAATGAGTATCTGCTTTAGATATATTAATTACATTTCTGCCTAGCTCTGTGGCTAGGTGTATCATTGTTACTTTTTCCTCAACGCTTAAAAAACAGGGTTTCATAGTATGCTTTGAGAATTCTATTCCACTCATCTACATGCCATTATTACGATGCCAAATGCTTTGCCTTAGTCAATTACACTTAAGCAAAAAATTACATGTAATAACTCTTCCATCTCCACATCTTCACTCAAAAAAATCTATTCCCATGGGATAGATCTAATTTCAGTCTCAATTTTTCTTAGAAATTTTCTGCCAATCATTTTTAATGCATTTTACTTATTCAACAAATAAGTGAAATGGCAAACTTACTTACACAATGTCTGCTTTTGAAATGAGGAAAAGACAATTTTCAACCTTCAGTTTGTTTTTCAGATGAGCTCCCAAAAACTGATGCAAACTCTGGTAAGCTCTATGCATTTGTGTCAGCAGGTTGTTCCATTCCTGAAGTGCTCACACAAATGCAAACTTTAGACCCCAGAAGGCAGAAAGCCTATCAGTTAAGGAAGTATTAAAACCCCACAGGTGCTCACTTTCGCTGGCTCCTGCTTAAACAGGACAGTATCCCTGCCTTCTCTGTATAACACAAGGGAACACTGCATTTTAATTGCCCTTTTAAGGTTATAATACAGGGGTTGGCAAACTTTTTCAGGAGGGGGCCAATCCACTGTCCCTCAGATCTTGTGGGGGGCCGGACCCACCGCCGCCTGAAAGCACCTCCCCTCCCCAAAGGCCCCCTGCCTATGCCACTCACGCCTTGTCTTCAGCAGTGTTGGTGTCCTCTGTCTCGGCAGGGCACGGAGCCCATGCTGTTGGCCTGGGCGGTGGAGGCAGCTTCCACGCCGATGCCGCTTACTTCCGCTTGGCCACCTTAGTGGGAAGGAAGGGGCAGTACCTAGATGCTGCTGGCCTGGGCAGCCTCTGGGCGCCACCGCTTCCTCCTGCTTGGCCGCCTCAGCAGGAAGGAAGGGGCGGCGCCCAGAGGCATCTGTGGCTTCTGATTGGCTGCAGGAGCTTCCTGCAGCCAATCAAAAGTCATGCCACATCACATAAGTCAGTCTCCGTGCGGTGAGGCCTCTGTGCTGTGCCTGTTTAGCACAGGGACTTATTGAGCGGGTGGCAGGGTCCACAAGGTTCGCGGGCCGGATTAACGAGCCCGGTGGGCCGAATCCAGCCCGCAGGCCTTAGTTTGACGACCTCTGTTATAATATATAAGAAGATTTACATTAATGTTCTTTGCTCACTCCATTACAAAATCAATAAATATTAACGTGTCAAAGTGTGTGATTAACAGTGTATTGTTAAATCACTAGCATAAGCAAAAATGCCCCAATCTTTCAGAATGAAGCAAAAGAGTACAGATTTTCAGGCAATGTACCCAGGAGCCCTGGAATTCCTTGGAAGCTTACCAGAGCCTCCTCAATCTGAAAATCAATAATGGTTGTCAAGCTTTTCTGCAAGACAGCTTCCCTCCCCGTTTCTACCACCTGCAATGTGCAATAAAGTGCATATTGGGAGTATTCTAGGGCATATTCTCAATTTGTGTGAGTCCATAAGCTCAGCTGTTATATGTGAACCCTAAGATAACTCCCCAAACCCTCTGCAAGACACAGAGGTTCCATGGCAAATATGCAAGTTGTGTACAATATTCCTTATCAGGGAGATAGTTGTTGAAAGGCCTCCCAGAAGGTAGGAAATGTGAAAACCAGAGCAGTAACACACTCATGCGGATGGTCAGCCACAGTGCCCCTTCAAATGTTTGTTTGGAGGGCAGGGGGAAGCTGAGAGGTGACTGGGAGGCAACTTCAATCACTAGCAATGTTCTGTCAGAAAATAGCAAGCAGTTCAGCCGTCTTCCAAGTGTCTAAGTATACAGTGGAAGCTCGGGTTGCGAACATGATTCGTGTGGGATGCACGTTCACAACCCGCAGTGTCTGCAATCCGCAGCAGCGCATCTGTGCATGTGGGGTTGTGATTCGGCACATCTGCGCATGCGCAAAGCACAATTTAGTGCTTCCGCGAGCCCCAAAACCCGGAAGTAACCTGTTCCGGTACTTCCGGGTTTTAGCGGTCCGCAACCCGAAAAAATGCAACCTGAAGCGTCTGTAACCCAAGGTATGATTGCACACAGCTCTCAATTTGGGCTCTTATTGTACACTCTGTGTTTTATCTTATTGGTCTGCTAAATGACTGCATTTTGGCGGGAGGTCTCTGCCAAAAAATGAACATTTTATGTTACATTTTATTAATGCTTTAAATTATTATCTTGTGTTTTAATATTGCAGTTTACTCTGTGCCCTGTAAATGGTACCAGGAACATGTGCTGATGGGTAGCTATATAAATATAGCAATAAATAATAATAACTTTTTTAAAAAAATAGCTTGTAGCACTGTCTGGTAAATAGTAAGGCTTGGAACTATTAGCACTCAATACTTTAAGTGTTCAAAGCACTTATATTATGTTATCTCAGTAGATCAATATTAACATATTCTGTGGAAGAGGCAAACTTTGAACCCAAGATTTTGGGGTTGACAGCTTAGTCTGCAAAGGCAGCTCTTTTTGACAGACATGATTGCTAGGTGCATGTTATTAATTCCTTCAATAATCATGGAAAGTCTGTATGACATATACATGCCTTAAAAAGACCTGCGCATGGAATGCTGCAAACCCTAATTGGGACAATGCTGATGACTCTCAGCCTGCTCAGCTCACAAGTTCAGAGTCAGCCTTGTAAGCAAAGCTATTTCTCAATTGGATTACCCCACTTTTTGGAATAGGGCCAGGAGAGACAACCGCCATGAGATGCCATGACAGACCAGTGATTCACTGGTTTCCTCTGAATTGCAGCAGCTTTCCAGGATCTCAGAAAGAAGTCTCTTTGCTAGCCTGGCTATAGGAGATGTGACCGCTAGGGAGCATGGATAGAGACTGTAGCTCATTAATCCAGGGCATGCTATGTAGGCAGAAAGTCCCAGTTTCAATACTCCACATTACCTTTAAAAGAGGGATCAAATAGCAGCTGACAGGAAAGATCTTTGCCAAAGACCCCGGGAAACTGCTGAGCTAGATGCACAAAAGTCTGACCTTGTGTAAGGAAGCTTCCTATGTTTTCCAAATCCACCTGCAACTCCTTCTGCCCCCTCTCCTGGGTGAACAGCTTTCTTAAATAAATAAAAAAGCCTTTCTTAAAAGATGTAAGGGGAGACCAAATCCAAACGTTGAATAATGGTTATGAATTGTGAAGCCTCTGGTATGAATTTTGCCTCTGCCAAGAACTCACCAGGTGACCTTAGGCAAGCCACTCTTATCTCTGTCTCAGTTCCCCCTCTGCTGTAGCAGAGGTATAATAATGACGACTTACCTTGCAGTGTTGGTATAAGGATGATAGTACATGTGAACTTCAAGGATGTAAAGTGTTTTTAAAACACTGGCAAGGACTATACAAATGCTAAGTATCATCATATTTTGGTTAAGGTGATCTAATAAACTAAGTGCCCGGTCTCGGGATGGACAAAAAGGTCACATACAATGTTTGCCATTCAGCAAAGAAAGTGGTGATAGTGGAAGTGGAAGCAGAGCTCATGCCCCCTCAAGATAGTCCAGACACACCAGTCTTCTTTCCTTCAGAAAGGGACTCCAAACAAGAAATTCCCCCATGAGGAAATGCTATATTTGGGGCATGATAGAGGTATATAAGATTACACATGGTGCGGAGGAAGTGGATAGGGAGACTGATTGATTGATTGATTTCTCTCTGTCTCTCATAATAGCAGAATCTGAGGCCACTCAGTGAATGTTGGAATATTCAGGACAATCAAAAATTATTTTTTTCATTAAAATTATATACTGCTTGATTGCAGAAAAAACCTCAAAGCAGCTTGTACAAGAAAAACAAGACCATAATTTAAAACACCGAGGAAGTTAAAACTACAATAGAATAGACCAAAACAAATTAAAACTCCTAAAAACTTTCTAAACATCTGAGTAAAGGTACCCCTGACCGTTAGGTCCAGTCGTGGACGACTCTGGGGTTGTGCGCTCATCTCGCTCTATAGGCTGAGGGAGCCGGCGTTTGTCCGCAGACAGCTTCCGGGTCATGTGGCCAGCAAGACTAAGCTGCTTCTGGCGAACCAGAGCAGCGCACGGAAACGGCATTTTACCTTCCCGCCGTTGCGGGGATTTGAACCGCCGACCTTCTGATCGGCAAGCCCAAGAGGCTCAGTGGTTTAGACCACAGCGCCACCTGCGTCCCAAACATCTGAGTAGGCTTGCCTAAATAAGAAACATCTTCAGCAGGCACCGAAAGTAATATAGCGAAGACACCTGCCTGATATCAATAGGCAGGGAATTCAAAGATGTTGGTGCCGCCACACTAAACGACAGAGTTCTTACAGATGCAGTGCGGGTATTATGTGGCACCTGTAAAAGTGCCAATTCTGTCGATGGAAGTGGTTGAGTGGGCACATATGGGGTGAGGAGATCTCGTAGTCAGCTAAACAGATCCCAAGATGGTAAAGGCTTTATAGTACCTTTCCCACACAGGGAACACTGCTGAACTATGGCATTTGTTCCTACAAGATATAGCCGGTCCTACTTTTCTAGAAAAAAGAGACGCTGGAACTCACCACAAACGCTTCCCTTGTTCTCTTACAACAGCAATGGTGCCCACCTGAGAGGTGCCAGAACTTAGTTCTGGTGAGTTCCAGCTGGGGAAAAAACCCCCTGTAATTAGCAATGACTGAGGACTGCCAAAGGGGATTGCCACAACAGCTAAACACTGAATATCTGTTGCTGGGAATCGGTGAGTGGGGCAGAGGGCCACTGTGTTTGCTTCTGTGGGTTTCTCACAGGTGTTGGGGTGGGGAGGGGATGAAGTAGAGGGATCCTTTTTCCACATGTGGTGGTCCTGTAATCAGGGAAATCTGGTAAGTAATTTACAATGAATTAAAAAATATATTCAAAAAAATCTTCCCCCAAAAGTTGGAGGCATTCTTTTTGGGAATGGTAACAACCGAAGTCCCTAAGAAACAAAAGAATTTATTATTATACGCCAACACTGTGGCTAGAACCTTATTAGCACAAACCTTATTAGAACAAAGGTGGAGAACAAATATGGTACCCACTAAGGAAGAGTGGCAGTTTAAAATGCTTGAATATGCTGAATTGGCAGGTATAACGAATAGGATAAGAGAAAAGGATGATAAGAAGGATTGGAAAATGTTTATTGAATATTTTAGGATCCGGTATAAACAAGTAAATAACCTAGCAGGTCTTCAGTAAATCCCGCAGAATAGGAGCTAATACAAATCAACGGAGGAAGGAATTAGAAGATTAGAAATTTGGAATATGCGATTTAATAGGAAAAATAAAGAAACCAGGAAAAGGGTGGAAGTGAAGTCACCAGGTATTGAGCTGTAAGTCCAGATTGGTATGAAAGTTGTACTTAAAGTGGAGGGGAGGGAATGTGGGGTGTGCTGTTTTTCTTTTCTGTCTCTGTACAGTGGTGCCCCGCAAGACGAATGCCTCGCAAGACGGAAAACTCGCTAGACGAAAGAGTTTTCCGTTTTGGAGGTGCTTCGCAAAACGAAGCTCCTATGGGCTTGCTTCGCAAGACGAAAATGTCTTGCGAGTTCCTGCGGGTTTTTTTCCCTTTCCCCCCCCTTTTTCTAAGCCGTTAAGCCGCTTATCTGCTTATCCGATAAGCTGATAAGCTGCTAAAAGCCGCTAAAAGCCGCTAATAGCGCTAATCCGCTAATCCGTCAATGGGCTTGCTTCGCAAGACGAAAAAACCGCTAGACGAAGAGACTCACAGAACGGATTCTTTTCGTCTTGCGAGGCACCACTGTATTAAAAATGCAAATAAAAAAAATTAAAAAAGGAGACAAGGTGAGGCAACTGCCTCAGGCTGCAAGATCCAGTGGGGGAGCAGATCCAGATGTAGATCTCCCCCCCGCTTGCTCCTGATGTAGTTCTTCCCTCACCCCTTCTTCCCTGGTGGGGAGAGGTGTGTGTGTCGGCATTTGGGGGGGGGTCTGCCTCAGGCAGGGCCGGGTTTAGGTTTGATGAGGCCCTAGGTTGCAATTTAATATTTTAACGTTTCAATATTTTAATGTTGTATTTAATGTTGTATTTTAATCTTGTTTTTAAGTTGTATTCATTCAACTTGTTTTTATTATTGCTTGTTAGCCGGCCTGAGCCCGGCCTTACCTGGGGAGGGCGGGGTATAAATAAAAAATATTATTATTATTATTATTAGGTTTGATGGGGCCTTTTATAAGTCCAGCTGTCGGACCTAACAGATATCTAAAGCCATTTGCACATAACAAATAGGAGCCTACACAACCATAGCTGTCAACTTTTCCCTTTTCTTGCGAGGAATCCTATTCGGAATTTCCCTTAAAAAAAGGGAAACGTTGACAGCTATGTACACAACACAAATCACTATTGCTGTATGTAGGTTTTGTTTTATTTTTATAATCTTATATTTTGGAAATGTACATCCAAGTTTTTTTTTCTTTAGTTTTTTTTTGGGGGGGGGCCAAGAGAGTGGGGCCCTGAGCTATGCCTTGGCCCGCCTCTGTCTTTTTTGGGGGGGGGACTACATGAGAGGAGAATAATGGGCCAGTTGGGCGACGGGTCGGACCCCCACGGACTTCTTCCCCCGCCCAAAGACCTCCCGCTCAAAGGGTGGGCTGCAGGGGAGCCTCTCCCCCGACTACTCGCCTCTCCCCCCCCCCCGGCTCCTCACCTGCCTCAGGAGACAGCCTCTGGAAGAAGCCGCGATTCCCCTTTGCATCAGCCAAGTGCGTCGCTCATCGCCGTCCGGGCGGGAAACACGCACCTGAGCCCGGAACCACCGGTGAAGAGGAGCGAGAGGGGACAGCTAGGCCCATGCCCAGAGCTGCGGAAGGGAGGAGGCGAGGTCTTCGGTGAGAGCCGCGCCGTAAGCCGAAGGGGGCGAGCAAACAAACAAAAACACAGAACGAAGGACGTCGGTGAAGGGGGTACCGGGGGGGCCCGGACCGTTCGACGCCGGGTCGAGTTTCCTGGGGGAACCGTTTCAGCGGGAGGCACCTGCCCACGCTGCGAAGCCGAGCGGCAAGCAGCGCGGAGGGAGGCTGCGTGAGGGCGGTGTTGCCGTGAAAGGGGTCCCCCCGTGCATGGAAACAGGTCCGGGTCCCTTCTTGGCAGACGTTGGCTGCAGGCAGTACAGGCGGAGCTGCTTCGCGTGGCACTCGGGCCGCTTTGAAGCGGGGGAAAGGAGGTTTTTTATGCAAAGTACGTGCTCAAAGCGCCCCTGTTTCACAACTCTTGTTATTGTAGCTAAGCTTAATATAGTTGTGGAAAGCCTTGCTGTATGGCTACCTTGTAATACAGGCGCACAATCCCCTCCCCCAAAGTGTATGTATGTTTGTTTGTGTTTTTTGGGGTTTACTGGCAAACACAGGTTTTGATATAGATTTAACAATTCTGCTAGTTTTATACATTCCGGGGTGGGGTAGGGGAAAGGTATTTGCATGCCACACTCAAGTTTTCCTTCTTCATGGTGGTGGCATATTGATAACAGAATTATCTACAGTCGCTAGGTAACAGGAAAACGTGTGCTTTGAAAGCTAAGCTTTCCACAACATTTTAGAGAATGTGCCAGTTCCGCAGAAGTGGTTTTTTGACCCTTGGATGCTGCTGTTTTGCAGTTGTTTTTTTTAAAAAAAGTGTCCCTGGCTTCCAACAGATACATATTTCTTGTCATAATTCAGTTTCATTCAGTGTTTATGTATGGAATTGTTAAGAGCTGCCCTTGAAAGGTTCAGCTGTAAAAAAGAATAACGTGCTGCAGCAGGGTGATGCCTAATTTTAGCAGCAGCAGGTTCTCCATTCACTTAACTGTTCATAATTGATACATTATTAATGATAAGTTAAAAAACAAATGGTCACACATAGTCTTGAGCCCACTGCCAATTCATTGAGCAAAGAGTCAATTAAATGCATCTGTTTTATTTATTTTTTTATTTATCCATCTGTTTTATTATGTTTCAGTGATGGTTGGTCCCTGCACTTGCTTTTTCAGAAAACCAAATGTAGTGGGGAGCACACATACATTCCCTTGCTCGTTATGATACAGGTTTGCTGCTGAGACAAGCCATTTGAACACTAAAGCTAGCTGGCTCTCTGATTCAGTGCTTTCTCAGTAAATGTTTGCTTTTGAGTAAAAATATTCAAATTACTGGAATTGTCTTGGGATGGCCATGGTATACCAGGTTATTTTCAGGCTGTTAATGTAAACTGGAATGTGTTAACTTAATTAAATATTTAATTATGAACATAGTAACGGTTACTCTGTGGAGGGTCACAAACCACCCTGGTGTAATGTTTGTAAGTATGAAAGTATGCTATGTTTCTTTGACTGAAAAATGAGTTCTTTAAAGTAAATTTCCTTAAATTTGTAGATTTTCATCGCAGAAGCTTTTCACTGTTTATGAAGATCTAAAGGGAAAATTTAGAGGATTCTATTGCAGCTGACTTGATGAATCCCTCACTTGTTGCTTACGAAGATTCAGACTCTGAGAGAGAGGATGGGAAATCTGAAGATGCCACTGCCAGTGGAATAAATGTTAGAAATTCTGCTATGACTGCTGCTCAGTCTTGTGATGGGACAGTCAAAATTTCTGATAGCACATTCCAACCTGTGGAATACATTGACAGTTCCAGGAGTAACATGTTTCATGAAGATACTCTTCTCCGGCACCTAAAACCTAATAAAAACTATATGGCAACCACACTTCTTAAGAAATTACAGCCTGATACACCTAGACTATTTTCTGCAAATGAGAGTTGCTCTCAGAAGAGGCCCTGTGATTACAGCGAAGTTACTATACAAGGGCTGAGACCATATATCCCTAAAAGACTGCGGCAAGAAAAAAATCCACTTCTTTGTGAAGCTGAAGACAGTGGCCAGAGCACAAGTTGTGCAGCCAAACTTGATACAGCAGGAGAACAGATGTCCTTTAATACTTCCCAATATATTATGCCATACATAGGTTCTAAGTATGGGATAACTGAAATTCCTAGGAAACTGGTATTTCAGATGTCTGATCACAGCGGTCCAGTTAATGTGGTCCAGTGGTGCCCTGTGCAGAAGTGGAGCCACATGTTGCTCTCTGCATCTATGGATAAAACTGTCAAGGTAATATGTTGCAGAGTGAATGTGTTTGTGTCTTTTTGATGGAAAATTAGCATTTTCCCCTCATAGGAAAAGAGGTGGGAATCTAATCAATTTCAAAAGTCTCTAGTGTGTCCCTGTGAGCCTTTTTTCTGAACTGGCAGATTCATGTTGAATTGTGTAGGCACCTGTCTGCTATGCAGTGCAGTCTGCATTTACTCTGACAGAGGTTATGTACTGGTGGAAATCATGGACTTCTGTACTGTCTGTGAAATTGGATTTCTGCAAGTTGAGAGGGTGGGGGAAAGTGCAGAGTCTGCTGAACTCTTGACACTAGTTCTAGTAAGTCAGAGAGAAACTGTAGATGGAGCTGGTGCATTGTTCCTTTAAAAAACTAGAGGATTCCCCCCCCCCCCTTTCTACCTTCTTAGTTGTGGGAAAATGGGAGCAGCAGAATTCTCAGTGCTCTTGCAGGAGACCAAGGAGATCTATATTTAGATTCAAAGGAATCTAAATATAGCACCTGTGATGCTGCTGATGTCAGCAGGCGCAACATGGCACACTAAAGTCCCTCCTTGCCCTCTGATCCGGCCTCTGGTTGGCTATATGAGGGCGCCCTCAAATACGTATTTCCCCAGGTATGGTAGTGGCTAATTGGCAGGTGGTAATGGTAGACCGGAACACCCACACAAGAGGAGCCAGCTTGTGTGTGTAGTAGACAGTGCCCCATTGCTTGCAAAAAATAAAAAAATAAATCCAAAGCTGTCATTTGCTCTTTGAGACGGGGAATCCAGGTGCATGTGTTTCTTCCTGCCACCTGCAAGGAAATAGTAGGTTGAAGAGGCAAGGCTTTCTATGTCCCTGTCCTGGTTCTCCCAAGTAAATTGGAGCCACTTGCTGTAATTGCACTGTTTACTGATAGGAAAGGACTGAGGGGTGAAAAAATGAAGGATAACCTCAGCTCTCCCAATAACATTTTGATATGTGCTGCAGGGAAACAAAAGGAGAAATGAAGGGAGTCCTATAAGGAGAAATCAACAGGTGATAATTTTAGGAATTTTCCATTACGGACTTTCCGTGTAATCGATTTTGTGGCTTAAAATTACCTTGTCTGGCAACCTGGTGCAAGAGAGGGCATAAGCTGAAATAGCTAAGACTGCAATATATATATTTTAGGCAAGTGGAGTAGAGCCAGTGATGGGATCTTGAGGCTTCCCTGGAGTTTAGGTTTATCACTACTGATTAATACAAGAAAAAGTGGGATCAGAGCACAGGCATAGGATATGATTTTACATAAAGAGCCTGCTGTATTAGGCCAAAGACCTCTAATCAAACATTCAGTACTCACAGATAACAACCAGATGCCCACAGGCAGGACATGAGTTCAATATTACACTCCCCACTTATGACTCCTAGCAGTTGGTTCTCATAGACATACTATCTCTGATGCTGCAGGTAATGTACTGTATGGCTATCAAGGCAAGTAGCTGTTGATAACCTGATTCCATATTTGTCTAGTCCTCTTTTTAAGCCTCACAAGTTGGTGGCCATTACTACATCTTGTGATAGCAAATTCCATGATTTAACTATGCACTGTGTGAAGAAGAAGAACTACTTTTTGCCTGTTCTGAATTTGAATTTGTAGGAACATGATTCCCAAGCGCTGCAGCTGTCATGCCTACTGTCAGACATCCAGCCCAGTAATGTCTGCTCTGATTTGGCAGCAACTCTCCAAGGTCTTAAGTTGAGATCTTTTTCATACGGTTCATCTGTTCCATCCCTGATATCTGAGATCCTTTAATTAGAAATGTCCTGGTTTAGTCCTTAACATGCTGCATGCAGACCATCCCGAGAGGCTATCCTGAATTGCTCCCCATAACTCTTCCCTTTCCACAGATCTCACTGTACAAAGTTGGCTAGAACAGTTGTTGTTCATTGCCCCAACCTGCAGCCGACGTTCCCTTTGCTATTTCAGTGGCTTTTTCCAGACTCCATATCCTTGCACTGTACCCATAGAAGTAAGCATAGGCAGCTGTAACAACCCCTCCATCCACTTTTGTGTTGAAACAACTGAGCCTCAAATCCTAGAACAAAATGAATTATTAAAGAAGAGGTGAGCCCCCCTGTGTCATACAAAATTTCTAATTTGCCTCTGACTTTCTGAGACTTATTCCGAGACTTATAATTTTCCTAAAAACTCCTTCCTTTGAATGGATACAAATGACTACTCATGTCAGCCTTATAATTTAAGTTCTTAGACGTTTCTTAGGTTTGCTGTAATGACGCTTGCTTTGCATTATAAGGTTTTAGTGGAAAGCTTATGTGGTGTCCTCCTGCTGCTAATTCTAGCTCTTTACGTCAGCGGGTGAATAATCTGTGTTTTGCTGTCCTTAATGCCTCATTTCTAGCTTTTGCAAAAGTACTTAGGTTGTCACAAAGCGATATATGTACGCACCACTTTTTCTTTGACTGACGTGAGACTTTGCTTTCTTGCACGGCTTTTCAATTAACTAGAGGAGATAACAGTGAGACTAGAAACCATGAACACCATCTACTTGGTATAAACACAGAAGCATTTATTTTATTGTATGGCTTGAGTCCAGGCTACCTGAAGGACTATGCCAGTGTGGTTTAGTGGTTAAGAGCAGTGGACTAGTAATCTGGTGAACCGGGTTCGATTCCCCGCTCCTCCACATGCAGCTGCTGGGTGACCTTGGGCTAGTCACACTTCTCTGAAGTCTCTCAGCCTCACTCACCTCACAGAGTGTTTGTTGTGGGGGAGGAAAGGAAAGGAGAATGTTAGCCGCTTTGAGACTCCTTAGGGTAGTGATAAAGTAGGATATCAAATCCAAACTCTTCTTCTCTTCTTCTCTTATCTGTGAGCCTGCCTGGGCTTTGAGATCTTCTGGGGAGACCTTTCTCTTGGCCCTACCACCTCACAAGCACATTTGGTCAGGATGCAAGATAGGGAGTTCTTGGTGGCTGCTGCCAGATTGTGGAACTCATTCTAGTATGAGGCTAAGCTGGCCTCCTCTCTGCTATACTTTTTGTCAGTAGGTAAATACTTTTTTGTTCCAACTAATTGGCTGTTGTGTCAGGGTCTACTGAGGGTGGATGTTCTACTTTGTGTGTATGTAAAGCCATCAGGTCCAGTCGTGACTGATTCTGGGGTTGTGGCGCTCATCTCGCTCTATAGGCCGAGGGAGCCGGCGTTTGTCTGCAGTCAGCTTCTGGGTCATGTGGCCAGCATGACTAAGCCGCTTCTGGTGAACCAGAGCAGCGCACGGAAATGCCGTTTACCTTCCCGCCAGAGGGTACCTATTTATCTACTTGCACTTGACATGCTTTCGAACTGCTAGGTTAGCAGGAGCTGGGACCGAGCAACGGGAGCTCACCCCGTCGCGGGGATTTGAACCGCCAACCTTCTGATCGGCAAGTCCTAGGCTCTGTGGTTTAACCCACAGTGCCACCCGCATCCCCTCCTTGTGTGTGTATGCGCTTATAAATGTTTAAATTCATTTGCTGAGTTTTTATGCCACTCTTCTGAGTTATGGTCCCCTGAGTTGGCTCCCATCAGTGACAGAGAGAGACAGGTTCTGCAGTCGGGCTTGCAAGCTAAACAGACAAGGCATGCTGGGGAAGAAGTATGGTTGTCTATGGCTGATGGTAATCGTATTAAGGTTCTGGAGCACATTCAGGTGATTTGTACCTTTAAAAGCTGGTGGTCTGTTGGCAATATAGTTTTGATTTGGCAAAGTTATTCACCGTGGTCTCTACAGTTCCCTCATAGCAGTTAGCCAGCACTGTCCAGCCCCTCTCTGAAATCGGAAGTGCAAAGTCAGCGGCAGCAAAGTCATTCTCATTGTATCAAGGGTGTGGCCACTTCTTGCATCACAGCCTGTGGGCTACAAACATCCTAATCACAATTGCCCCAAAGTGCAATTTCTAGACAAGAAAGAGCTTAATAATTTGTCAAATGTACCAGGCAATGATTTGCAGCGACACTGTTTCATTTCAAAGCTGCACTAAAGTGCTCTCTTGAACTGGTCCTCAGCCTCCTCTTTTAAAATGCAGATTGGTAAGTTCAGATATATAGAACATTCATTTTATTTTAGTGTGTTCCAAGGAGAGGCCGGCACTCACAATTAATCTCCTGCTGAGGAGGCAGAGAATGGGAATTATTGGCTAAAACGAATAAGCTCAAGTGGCAACCAGTGTTTATGGTATTGTAGAGTTTTAAAAATCAGTAGTCAGTAGAGCTCTGAGTCCTATTGTATGCTAAACAGTCCTTGAGAGCTATTTCATTGTTTGGAGGAATAATCACACGTATTTTTCTTTTTAGCTGTTAGTTCCTGCCCTCTTCGGAGTTCTTTTCAGGCCAGTAGAGGGCACAGTTAGATTAAAGATGAACACTGCAAGGGTGGGATACCAACTGCAGTTAACTTCTCTGTTTGGTCATTCATTGCAGAAAGGATGCTTTGCAATACAGATAGTAGCAAACAGCTTAAGGCAGAGTTTATAATTACCTCTAACCTCTTCTGGAGGCGGGGATGGTGCTCCCAATGTTAAACCTGCTCCCAATATTTAACTGTGCTTCATTTTACTTATTTATATTTAGAAAAGCATTTATAGACTGCCCCTCATACAGAACACCAGGGTACTGTACATCAAGATCCACAGAAAGCACGCAGAAGAATCATAAAAACGACTGGCTAATCTAAATAGTTTAAACAGCTGAATAGGCCTTAAAAATCCCTCAATAAGTATCTGCGATATTAGTGTACTGCTGAATTCCTCCCAAGGAGCAAGGATGCATGCCTTATCTCTGCTGCGAGAGTATTCCACAGCATGGGACCAGTGACACTAAGTGCCCAACCTCTAGTTAAAGCTAGTTGGGCTTCTGATACCCAGGGAACAATGAGCAGTGCTCTTCCAGAGGATCTCAGTGATTGAGCTGGAATAGGCCCAGGTGGTCCTTGCGTTGTCTGGGACCCAAGTTGCTCAGGGCCTTGTATATTAATGCAAGAACTTTGAACCTGATGCTGTCACCCATCTGCCTTCATCAGCAGTCTGGGTGCCGCATTCTGCACTGGTTGGAGCTTCCAGGTCAGGTCCATGGGCACCTCCACATAGCAAACATTGCAGTAGTCCATCCTTGATATAACTATTGCATGGACCACAGTGCCCCAAGCTTTCCTGATCCAGATACAGCCATAGCTGGCATACCAGATGGAGTTGGTAGAAGGCACTCCTAGCCACAGAGGTCACTTGCGTATACAGGAGTACCCCCAAGCTACGTACCTGCTTCTTCAGAGGGAATGCAACTTCTTCCAGAACAGGCAGTTGGCTTGTTTTATGGACACAGGAACCACCTATCCAGAAAGCCTTCATCTTCCTAGAATTCAGTCCTGACTTGTTCACTAACCATAGTTTAAAACAGCTAAGGCTTCCTCCAGTATTGATGCAGATAGTTCCAACCTCTTCCTTGCTGCTGCACCAGAGACAAGACAAGGCTCTCCTCTTCTTCTTCATCTAATGCTAGATCATATTATACCTCCTTGGGAATATGATTGAAGAGTAGTATAAAAATACTTACAATAAACAAAGTTAGTGTTGAGAGCCAGTGTGGTGTAGTGGTTAAGAGCGGTAGACTCCTAATCTGGGGAACCGGGTTCGCGTCTCCGCTCCTCCACATGCAGCTGCTGGGTGACCTTGGGCCAGTCACACTTCTTTGAAGTCTCTCAGCCCCACTCACCCCACAGAGTGTTTGTTGTGGGGGAGGAAGGGGGGAGGAAGGGAAAGGAGAATGTTAGCCGCTTTGAGACTCCTTAAAGGGAGTGAAAGCGGGATATCAAATCCAAACTCTTCTTCTTCTTCCTCTTCATCCAAAGCGGGCCATTACTTTCCTACCACTTTGAACAGCACCTTCAATCTGCCTCTTTGCAACATGGCAAAATAAAATCTGCACCCCCATCACTCAGCCCAGACACTGAGGGTCTTCTGCTGGTTCCCTCACTGCAAGAAGCGAAGTTGCAGGGAACCAGGCAGAGGGCCTTCTCGGTAGTGACTCCCACCCTTTGGAACATGTTCTCTTTAGATGTCAAGGAAATAAAAAACTATCTGACTTTTAGAAGACATCTGAAGGCAGCCCTGTTTAGGGAAGTTTTTAAGGATTGATGTTTTTATTCTGTTCGATGATGATGATGATGATGACGACAACAACAACAACAACAACAACAACAATAATAATAATAATAATAATTTATTACTTATACCCCGCTCATCTGGCTGGGTTTCCTCAGCCACTCTGGGCAGCTTCCAACAAGAGATTAAAAATGCATTAAAACATCAGTCATTAAAAACTTCCCTAAACAGGGCTGCCTTCAGATGTCTTCTAAACATCAGATAGTTGTTTATTTATTTGACATCTGAAGGGAGCATGTTCTGCAGGGTGGGCGCCACCACCGAGAAGGCCCTCTGCCTGGTTCCCTGTAACTTTGCTTCTCGCTGTGAGGGAACCGCCAGAAGGCCCTCGGCACTGGACCTCAGTTGTATGATATGTTGTAAGCCTCCCAGGGTGGCTGGGGAAACCCAGCCAGATGGGCAGGGTATAAATAAAATAATAATGATTATCATCATCTTCGACTTACATTTTAAATATTTTCATTTCTCTCATTGATGGATTCCAAGGTGGTTGAGAAAATATAAGAGAACCCCATGAAAACAATAAGGCTGTCACACATGACACATTTGCTATCTTTCAGACTAACCTTTCTTTGAAGGGTTATTTTGATGATAAAAGGCCATTTATGCCGCACTAGACTCTTTGGAAGAATGAGATAAAAAAATATAATAAAGAAAATTAAAAACGAAATGAAATAAGGCTAGATTTAAAATAAAAACTATTGTTACTATTTAATACTACTATCTTTGGCTTTGGCGATTATTTCTTCTGCTGGAGCACCGTTATCTTTTAAAGACATGGAAAAAGAGCATTTCTGTATAAGTTTCTGGCTTTCATTTGCATTTTTGGGAAATGGAACCTGGGCTGTCAAGGAGTATGCAGGCTCTACAGTGGTGCCTCGCAAGACGAAATTAATTCGTTCTGCGAGTTTTTTCTTCTTGCAAGTTTTTTCGTCTTGCGAAGCACGGTTTCCATTTTTTCAAAAAAGTCTTCAAAAACCTCAAAAAAGGCTACCACACCGCGTGCTATGAGTTGCTCCTCGAAGTCAAGTCGCAACTGCACCTCTTCAAGCAATGCACCCTGTATTACTGTAACGGTTTTAAGAAAAAGGAAACAAACTTGCAAGACGTTTTTGTCTTGCGAAGCAAGCCCATAGGGAAATTCGTCTTGCGACGCAACTCAAAAAAACCAAAAACTCTTTCGTCTTGCGAGTTTTTCGTCTTGTGAGGCATTCATCTTGCGAGGTACCACTGTATTTGGAAGGATTGTGTGCGGGGGGGGGGAGACCACAAACCCTCCTCTGCATGAAATAAATTGACTGAATAACTGTGCTCCAAATGGGAGCTTTTTCCAAGAAGACCTCCCTCCCGTCACCACTCTAAGAAATTAAATTGAGCCTCGTGGTGAAAAAGTACACTCTTTTACTAATCAATTCTGTTCCTGCTTTATAGCTCATTCCCTGCATTGTCACCACATTGTTCCCAATATTTCTTTTTTCATTAGAAAAGAGTTGGCCTGACCCTTTTTCAGAGCACATTCCCTTAGAAATCCCTAGGTTTTCTTGTTCTGTGTTAGCCAGTCTGAGGAGAAAGTACATGTGTGATTGAAATCTAGTAGTAAGCCATGATTTATGAATGAGCTACTTACTATAAAACACTTTGCACACCAAAAAAGTGCTAGGAAAGGGATGAATAATGCATGGATAGCTCCAGGGTTGCAGTTCTTTGTTTTACCATCCACCTTCTCCACCAGTAGGTGAGTCTCTTCAGCACCTCGGAGAGTTGACTATGAAGAATCTCTCGTCTCTTAAAAAAAAGGCATACAACAGTTGGTCCATTTTATGGTGAAGAAAAGAAACCCTCTCCATTTTTAAAAATGCTGTGTGCAATCAAATGGTGAAGCATGGCTCAGAAAAGCCTTCAGGGAAAAATAATAGGCTTACGAGGATGTGATGGGAGGAACATCACAGAAGAGAAATTGTTTCAAATCTGTGCATAATGAAAAGACCAGCCTTTGACACTCTGGGTGAAAACTGAAACGGCACTGCTTTCCAGATTCTTGCAGGGCCTTCTTGCCTACATCTCAGCATCCTGTGGCTTACTGAGCTGCATCAAAACTTTCTACACGCCCCCTGCTTCATTCCTGCCCTATGGCTGCACTTGCCAACCATTCTCTTCTTGGGTCCACAAGCTCACACCTGCTGCTCTTCTAGTAGGGGTTTTTAGGAGGTCTGCATGGACTGCCACACCTATTTCAAACATGTCTTGAGTTCTGGTCAGTGTTTTCTGTCCTTTTCCTGGTCCTTTCTTATCTCTGCCTTTACTAAGCCCTTGTTGCGTGCAAGCAACGGATGCATGCCCAGTGGGCTGAGGCAAGGAAGATTTCCTCCCATTGTCTTCTGTAGCAACGCTGTTGGTCCTGACAGAATGCTACCCTTGGGAAACTCCTAGGGTTGTCTAATAGGGTTGTCTAATAGCCTTGCAAGTTCCTTTTAAGTACTCCTCAGCAATGGGCTTTCCTTTCTTTTAGTTATCATTTTCAGAATGAATATTCCGTGCTGTTCTTGCTGTCACAGAGTGTGCAGAAATGTAATGGGGCTTTTATCAGCAAAGGAAAACTAAGAGGAACAAGACAAATTGGAATGCAGGAGTCAGAGAACCAGAGAAAACTGAATATTTTTGCAGATTGGCTTCTGAACATCTTGGGGAACTATTCCCATGCCTTCCCCCCTGCAAATAGGTACATTTTATCCTAGTTGTGCAGCTCTTGAGTGCAGTGATATATAGAATATTATTTATTGTATATATTACAGGGTTTTTTTTAATATTGTCTGTCAAAAAACAAACCAACAAACCAAGGGTGGTTTACATAAAAATAAACTGCAGAACATAATTTTTAAAGCACAATTATGCAAACTCAAAGAGTCCTGAAAAATAGAAAAGCTAAAAGGCATCAAGATATTAAGGCAAACAGAAACAAACACAGCTAAAACTATGGGTTGCATACCTAGATTCAGAACAACATCTTATGGCAGCCAGAGCTGTCATTCTTTATGCTAAAAAAACCCCTTGCAGAATGTTTCATTGTCTTAATGGCAATCCATCCAAGTGCACATTGGTGAATGATCCCCAAACTCTTTTGACTGGCATGAATAAGTTCTCATCTCAACTTGAGATTACTTTCAGAAGAGATCCAAATGATCACAGACCAAGAATAAACAAACTCAGTTCAATCAAGGATGTGGAACAGAAGAAAAGTGGAAACTGCTTTTTCTTGGATGATTAAGTGAAAAGTTGATCATCAGTTTATAAAAACGAAAACCTTGCTATATGAAATGCAATCAGGTTTTAAAATATTGCTCATTCCGGAGGCAAAAATAGAATGTTACTATCGTGTAACATCTACTGCCCAGAAGCAGTGTCACAAGTACCACTTTTGTGCCGGACAAGGCTATCTTTTGGATGTAATATTTCAAAGCTGAAGTTATCACACACATGCTTTTTTACAACAGAGATATTTTGGTTTGGATGTACCAAATGCTAACATGTTTCCAATTCTACGTCTTTCAGCTGTCTTCTGTACAAGATAGTAAACAAGAAGCCAAGATATTGAAATTGGTATTTTAAAAGATCCTGACTTGCTGTAAACGAGGGTTTCATAAGTAAATGCCCATTGAGTCTTAAAAAAACAAAAAAACCACCTCTATGGGTGTTGAATCCAGTCTAACCATGGGCAGAATTCCAACTATGGGATATCCCTGTCACAACCGATCACAGACTGTGCCTCAGGGCGTAAGCATACTGAGCAGAGACAGAGCCACATCCAATAAGATAGGGCCTTGAGAGGGAAGAGAAGTTCTTTCAGTACCCTGGATAGCACACTGTGGAAGATGCTCTCAGGAGGAGGGGTGTTGTCTCAGCAGAATGCAGAGGCCTCACAAAGTCTGACAGGATGGGTCCTGCCATGGACCCACCTTCCCTGCGAAGCTGTAGGTGCTGTGAAAAAACTGCTGTCTGGTTCTGTAGTCATTGGCTCCTATGGCATGGGGGCTGCACTGAAACAGCGACTTCTGAGTCTGTCAAAGCAATACCCTCTGGTATAGAAGCTGGGGATTGTTGCTTCCCTGAGTGGTGCTCTTCCCTGTCTGCATCTTCCTTCCAGGCTTGAAGGAGGGTTGAGGCTGGAGAACATGACTTCCCCCACACCAGGAAAGGGGTTACTTTCAGCAAATTCCCCCTCTCCCCCCGCCGTGGATACTTTGTGAGCTCTTATCCCTTGTGCTGTGCTTATATCCTTCCATTGAGAGTTCCTCACAGCTTTTCATCATTTAGTGCTGCTGGCAAGAGCTGAGCAAGTTATTATACGGCGATGACATGGCGTAAATAACAGGGCATAGGAATTCGTCTAATTATCCCCTCCTGCCCCAATACCTAGGACAGTGGTACCTCGGGTTAAGTACTTAATTCGTTCCGGAGGTCCGTTCTTAGCCTGAAACTGTACTTAACCTGAAGTACCACTTTAGCTAATGGGGCCTCCCACTGCCACTGCGCCGCCGGAGCACGATTTCTGTTCTCATCCTGAACTTCTTAACCCGAGGTACTATTTCTGGGTTAGCGGAGTGTAACCTGAAGCGTCTGTAACCTGAAGCGTCTGTAACCCGAGGTACCACTGTATTTTGAAATATTTTGTCAACCAAAGGTTTGACTTGAAGCAGCTGCAATTTGGGTCCTTCCTTTCCTGAACCCTCTTATATAGCAGCTCTGGTACTCAAATCTTCTTGCTTTCCTTTCCCCTCCCGCTCCCCCTTTGTTTTTGTTGCATCTCCATCATACTGTTGGTCATTTTAAGCTGTGAACCGCCTTGAGTACTCTGCCAGAAAGACAGTATATAAACGTAGTAAACTGGTCGTATTGGGGCAAGAGAGAAGCTGGAGGTGGCAACCACAGGAGATTACATGCCTTGTTCTTACCCAGGTAACTAAGAACGTAAGAACACAAGAAGAGCCTGCTGGATTGGGCCAGAGGCCCATTTAGTCCAGCATCCTGTTTGCACTGTGTCCAGCCAGATGCCTGCAGGAAACCATGGAGCAGAACATGAGCACATGAGCACTCTTCCTCTTCTGTGGTTTCCAGCAACTGGTATTCAAACCTAGGATATTGCTAGCCTAATATGGATTGTTAAAGGTAAAGGTAAAGGTACCCCTGCCCGTACGGGCCAGTCTTGACAGACTCTAGGGTTGTGCGCCCATCTCACTCAAGAGGCCGGGGGCCAGCGCTGTCTGGAGACACTTTCGGGTCACGTGGCCAGCGTGACAAAGCTGCATCTGGCGAGCCAGCGCAGCACACGGAAACACCGTTTACCTTCCCGCCAGTAAGCGGTCCCTATTTATCTACTTGCACCCGGGGCTGCTTTCGAACTGCTAGGTTGGCAGGTGCTGGGACCGAGCAACGGGAGCGCATCCCGCCGCGGGGATTCGAACCGCCAACCTTTTGATCGGCAAGCCCTAGGCGCTGAGGCTTTTACCCACAGCGCCACCCGCGTCCCTCATTGGATTGTTACATAGCTATAATCACCCAGCGAAGTGTCGTTTCTGAAACCAGATGCCTTGGGCTGCAATCATGTTCCCATTGAACTCCTGAGCAGACGCATATAAGATTGTGTTGTTAAGCTGCTGTTTTATTTGCCTAAAGCTTGTGCATCATCCCACTTGGAGAAGACGTAGCTGAATTTAGATTTACCAAATTGCCCTGTGAGGATACACATGTAGTATTATTTTTCCAGATTTATTTTTCTTGCATAATCTTTGGCAGTAAGTAGATTTCAGGCTGCTTAAGATGTTCCTTTGGTGCACATATTTTGTAGGTATTTTCAGAATTGACAGTTAGAAGCTTGGGAGGCAATGTTGTGTTGAAAACAATCAGCCGAACAAATTTTTTCCCCCATGGAGGTACCATTGAAATCAATAGGAGTGGTGTAGAAGCAACTCTCGGTCATATTTCTTATGAAGTGTTTTAAACATTTTGTTTCCAGGCATGCTGTTTCCAAGGAAACTGAAAGTAGTCCTTGCAAAGTGTAGTTCTATATTTTTTAGTGTCCCTCGGTGGAACAGATTTTTTTTGTAACAGTATTTATCGTAGTACTGGGTATTAATGATCTTCCCTTAAATTTTTTTTCCTTACCCAAAAAAAGCTTGTAAACTTGCATAATATCTAGCACCATCTAATTGTTACCCAGAAGATAAGCGGCCAGTTGAAAGAGGTTCCCACACCCATGTTACAGAACATAGATTCAGTCCTTGGCATATCTATGCCTGTCTTATTTGCGCTACGATATTTTAATTAGTTTTGAGACATCATTTCATGGAGAGTGTTCTTACCAGAAATAGCATGCATAGTGTCAAGTTTCCCAGCGAGGATTCTGGGGCGAAGTCTTAGGTCCCAGTGAGAAAAGATGCTTTGTAACTATGTGCTTAAGCTGTGCTAGTAGCTTGCTAATGTGCTGTTTGAGAGTTGGGTCTTGCAAGACTCTCGTTTGAATGGACAACACATTTTTTAGTTGTGTGGATCATTGGCAGCCCTGTAACTGTCCAACACAGTTAGCTGTTTTCGGCCTAAGCAAAAAGACCTCCTTCGTGTTATGCTCAAAGGAACAATCCCTTCATTTTGGACTTTTTAAACCATGTCCTGTCTTCTTTCAGCTCTACCTGAGTTTTTGGCACTATAGTCCAATGGGGCCCCCTCTTCTTATGCAAAGCACTGAAAGTTTATTACACAGAAATTTAGAAAGCCTTTGCACATTACAGTGGTACCTCTGGTTACGTACTTAATTCGTTTCAGAGGTCCGTTCTTAACCTGAAACTCTTCTTAACCTGAAGCACCACTTTAGCTAATGGGGTCTCCCGCTGCTGCCGCGCCGCCACCGCGTGATTTCTGTTCTCAACCTGAAGCAAAGTTCTTAACCCGAGGTATTATTTCTGCGTTAGCAGAGTCTGTAACCTGAAGCGTATGTAACCCAAGGTACCACTGTATCTCTCTCTCTCTCTCTCTCTCTCTCTCTCTCTAATTGAAAGTTTTACAGTGAGTTAAAGAAAAAAAGAAAAAGGAAGTGGGGGGGAAGAAACAAAAGAAAACAGGATTACAGCAATAACAGTGTAACATTAAAATGTACTTAGGTCTATGTTATATATATGTAAACAGACGACTTATCTCCCTCATGTATACGTCAGTTCACGATTCACTATGGTTTCGTTAAATACTTTCCAAATATGATTAAATTGGTCCATACATAATCTTGGTCTGAAAGCGATCCATTCAAAGTTTGCAAGCGTCGTCACGTTGTCTGTCCATTGATCAAAGGAGGCCATTTATTTTTATCCTTCCAATGTATCAATATCAATATTCTTGCAGATGGTAAGGCCAGGAGAATCCATTTACGTTGACTGATTTTCAAGCCCCATAAATTAGGTATGTAGTTGAAAGTGATGTTATCTTCTGAAATTTTTAATTCTTTCCCCACAACTGTATTAATACATCCTAGCATCCCACCCCCCGCCAAATAAATAAATGCTAACACCAGACACTGTATAAACATATGTTTCAAAGAAGCATTTTCCTTATTGCACTTTTGTTTCCTGACAACAAAATTGAGGGTCGGCCAGCGCATTATGCCAGCAAAGTAAAGGCTGGTGGAAACATTTGTCCCTGGTGGCAGTGCAGAGGCTCTTCGCGTTGAACAAGAGATGTGTGCCATGAGCCAGACACTGTGCACATTAAGTGGTTCCCATGGGGAAGTTGCTTTCATTCCGTCTCTGAATCTTGGCATAAAGTAGAGCCTAATTTTAAGAAACGTAGCAGGAAAAAAGGTATCAAGTATCATGTGAGGTTGGAACAGCCATTTCCCAACGTACTTTATTGGCAGAGCATTTTTTTTTTGTTAATTAGGTGACTTGATTGTATTACTTAGTTTCTTTTCTGCATGATCTGGCTTTTTGTTAAGTTGTGGGCGAACATATCAGATGACACAGCGATTCTTCCAAAGCAGCTCTTTATTTGTAAGCTGGAACAGAACTAAGCTGAGGAGCTCAGTCAGCCTGCTTATATAGAGCTCCAGAACAATGTAACTATTGCCATTTTCTAAAACTATCCAATCACTGAACGTCACTTTTCGATCCTTCATTTGCATAACTATCTACAGTATCCCCCTGCTGGCCCAGGGTGAGAACTTCAGTACATAACACCCCTCCCCACCGAGATAAGGCGTTACTTACAATCGTAATGGTTTCCTTATATACAGCACTACACGTAATGGTTCAATTAGGCACAAAAGCATATCGGTTACATTTCACATACTTAGACCAACAGTGATACATGTCCAACAACATAGTCCTTTAAATAAGTTGGGCGCTTGGAAACTCTGCCAGACCGCCGGGGACTGGTAGCCAAGTCCGGGGGGCCACACAGTTCTTGCTGAGGCTGTGGTGCGACCCTAGGTGGCGTTGAAACCAAATCCCCTGGATCCGCTGCTGTGGGAGGAGCCTCCGCAAGTGGAGTGGTCTGAGCCTGTGGTAAGTCTGGCAGACCCTCTGAAGTGGCTTGGTTCGGCTCCACGCTGGCAGTTTGCGAGGGAGGTGTAGGTGGAGCCTTGCCGTCCGTAAGTGTCTGTTCCGGAGCCACGAGCGCAGTTGGGGGCACCATGGTAGTGTCCAAGTCCCCAACCCTGCGCCTAAGCTGATCTATGTGCCGGCACCACAAGCGTCCGTCTTCGAGTGCCACCTGGTACGAGCGAGGTCCAGTGACTCCCACTACTGTGGCTGGCACCCAAGGAATGTCCCCCACATAGTTCCGGGCAAAGACCTGGTTTCCTGGAACAAATGACCGTGGCGCGTTGGCACAGCCTGGGGGTTCGTCCACGGCAAAGTCCGGATGCAGCCGGTCGAGCGGTGACCTGAGGTGGCGGCCCATAAGCAGTTCAGCAGGACTCCGCCCTATGCAGGCCTCGATTCTTGGCATGCTTGACAGGCGGACACCCAGGCAGTGATGGCATCGTCCATCTTAGGCCACCAGACATAACACCGAGCCAACGCCTTCATTTTGACGATTCCCAGGTGGCCAACGTGCAGAGCCTCCAGGACGCGTTGACGGAGTCTTTGGGGAATCACGACGCGGTCTCCCCACAGCAGACAGCCACGATGAGCTGAGAGTTCATGTTGTTTGGTTGCGAACGGTTGGAACTCCAATGCAAAAGGCCCTTGTGGCCACCCCCTCCACACCCAGTTGAGCACACGGCTGATGGTGCGATCCTGGGCAGATGCAGAGGCCACAGTGGCAGCTGATACAGGCGCTGCCGGAAGATCCTCAATCAGGAGGAGCGATGAAGCTGGAGCCGGATCTTCCACAAACGTTGGAAGAGGGCAACGGCTGAGGGCGTCGGCATGGCCCATCGATTTCCCCGGGCGATGGACGAGCCGGTAGTGGTAGGCAGCCAGGAAAACAGTCCATCGCAGCATGTGCGGCGAGAGGACCGGTGGAGTTGGACGATCACCGGCGAGGAGGCCCAGGAGCGGCTTGTGGTCAGTGATAAGGTCAAAAGTCCTGCCATAGAGGTATTCATGGAACCTCTTCACTCCAGCCACAAGTGCCAGTGCCTCCTTGTCGAGCTGGCTGTAATTCCGTTCAGTCAGAGATAGCGTCCTGGAAAAGTAGGCGAGCGGTGCTTCTCTTCCGTTTGGAAAACGGTGACTAAGGACAGCGCCGATGCCAAAAGGTGAGGTGTCGCAGGCAAGGACCAGCGGCCTGGCTTCACTGTACTGTACCAGCACACTGTCCGATGAAAGGAGAGCCTTGACCGCGTTGAAGGCCACCGTCTCCCGATGACCCCAAGACCAAGGTGTCTTTGTGCTGAGGAGCCTGTGAAGAGGCTCAGCCACTGTGGCTTTGTGGGGCAGAAACATGTTATAAAAGTTCAGCAGCCCCAGGAACGCCTGCAACTCTGTCTTGTTCTTTGGGATGGGGGCCTGCTGGATAGCACGGATCTTGGATGTGGTCGGGTGAAGGCCGGAGGCGTCAATAAGATAGCCCAGGAACTCCACCTGTGGAACAGCGATCTGGCACTTCTCCCTCTTTACCTTGAGCCCGGCCTCTTGGAACCTGGTCAGCACGGCACGGAGGCGCTCGAACAGCTGCTGGTGTGAGTCTGCGGACACCAAGACGTCATCAAAATATGGTACCACGCCCGGAAGCCCTTGCAGAAGACGCTCCATAAGGCTTTGGAAGATGCCAGGAGCCACACTCACCCCGAACTGCAACTGGCGGCAACGGAATGCCCCTCGGTGGGTGACGATCGTCTGGGCTTCAGCAGTGGCATTGACGGGCAGTTGTTGATAGGCTTTGGCAAGGTCGAGCTTAACGAAGACCTTACCCTCACCCAGGGAATGCAGCAGGTGTTGGACAACAGGAACCGGATAAGCGTGCTGCTGAAGTGCCTTGTTGATCGTGCACTTGTAGTCAGCGCAGATTCTCACCGACCTGTCTGGCTTGACAGGCGTGACGATGGGGGTTTTCCACTTGGCGTGGTCAACTGGCTCCAAAACTCCCTGGGCGATCAGCTTGTCCAGTTGTTCGTCCACCTTAGCCTTGAGAGCAAAGGGAACCCGGCGTGGCTTTAGCTTGATGGGGGCGACTTGTGGATCAAGGCTAAAGGGCGTACCTGTATATTGCCCCAAAGTGCCATCAAAAACCTCAGCAAAGTCTTTGACCAGACCCTCAGTCTCTGCGTTAGAGATGCAGTTGATGCCGGTGACTTCCAGGCTGAGGGCATCAAACCAGTCTACCCCTAGGAGGCTTGGCCGCTGACCTTCGACCACCACCAGTCGGAGCAGGCCCGAAAAATCCTTGAAGGCGATCCGGAACCAGCCAACGCCTACCACGGGAATGTCGTTTCCCTGGTAGTCTCTCAGGTGTACTCGGTGAGAGTCGAGTTGCCTTTTGGACACTCTGGGTACCAGTCTTTTGATGGTGCTCCAAGATACGATGGACAGGGCAGACCTGGTGTCGATCTCCATGTCACATGGAGCTCCTTCAATGAGCACTGTGACGTTCAGCTTGCGTCGCGTAGGCGAGTCGGTTTGGCCAATCGTGATTCCAGACGGGCAGCGGCAGTTGGTGAGAGCGAAACAGCTTTCCTTGGCAGACTGGAGTGAAGACGTGGACTTGCGAGTCGGTGAAGGGGGGGTGTCAGACGGAGCCGATCGGCAGACCTTAGCGATGTGGCCCCTTCTGGAACACGTCCGACAGATGGCGTCTCTGAATCGACACTTGGCACGGGAATGGTTGCCTCCGCAGCCGGCACATTCCGGTTGGCCCTTGGACTTCTGTTGGACCTTCCTGCGCTCCCGCTTTGTCTGGTGCACATCATCGTCTTCACCGGAGGATGCCTCATCACTGCTGGCCTCTTCGTGATGCACTGGAACTGGCTTCCTAGCAAGGCGCGGGCTGCTGGACTTGCGGATCTCCTGGGCAAGTTCAGCAGCTTCTGAGGCCACGGCCTCCTCAATGGCTTTCTGTAGCGTGAGGTCTGGCTTGGCGAGGAGACGCCGTTGCAGATGGATGTCCCGGACCCCGCAGACGATTCGATCCATCAGGGCATCGTCTAAGTCTCGGAACTCGCAGTGCGTTGCAGCCTGTCGCAGGGCGGTGGTGTAGTTGTTGATTGACTCCCCCTCTGCCTGGTTCCGGTGGTAGAACGCTTGGCGGGCAGCAATCTTGGACGGCTTTGGCGCGTAGTGGTTACGGAGCTTCTCTTGAATCGTGTCCCATGGTGTTGCCTGGACTGCTTCAGCCGCAACCAATGCTTGGGCCGTCTCAAACACCTCAGGCCCACAGAGGCTGAGGAATAGGCCCCGCTTCCGTTCCTTTGATACTGCTGTCAGCTCGTTGGCTTGGAGGTAGCAGTAGAACCGAGCGACGTAGGAGTCCCATGATTCAGAGGCTGGCGCAAACGGCGGTAGAGGCACAAGTGAAGCCATGATGCCGGCGTGGAGGGCGATGGATGGAACACAGTGCTCTAGCCAGAACAGTCAGCTCTGAATTGGTTCTGTCCAGTGATTTCGCTCAGTGATTCAGCTCAGTTCAGAGGATGGCCGCATCTGGCTGTGCTCTGATGTCCATCGATCCCATCCTCGTCGCCAGCGTTAAGTTGTGGGCGAACATATCAGACGACACAACGATTCTTCCAAAGCAGCTCTTTATTTGTAAGCTGGAACAGAACTAAGCTGAGGAGCTCAGTCAGCCTGCTTATATAGAGCTCCAGAACAATGTAACTGTTGCCATTTTCTAAAACTATCCAATCACTGAACGTCACTTTTCGATCCTTCATTTGCATACAAACTATCCAATCACTGAATGTCACTTTTCGATCCTTCATTTGCATAACTATCTACAGTATCCTCCTGCTGGCCCAGGGTGAGAACTTCAGTACATAACACTTTTTTTGTGTGAGATGGTTCTAGTCTAGTCTTATAAGGTTGGCTGCTTTTGTACAGGTGTGTGTGTGTTACTATATTCATATTATAAAACAAATAAGTTGGGAATCCGGATCATGAGAAGCAAGCTGTCAACTTTCTAGTTCATAAGCCTAACGATTAACGTTATCTTTGGCTTGCATACATGCAAACATGGCCAATTTCATTTCAGCTAACCAGTGGTATCTCAACTTGATTTCCCCTTGCTGAAGAACCTGATACAGTGGTACCTCGGGTTACATACGCTTCAGGTTACATATGCTTCAGGTTACACACTCTGCTAACCCAGAAATACTGCTTCAGGTTAAATACTTTGCTTCAGGATAAGAACAGAAATCGGGCTCCGGCGGCACGGCAGCAGCAGGAGGCCCCATTAGCTAAAGTGGTGCTTCAGGTTAAGAACAGTTTCAGGTTAAGAACGGACCTCCGGAACGAATTAAGTACTTAACCCGAGGTACCACTGTACAGGGCTGCCTTCAGATGACTTCTGAAAGTCCTATAGTTGTTTTATTTCCTTGACATCTGATGGGAGGGTGTTCCACATGGTGGCGCCACCACCAAGAAGGCCCTCTGCCTGGTTCCCTGTAGCCTCACTTGTCACAATGAGGGAACTGCCAGAAGGCCCCCTGAGCTGGGTCTCAGGGTCTGGGCTGGTGGTAGAGACGCTCCTTCAGGTATACAGTCTGACTGGGCAGCTACTAGGGTTGAATGTTTAGTAGAGACAGTATTTCCCCTCCTTTAGCTGCGTGTCCATAAAATTCGTTAAGTTAAACAGCTCTTAAAGAGAAACAGGAATAAGCTTTTAAATAACCTGTGCTAAATCTTTTCCTCCCCATTAATCAGAGGTCAATTCATTTGTCTGTCTATCACAAACCTATTACGACAACCACTGAATTTCATTTTAGATGGGGGGGGGGGGACAGAGGAAAGAAAAATACAAATAGGAAGAGCTTTCACTGATATTTGTTTTTGGGGGTGGATCTTAGCTACATCATGAACGTCCTAGTTGAAATTGATCATACGTTTTAAACTAGCCCTGGGATTTTAAGTGAAATATTTTAAGCTCTTAAAAAGCATCATATAAATTATAGATGATACCATTAACATAGGCTCAGTCACATTTCAGTAGGACTATTTTGAACTAAGTTCAGCAAGGGTAGTCAAGAATTTTATTTGTCTGTGGACTAATATGCAGATCAGAACACTTCATTTGTTTTCGCTTTTCTGAAATATGTGATACGGTTTGTGACTCAAACATTTACCAGATTTGTGCAAAAATGCATGCATTAGATTTAAAGTTTTTCTCCCTCCTCTCTGCATATCCCCCAAAATGGGTCTGGAGAGGGGATCAGGGCAACCCCTGGAACAGCATGCAGGGTGAGGAGAGCAGGGAATTGTTCTATCTGGTAAGCCAAAACGCCTGCCCTGCCGGAACAATCCCTGTGGCGTAACATTGCATTCTTCCCACCATTAAAATGAATGAGGATCTCCCCAAGTGGGCAAGAGGTCAGTGCACATAGTGATTTCTGAATTGGGTTGCTTGTCTAGAGAAAGCACTAAAGGGCTACTGCCTTGTAAAGAACATGGCTAATAAATAATAATAGGGTTTTTGAAGCTTGCCTTGGCAGAAGTGATGCATTGAAGCAGGATTCTTGTTTCTCTTGATGATCTTGCCGCATGATAATGGGCCGCTGCTTTTCTTTTAAAGGATTTTTCAAAAATAATAATAATAATGCAGAGGATAAAATTGCGTCATGTACCCTTATAGTGAATCCAATTGTCTGTGTGTTAGTCCTTCCATATCCAGAACAGCACCATCCATGCACAAGAGGGAGGAATCCACATGCTTTAGGAAACCCAAAGAGGTAGAAGAACTTGTTAGGAAAAAAATAAATCTGGTAGGTTGGGAACCCAAAAACAGCCCAGTGAAGACTGAGCATGCTCAGTGGACATTAAACATTGACTGACTATTGTGGCGAAGGACGGGAGTATGGAATAGAGTTCCCTGGAGGGGGACAAGACTGGCTGGAACTATGAACAGACGAAGAAGAAGAGTTTGGATTTGATATCCCGCTTTATCGCTACCTGAAGGAGTCTCAAAGCGGCTAACATTCTCCTTTCCCTTCCTCCCCCACAACAAACACTCTGTGAGGTGAGTGGGGCTGAGAGACTTCAAAGAAGTGTGACTAGCCCAAGGTCACCCAGCAGCTGCTTGTGGAGGAGAGGAGACGCGAACCTGGTTCCCTAGATTACGAATCTACCGCTCTTAACCACTACACCACACTGGCTCTCAGGAGCACTCCACGCTGCAACATTTTGTTATAGGCCACATGTTGTATAGTCTTAGGTTTTCCAAGCATGGGGGAAATTTATATGGTAAACTAACCCTTGTGGCAAGGCAAAGTCAGTCCAATTCTCCAGCGTGCAACTGTTCGGAATGGGGGTGTTTAAGATAGCAGCTTTCTTTTCCATGTTTAGGAAGACGTGCAGCAGATATAATAATGCATTCTGCACAGGCAAAATGGTATACAAATGCCAGATGGTGCTGACGTAAATGAAGCTAGTATAGAAATGCTTCTACAAAACCCACCAGTATTTTTTTTCCTTTACTTAAAAGGCTGACATTCTTTTACCTTTTGTGATCTGTCACTGCCGTTGTCAAGGCAATCCGAATCTTTGAGAAGCTTTGCTCTCCTTTTTTGGGTATTCTCTAGCTCACCTTGATGTTTAGCCAAGCAAGCAGGCCTTCCTGGATTTCTGTAGTTTCTGTTATGGAAAATAAGTTCATCTTCCTAATTAATGTTTTGTTTGGCGTTAGCTGCACACACATACATACACACACACACACACACACACACACACACACACGGCAGCTCTGTTGTAAATGGTAGTTTGGGCTTGGAGTCAAAACACTTTGTGCCAGAGGGGTGGGAAAGCTTAAAGATACTTGGTAGATAGGGGAACAAGTGCAGAACACTTAACTCCACTCTAAATACAAGCTGTCCAATGTGGTTACAATTATTCCACAGTGTCAAATATGAATAAAACAAAATGTGCTTTGATAAAAATTTAAAATAAGCACGTAAAATGTTGGATCCAGTCTAAGTTAGTTGACCTTAGTTCCGCTGAAGTTAGTGATCACTGAAGTCCCATTGATTCCAGTGGCAGCCAAACTGAACTGATGGGACGAAGGTGTGCAGGATAGGACTGACATGTACAGGGCACATGATTAAATGAGTATCCCAACATTAAAGCCCAGCATTCCAGCCCCTGCCCTATAAGCAATGTGAGAAATGCCCTTGGGTGACTTTGACATCTTTTTAAAATAATAGCACAAGGAGTGAGCAGGTGGAGGCGTGAGGATATTATGGTTTTTTCCAGCTTCAGCATATCGCTGCCTCCTCTCCTCTCAGGAGCCCCTGTGTCGCTTTACTAGGCAGTGCAAGAGGTGGGATTTGCCCAATTTCTGTCATGGACTGGTTGGATGTAGAGGAAGCAGCCAGGGGTCTGAGGAACCAGCTGAGGAACCACCAAGGGAAGAAGGCTCATAGCCAGGGGATTGGTGGTAGGATGATGATGAGTGGTCCAAGGGAGAAGAATAGGAAGAGGAGGTATTGGAAGCTGAAGAGGGAACAGGGCTTAATGAGCCGGAAGAGTCCATAGCAGAGACCAATCCAGAATCAGAACTAGAAGCTTCAGCAGGAGAGGAGGATTAGGGAGGTCAGGGGGCAGAGAAGAGTCAGCCTGGTAAAGAGGCACTCCCTCCTGCTGTGAAAAGGTCCCCTCCTCACTGGTTTTTCAAGACCAGGGGAGGCATGAAATGGGAGGAGCAAAGGCAGGCACTCAGGCACAGCCTCAGATTGCTGGGGGGGAAACCCTGGGGAGGGATGTAGGCAGCTGTGGAAGGTGGGAACCTTCAGTCTCCGCAACTGCTTCATAGGGGCAAGTGTTAAGTTGTGGGTGAACATATCAGATGACACAGCGATTCTTCAAACAGCTCTTGTTTATTCACAGGCCAGAACAGAACTGAACTGAACTGAAGAGTTCAGCCAGCCTGCTTATATAGAGCTCCACTAGAACGCAACAGTAACCATTTTCTGTAACTATCCAATCACTGAACGTCACTTTCAATCCCTTATTTGCATATGTGGACCTGAGTGAAAGCTATCTACAGTAACCCCCTGCTGGCCCAGGGTGAGAACTTCAGTACATAACAGCAAGACCAACTGAGGAAGAGTTGTTGTGCTCATTAGGCCTGGCATCCCTGTGCAGATTCTGTTTTTCTGATAAAGAGTTAACTTCACTTGGTCTGTGTGATTTACTGCTAGCTCACTCCTGACAATTTCAATGAACACATGGGTGCAAGAAATCTGTAGATGCAAGAAATCTGCTGAAATTATGGTGGAAAAGGTGGTGGTGGGTTTGAATGAAACAAGCCCTGCTCCCCTTGCCACCCCATTTTAGGGGGGAAAAATGTAAAGCAGTAGTTAATGGATCAGCTCTCTTTCTGGCTCCTCTGCCACTGGAGCACTGGTTCAATTTCTTTTTTGGGTAGGGATGCAGTGGCATCGCTATGCTTGCACAGCGCCGAAACGACCCTACTTTGCCGGAGAGATAAACAACCATCAAAACAGATTGCCCCTGTTGGAATGTTTGTCCCCAAAGAATCCTACCTTTCCCAGCGTTTCTTGCCAATGAATAACAATTTCCATGCCCTGAAAATGCATAATTGTATGAGCTGAATAGCCGTCGGAAGCAAAGTCTAGGTTTCTAACCATAATTGGTAGGTGAAGTCAGTTCCTCTGCTTTTAAGTGTTCCTTCGAATGACATTGTGCCATAATTGTATGCGCGGGAGGGAGCCTGCTGGTGCCATTGCTGCCAGTTGGGATGTTAAAGGTGTGATGCCAAAGCCAGGTCCATTTTGTGTGCGTGGCCATAACTGCTTCCTCTTTCAGCAAGTGGGTTTGATTGAAAATTGGAAGGTTAATTGCCACTTGGTTGACTTATTGTATTGTGTAAAAATGCTGCCCGGTGAGTTACTGTACTAGAGCTGATGACGACTAAATGCATGGCAAGCCAGCACAGCTTGCTGTCGTTTGTGTGTATGTGCAGCATTCCCATGTGGTCGCTGGGTTGCCAACATTTGCTCATAATTTTCTCTGTTATACTTTCATTGAATAATAAGCGGGCAGCCCGAAAAACGCTCCTAAGGCTCCAAGCTGTTTGTTTGTTTGTACTCTGTACCTTCCTGGCAGGTCATATATTAATGTTTCTGCTAAAGCTTTAGCAGTCAAATTGGATAATAACTGGTGCTGAGACTTGTATCTTTGGGCTTGGGAGTCCTTGGGAGGCTTTTAAGGCTTGCTTCAAATATGAGGTGCACATTATGATCTTGGATCATAATGGTCAATGGTGTGTCTGTAGGTGACTGTGGAGGCCAATTCTGGATCCTCACATCCTTCCACAGTGGGGACATCAGTTTCTGGGTGGGAGTTGATCACGGTGAGGGTTTGCCAAACGTGCCTTCCTCTTAGCACATTTCTCCCTTTCATCCTGAGTTCGTGTTTCTTCAAAGTCCATGATGCCTTTGAAGTGCTCGCAGGCCAGTGTTTCCCAGTTGTCGGTGTTTATACAACATTTTTAAAGATTTGCCTTGATAGCGTCTTTAAACCTCTTTTGTTGTCCCACCAGCATTGTGCTTTCCATTCTTAAGTTGGGAATACAGTAGTTCCTTTGGAAGACGATAATCAGGCATCTGAACAACATGGCCAGTCGAGCGAAGTTGATGTTGAAGAATCATTGCTTTGACACTGGTGATCTTTGCTTCTTCTAGTACACTGACATTAGTTTGCCTGTCTTCCCAAGTGATATGTAAAAATTATCCTTCGCATGTGCTCTTATATAACTGGTCAGGCTGTTAGCAAATTCATTTTCTTGTATTCGTATAATGCTCAGTGATGGAGAAACTACCATTCTTTTGAAAATCATTCATAGTAACAAGCTGGTGATCGATAACCCTCCAGATACTCGTGTAAAAATTACACCAAATTCTCCTTACCAAAATTCCGGCTTTCTACAGATTTTGATTCTGTAATGAATAACAAAGATGTATCACCTTAAAATACCTCAGTCTTTTTTGCAGGAATGTCATAAGTGGAGCTAAAGCAGACTGAGATTCCCTGTTTGTGTCAAAAAAGCTTTTTTTTCTGAACAAAAGCTTGGAATCAATGAACTTTGGTACACTGTTCATTTGAGTAAGCCTTGGGTGAGTAGCCATTTCGTCACACATTTAGCTTTCAAAGAGGTTGGTTATCTGGAGCCTCACTGAAAATTTGAGCTCACATTCCTGTTTTTTTTGTTGGTTTTTTCAGGTAAGCAAGCATGCCTAATTTTCTAGAGCAAGAAAATACTTGATTACAGCTTTAATGATAGCTTAAGTAGTGTTTTCAGATGTTCAGGAATCAAGGTCTTACAGCAGATGAGCTGAATTATCCCTGTGACTGTTCACGATCACATTAATGTGCTTTAAATGTCACATTTGGAAATGCTGCCATATTGCTAGTTAATTAACAGTAATTACTGAAGACTGTACTTACGTTTTTGATGTTTCTTACCTACTGGGTTTCAGCAAATGTGTGTGTGTGTGTGTGTTTAAGTTTAACCCTTTCTCACAATTGCTGTGGTTCCATTGGCCAGGACTATTTGTTTGGTGGCAAAAATGCGCAAAGCTTGTGATAGGTAAAGAGAATTTTCTGCATAGAAGAGATGGGTCAGTATGAAGAGCTGAGTCAATATCCGTTTTATTTATGCACCATTTTTCAATATATATGATGCCCAAGGCAATTTATATCAAGCCTGACAGATATGTAGCAACAATACAAACATCAACAAGAAAAATTAATAAATCCACAGTATGTATGGAACATTCCACCAAACAAATTAATAAACCAAGTACAGTGGTGCCCCGCAAGACGAACGCCTCGCAAGACGGAAAACCCGCTAGACGAAAGGGTTTTCCGTTTTGAGGCGCTCATAAAGCAATTTCCCTATGGGCTTGCTTCGCAAGACGAAGCCCATAGGGAAATCTCCGGGACCTCTTTTAAATGCTAGCGGTGGGGAGCAAAGCCTTCCCCCCCCCGGCCTTCAGAAGAGGTCCAGGAAGGCTGGCGGGGGCCGAAAGGCTTTGCTCCCCACCGCCAGCATTTTAAAAGCAGTCCGGGATAGCAGGGAAGCGCTTCCCGCTATCCCGGACGGCTTTTGAAGGCAGGAGAGGTCCGCGAAGCCTGGGCGCGCGGCTCTCAGCGCGCGCAGGCGGCGGCCTGCCGGCAACTCTCCGCAAGCAGCGGCAGCGCTGCCGCTGCTCGCGGAGAGGTCCGCGGAGCCTGGGCGCGCTGATCTCAGCGCGCGCAGGCTCCGGCATGCCGGCAACTCTCCGCAAGCAGCGGCAGTGCTGCCGCTGCTTGCGGAGAGGTCCGCGAAGCCTTGGCTGGACAGCTTTTGAAGGCAGGTGGGGGGACAAGACTTGCCCCCGCCAACCTACAGAAGAGGTCCAGGACCTCTTCTGAAGGCTGGCGGGGGGCAAAAGTCTTTGTCCCCCCTGCCTGCCTTCCCAGGGGCTTTTAAATTGCCCCGGACAGCGGAGAAGCCCTCCGCTGTCCCGGGGTTTTTTAAAATGCTGGGGTGGGTGGGAAGAAAAGCCCTTGTCCCCCCCCCCAGCCTTCAGAAGAGGTCGGGGGACAGACGGGCCCCGGACCTGGTCTGAAGTCGGTTTCCCTAGGAACGCATTAATTGATTTTCAATGCATTCCTATGGGAAACCGTGCATCGCAAGACGAAAAACTCGCAAGAAGAAAAAACTTGCGGAACGAATTAATTTCGTCTTGCGAGGCACCACTGTATATATATAAACACTGGAACACTGAATAATAGCAATCTGGTAAACAAGGTACAACTATGTATGAGGTCAGTAAAGTCAATCGGATAACATCAGATCAATATAATTTACGTGCGTTTCAAAACCAGCAAATCATTGAGAAGCCTAAAACAAAATCAGTCGAACACAATAATCACATAGTAATCAGGGTTCAAAATCCGTAGGGTGCCAGGCACATTTTGCAACTAATGATTCTCCATTTCTGAGCCCCTCTGGAGATGCCCCTTGCGACTTGTCTCCTTAGTGCTGCTGGGCCTCGGAGGTGATCAGAAAACTATCCGTGTTCCGTGTGACATCAATCCCTTGCCCCTCTCCAGTGCGGCAGGTTTAGTGCTGAGCACAAGTTTTAGCTAGGTACCAAAGCCAGCTAAAAAGGTTGACCACTGAAGGGGTGGGGTCATGCCTGCTGGACTCTCACAGCTCCTCTAGGATGGATGTCAGCTGAGAAGTCTGAGATCACAGGGGACTTTGGATTGAAGACATCCCCAGGTGATTGGCAGTCACAATGTGTTGGGTTACCTTGGGCTTGGCGGGTCTTGTGTTGTGTGCAGGCTTGACATAAGTTAGAAGAACAAAATCAATATTATGCATTAGGGCTAGGTGATATATTGATATATCATCCAAAACTGGTTTGAAGTCCATATTGTGATACCAGCTTCATAATTTTTGACCTGGTTATGTATTGCATATTGTCAGGGAACTGACATCGGAGCGAGAGGCGAAGGGGAGGCTCCTAGATGATGCTGGCGAAGGACCCAGCAGCAGGGGGAGAAACAGCTCAGTAGAGGGGGGAAGCATTTAAGCGCAACACCAGGGATAAAGGGGGCAGATGGGGAATCGGAGAGAGGGCTCCAGGACTCTTCACTGGAACTCAGTGAGGAGGGGACAGGTCCTCCGCTACCCACGCCCTCCCTGCGCAGAAGACTCCCGCGCAGTGAGAGGAGGAGGAGACTGGGTGTCAAACAACTTTTATGTTGGAAGAGGTTCAAGAAACGCCCACTGACGGATTCTGCCAGCGACTGAGGCAGTCACCATGAGAAAGGGCTGTGCAGTCAGAAAGGTTTAACAAGGCAAATTAGCCTAGAGAGGCACCAGTTTACGCACGAGTAACTCATACTCATTACACATATCATGGTGTGTGGGTGGGTGTGCTTTGCAAAAATCATGATGAGGGAAAAACTGTGAAGCCAGCCAACGCCTCTACATAGCTCCATCCTTATTTTAGATGTCATGATATATCAGTATATTGCGATGTTTAGCTGGGGGTGATGTATCACGGTGTTGGAGCCAGGTATCGCCCAGCCCTATTCCGCATGCAAAATAAATGCAGCAGGGTGGTGTTTCCCTCCAATATCTCACATGTCTGTGATGAGAAAACAGGTGTGCTGCTTCTGAACTGGTTCCATCTTGGCGTTTTCCTGCTTCCCTCATATGACATTCTCATAAAGGCGTTTGGAAGAAAAAGAAAAGAAGAAGTGGGTATGTAACTAACTAACTTGTGGAAGGTTGCATTCAAAGATGGATGCATGGGGAGATATCAAACATTAGTCATACTCTGACTTAGCTGGATATCACCCACAGCAGTGAATCATGTTCAGCCAGAAGGAAGTAACAATTATAAGTAGACAGGGCATGCAATCCCTTGGTAAGAGACTGGAACATACTCATCAAATGTGAAAATAGGGCAGGGTCCCCTCCATATATCCTTCTTATTTATGCATTCATGATGATTTGTGTTCATGATGATATTAGGGTAGTTAAACACAATCCCACTGTCAATACTATTTGTACCTGTAAAAGTTTTGGAGTGGCCATATTGCTTCATTTCCAATCAGTGCTTGTGTGCCCCGTAACTTCCTGCTGAAATCCTGTATTTTTTTATACCACAAATGTTCTATTGTGTGTGTCTGTCCCACTTTGTTGTGCTGTAGTACAAAAGTGCCCCTTCAAATGGCACTAATGAAATAACACCAGAGAAGCATCACAGAACAACTAATAAAGTGGAATGGAGATGGTCCAGTTTAAACCCACCACCAATGCACTATTTTTGCATCAGTGACAAGTTGCAGAATACACCTGCCAGCTCCCCACAGACAGGTCTGTGCTACCTGTCCTGCTTTCATACGTTTGATAGAATAATATCCATTTACTTGTCTTTCGTCTTTGATTTCAAAAAGTTGTTTTCTGCATTATTTCTGGAAACCTTGCTTGGAAAATGTGTTTGCAGGTTCACTATATCCTGATCTTATGTTTGATAAATAAGTGTACTGCTGGGGGAATTGCTGCGAAAAGACTTAGGAGGGAAGGAGCAGTAAAGGCATTTTATCACCCAGTCTGCTTTGCTATGAAAGTAGCTCAGGAAGAAGTTTCATAACAGGCAGGGGAACATGAATTTATTCTATTTAACCCCCGAGTCTAATAGCTACCATAACCCTTAGGCTGCGGTCCTGCAAAAATTCATAGAGATTCCCAGAAATATTATTATATTAAACATCCGGGTACTTTATTTTCTTTGTTTATTCCATCTCCTCTTGATAGCAGCCTGGGCTCCCTTTCCAAAGCATAGGTCAGGCCTTTCATTCTCTTATTCTTTTCTCTCTCCCCATGTTCTTGTTGCCAGAGGCAAGCTCCCTTAATGACTATTCTAAAGCAGTGACTCCTGTCTCCCTTCCATTCTTGTTCCTTGGCTGCCTGTTCTTCCAGACTGCCAGACTCCCTGTGCAACGTCCACAGTGTCAGTTTAATCACGGCACGCCAAAGCTGCAATAAACATCCTCAGAATTTTGCTGGGTCAGGGTAAAGCTCCAAATCAGGGGTGGTGGATCTCCAGCTTGTGTGGTTTATTAGGCATACTAGGCCTTCTCATTTTGCCTGTGAGGCCATTTCATGTATGACCTCAGGTGCAGGTTAGGTAAAAACCCGACTAGGCCAAAAGGGGGTTTGCAGGCACCACTGATCAGAAAGCATTGAACAGGATAATGCTTTTCTTGGGAATCTGAGGTGAGATGACCACGCAGTGAAAGTTGCCCCTAGTTCCAGTCACAACACACAGGGAGTTTAAGGTCCAAAATACCAGTTCACTGCTGCAGAATGTTAGGCTTCAGTAATACAGTTCCGGACGTTGAAATATACATATAGCTTGTAGGCTTTACAGATACAGATATAAATACAGGTACAGGTAGATACCTTCTGCCCACCTAGCAGTTCAAAAGCACGTCAGAGTGCAAGTAGATAAATAGGTACCGCTCCGGCGGGAAGGTAAACGACGTTTCCATGCGCTGCTCTGGTTCGCCAGAAGCGACTTTGTCATGCTGGCCACATGACCCGGAAGCTGTACGCTGGCTCCCTCGGCCAATAAAGTGAGATGAGCGCCACAACCCCAGAGTCGGCCATGACTGGACCTAATGGTCAGGGGTCCCTTTACCTTTACCTTTTACAGGTAGATACAGATACAGATACTCAGAAAGTATTTCTGTTGCTCCAGCATTTCAAGACGTAACACAGACTTTGACTCACGGACAGACTGTCATACTGACATACCTTAATCACTTATATAGTTACTTATATATCAAGCTGACATACCTTAATCACTTATATACTCAGCATATAGTCAGCCATTATCACCTTAGCAATGGGCTTGGCTGACCTTGCACCTGCAGCTTATCTCATACATGGGGTGATTTGTGCCCATGAAAGCAATCAATCCCTTCATGTTCAGTTCCTCCAACAGCTCTGAGAGGGGCTTTGGCATGAATTTGTCCAGTTCTCAGCCATATAAGCTACTGGCTATCACCACATCTTGTGGCAGCATTCAGTAGGGGTGGAATCCGGTTGGCATTTCTTGTGCTTTTGTTCCAGGGGTTTGTATGATTTTTGCCAACTTGCCCTTCCCCCTGCAGTTACCCATGCCACCTTTCACCTTGCTGTGGAGGACCCCCCCCAAGCTCCCAGAGCAGATTTTTTGGGTGTGGGTGTGTGGCAGGGGATACAATGAGACAGGGAAATGGTCAAAAAAAGTGCTTTCCCCATGGGATCAAAAGCCATTCCATGAGTAAGAGGGCCCCAGATACAACCCAGCCGGCTGCATGAAGAGTACTTTGCTTTGTCCGTCTCCAATCTGTTATCTACCCCAATCAATTCCATTTGGTTGCCTCCCAAGTTGTAGTATTATGGGGGAAGGAGGAAGAAACCTACCCTTTCTGCACATGATGTGTAGGTTTATAAGCCTTGATCATGTCTCAATCCCCTAATTATCTCCCTCCTCACCAACGAAGAAGCCCCAAACAGGCTCCCTCTTGAGCTCATGGACTCTTCAAAACAAACAGGTAATGCAGTAAGCCTCTGAATGCTAGTGACTTTGCAAGTGGGTCGAGTGCTATTGTGCTCAGGTTCTGCTTTTGGGCTTCCCACCAGCATCTGGTTGGCCAATGTGAGAACAGGATGCTGGGCTAGATGGACCATTGGCATGATCCATCAGGTCCTTCTTATGATCTTAAGTCGTTATAAGAGTTTGGATTTGGATTTGATATCCCGCTTTATCACTACCCTAAGGAGTCTCAAAGTGGCTAACAATCTCTTTTCCCTTCCTCCCCCACAACAAACACTCTGTGAGGTGAGTGAGGCTGAGAGACGTCAGAGAAGTGTGACTAGCCCAAGGTCACCCAGCAGCCGCATGTGGAGGAGCGGGGAAGCGAACCCGGTTCACCAGATTACAAGTCCACCACTCTTAACCACTACACCACACTGGCTCTTATGGTTTCTGTTTATTTATATGCTGCCTTTGTACAGAGAAAAGGCTGACAAAGGATGCAATGCGCAAACTCAAGTCCAAAAGATACAAAAAATAAAAATAATCCCATGCCATTTCAAAAAAATCTTAAAAACCAACCACATTCACGCTCCTCTTAAGCAGAGCTGGAAGCAATCAATGGGGCTGGCTGCTGTAACTGTTCACCTTGGGAGGCATAGGCTAATGCTGAATCTATAAGTGAAGCGAAGTTTTCTGGAGTGATTGAGCTGAAGGGCACGGAGGAATAAAAAACTTCTAGCAAGGAGCACATTTGAGTTAAAATAAGGCAGCTGAGAAACACACCGTCTGGCACTCTACTTCCTAGCTGGATTAATAGACGTTTAAAAAGAAAAAGCTGTGAAGAGGAAAGGAGTCTAGGAGGAGAGGGGAGTTCAGGAAGGAATACGTGCTCTATCACCCGGCAATTGCCTGCGCCTTTCATTTTCAAGGCAAGCTTGAAAGTTGTACACTGTGTTGAGAATCATGGTGCACCTGTGTTTAAGCATGCATGCATGCATTCTTAAATTTTGAAAGGAACATTGCAGTTAAATGACTTTGCGCAGAAATCTGAAAAGAGATTTTGCCACTGCAGTGCTAGGTGCTGTTTCGGTTCCAATTATGTCCCATCTTACGCCTTTCCCCGGCGAAAGCTCTAATGTATTCCTATTAAAAAAGGAAATGTCAAAATCCTCCTTCACTCCTTACCACAAAGAATACGGAGGACGTTTTTAGTGGAAAGCGAGAGGCTGGAAGTCGGAGTACCTTTAGCCCTAATGCAACTAGACGTGCTAGGCGTGAAAGTCGTTTTATAATCAGCTGTGTTTAATATGTAGAGAGCTGCCTTATCTTAAGTGGAAAAATACAGTGACCTTTGAATATGTAAAGTAGCTATTTTTGAGAACAATCTTCCACGTTAAAGAAATCCCTCCAGAAGAAACAACTGAGATAATTTTAAGGTACTTGGAAATGAATGTCGTTTGGGTGAAGCAGCAGCCATCCAGTATCTTTGGGTTGTGCTGAAAGCTTTGAATTAAAAGTAGCTTAGGTAAAGAGGTGAATACTGGCAATCAACAGAAGCATTTAGAACAGAGGGCTGTATCCAACAGACTTAGGTTAGTCATACCTAACAAGTTCATTGATTTCACTGACTCTGCTCTGAATATGACTTAAGGCTCATCCCCACTTCCTTTTGTGTCACACTTTCTAGACACAGGGATTTCTAGGTCCGTGTCTGAGCGCTTTCTTTCTTTCTTTCTTTCTCTCTCTTTCTCTCTCTCTCTCTCTCTCTCTGACTGCTTTTCCCGGGAAAATCCATCTACCCTGACAGACAGGCACTCTCCAAGGATCCAGGCAAGGATCTTTGGCAACCCTGCTATCTCAGATCATTTAACTTGTTGGCCTTCAAGTTAGAGATGGATGAATCAAACCATTCTGTTCTGTCACTTTCACATGTGGTCACCCATAAGACCATTCTATCCCATTTCTGCATTAATCTGCAAATCTCTCCCCGTCTCTTAAATCTACACAAAAAAACTGCATCTAAATATGATTTTTTATTTATTTTTTAAAAAATCTTCTCCCAACCTCCAGGTTTCTAAACCCATTTTGACACATCTTTTTTTGAACTAAGCACTCTGTTTGGAACATTGGGAAGTGTGAAAGCTGGGGAACCACTAAGTTCTGGTCTCTACATTCACCTGGGAGGTGAAGATCAGGTCAGTTCATATTGGCATAAACAAAGATTCATCATGTTTCCCTGCCTCAAGTGGGTTGCATCCTGACCTAATGTGGATCACAGCCACGAAACGCCCACAGTTTGTTCTTTGGTTTCATTTTTAAAGAGAAATACGAAGTGGTGGTTGTTGGAGGCCAAAGACAGAAGTTCTCCTGTACTTTTAAATATTTGGGTAGAAGAGGGAATTTCAGCAGGCAAAGCTTTTCTCACCTCACTGCATGAAAAGCGAGATCTACCAAAATTCTATCTGACATGTAGCTATTAAAGGTATGGGAGTCTTACTCCCCGCTCCCCACCTTACATTTGGTCCGTTTGAGAAAGAAGCAGGGAGATGGACTTGCATAGTTGCAGATAGATAGATAGATAGATAGATAGATAGATAAAGATAGATGGATCTCATGTTGCAGCCTGTAGTTAAAGGTGGGTCCCTGATCTGAAAAGGGCAATTTAACTTGCAATGAAACCTTGTGCATGCAAAAAATGTACTGCTCTGCTACTAAGCTATGGTTTGCAGAGTGGGTGGGGGCTTGAATGCCTCTTCTAACAGCGGCAACCTTCGCAAGAAACCCAACAGAGAGAAAAAAGCCTGTCCCCTTGCTACCTCCTTTGGAGAGACCATTGTGACAGTATGCCTTCCTGGTTGCTTTATTCCGATTGAGTGTGTTCACTGTAAAGAGAGAGAAAATCTGAGGTTGTGTACCCAGAGCTTCTAGTAACAAAAAGGAAGCCACAATTCTCTACAGCTCCACCTGGTACCCAGGCTGGGACCCTATCTGCCCGCGGACTGTCTCGCCAGAGTGGTGCATGCTCTAGTTATCTCCCACTTGGACTACTGCAATGCGCTCTACGTGGGGCTACCTTTGAAGGTGACCCAGAAACTGCAATTAATCCAGAATGCGGCAGCTAGACTGGTGACTGGGACTGGCCACCGGGACCACATAACACCGGTCCTGAGAGATCTGCATTGGCTCCCAGTACGTTTCTGAGCACAATTCAAAGTGTTGGCGCTGACCTTTAAAGCCCTAAATGGCCTCAGCCCAGTATACCTGAAGGAGCGTCTCCACCCCCATCGTTCAGCTCAGACACTGAGGTCCAGCGCCGATGGCCTTCTGGCGGTTCACCTCACTGCAAAAAGTGAAGCTACAGGGAACCAGGCAGAGGGCCTTCTCGGTAGTGGCACCCTCCCTGTGGAATGCCTTCCCATCAGATGTCAAGGAAATAAACAACTATTTGACTTTTAGAAGACATCTGAAGGCAGCCCTGTTTAGGGAAGTTTTTAATGTTTGATGTTTTATTGTGTTTTTAATATTCTGTTGGGAGCCTCCGAGAGTGGCTGGGGAAACCCAGCCAGATTGGGAGGGGGTATAAATAATAAATTATTATTACTATGGTGGTGGTGTCCATTTCGTCCCTTTACATCTCTGTGACGAAACTTCTAAATACACTGCAATCAAAACCAGAGTGACAACTTAGCACTCGGTTTAATAGGTGCTAATAAAGACAGCGGTGGGACTCTGCCCCCTTGGTGCTCGCACTGCCAATAGGTTCTGATATCTGAAGATCCCTATTATCAAGATCAGGACCCATCAACAGAATGGAATCTGAAAGCTTCTGCAGTGCCACAATCTCTTCCTGTTAGAGAATCAGATTCTGTGGCTTGATCTGTTGTGATTTTGGGACTGATGGGTTTTTCTGTTCTAATGAGGGTTGTTGAACTGGATTGAACCCTGACTCTTTATATGCAGTTTCTCTACATTTCCCCCCAAGCTAAGAACTAGGAGAATCTCACCTTCTGGCATTTCCCTTAAGATAGTGATGCCTTACTGAGAAGGCAGGGATGGAGCATTCCCTGGCTGCTAAAGGCTACCGTATTTTCAGCTGGGCAAAGGGCCATTGAGGGGGCGACTGCTTCGCCTTCTGCCAGTGTGACAACAATTGCAATTCTAGGTGATCTGATGAGTGATATTGGGTGATGGGGAGAAAGGGTGATTATCTCTTTCTCTTTCTCCATTAAGCTGCTCACAATTTTAGCATTAGTAGGATATAGTGCATCTATGAGATCCCAAATTAGCAATTGTTTAAACTATTTAATCACCCTAGAAACGTCTTCCTACGAACATTAGAGACAGAAATATAAGTACCCTATTAATTGCAGGCAGTTTCCATTCCAGTCTTTAAATGGTGGTGGTAGTGGTGGGGTTTTGAAACCCTCCATTATTAGCTTTACTTTTAAATCAAATTAAAAGTAATATAAACTGAATAAGAGCAGCAGAGGGATTATTTATTAAAGCGCCTTGTTCATTTTATGTATTAGCAGCTATTCCCTAAGGCTTGAATTACTTAGGAATGGAATAGTTTGTAGCCACTTGCAATATAATGAAATAGAGCATTTAAATTCAGTGCAGAACTTCCTTCATTGCACACAGAGTCCCGGGTTTTGCTTTAGTGACCTTGGTTTTTAATTTTCTTTCTTTCGTTCTCTCTCTCTCCCCACACCCCCAGTTGATGCTTATGCCTCTTGTCTTGCATCCTCTATTATAGTTAAGAGGATATGCTGTACTTCTTCACTGAATTGTCAGATTTGCTCATTGTTTGGGGGAAAAGGAAAGCAAGTTAGATATGGTTCAGCTTCCTTATTTAAGTTTAAATGAACTTGCCAGAGCTGGCTTTTCTTCTTCTTTTTTTAATCTGCTGAAAACACATGGGCCAGCCTTTCCTGACATTTCTCTTAAGGCAGTGTTGGGGGACACACTGACTAATATTGTTTTGCTGGGCTTACGCAGCTTCCAAGCATGCTTGCGGAAATGTTAGCTCATCATAAACTTAGCAGAATTAAAGTTAATTATTTTGTGGTTCTGAAGCAATTGTTATCTTCTGGAAAAAGGATTTACAGAAGTGCTATAGCAAGCAAAGAGAATCGGGAAGAATTGCATATGACAACCCCATATTTTTCAATGTGTTTTTTAAGGAAAGAGAACATGGAAAAGCTACACCAAGGTTATCTGTATCCTGAATGCAAACAATTTACCTAAAAACACACATGCAAGATTTTTAAAAAAATGTTTTATAGGTAGATCTTCTTATACTTCATAAATCGTTTAAACCAGTGTTTTCCAAACTTGGGTCTCCAGCTGTTTTTGGACTACAGTCACCAGCATCCCTGACCACTGGTCTTGCTAGCTAGGGACAATGGGAGTTGTAGTCCAAAAACAGCTGGAGACCCAAGTTTGGGAAACACTGGTTTAAACCAATAAGCCATTCCAGCTGTTTCTGTGAGACTCAAAGGTCTTGCCCATCTTGACACTCTAGAGCAGGGGTAGCCAACGTGTTGCCTTCTAGATAATTGTTGGACTACAGCTCACATCATCCCTGACTATTGACCATTTTAGCTGTGGTTGATGGGAGCTGGAGTCCAGCCACATCTGGAAGGCATTCTGTTGGATCCTGTGCTCTAGAACCTCTCAAAGCTTCATAGAAATTTGCCTTCCACGAGGTCAGACTATTATGTATTCTGAGCTCTCCAAGGTCTCCTATAACCTGCTACTTGAGCCTTTTATACTGGGAGCTAGGAGGGACTGAGTAAGGGGACGCAGGTGGCGCTGTGGTCTAAACCAGTGTTCCCCAACCTTGGGCCTCCAGCTGTTTTTGGACTACAACTCCCATCATCCCTCGCTAGCAAGACCAGTGGTCAAGGATGATGGGAATTGTAGTCCAAAAACAGCTGGAGGCCCAAGGTTGGGGAACACTGGTCTAAACCACTGAGCCTCTTAGTATTGCCGAGCAGAAGGTCGGTGGTTCGAATCCCTGCGACAGGGTGAGCTCCCGTTGCTCGGTCCCAGCTCCTGCCAACCTAGCAGTTCCAAAGCACACCAAAAAAGTGCAAGTAGATAAATAGGTACCGCTCCGGCGGGAAGGTAAAATGCCGTTTCCGTGTGCTGCTCTGGTCTCAGCGTTCTGTTGCGCCAGAAGTGGTTTAGTCATGCAGGCCACATGACCTGGAAAAACTGTCTGCGGACAAACGCCGGCTCCCTTGGCCTGTAAAGCGAGATGAGCACCGCAACCCTAGAGTTGTCTGCGACTGGAGTTAACTGTCAGGGGTCCTTTACCTTTAGCTTTAGGAGGGACTGAAACTACTTTTTATGCAGAGGAAAACCTGCTCCTTGATCTTAGGAACCATCATGCAAACATTAGTTTGTGGCATCTTAAGAAGTGTCTGAATGCATAGTGAACAAACAGCTTTTCAAAAGATGTAGAACAATTTATTCCATAACAGTGAATGGTATTTCCCCCAGTCTACCAACATGTAAAATAATGGTTATTTTCACAATTTGACATATGGCACCTTGTATCAGGCCTTCACTTCTCTGCTCTGCTAAGTCATCAATAAATCACCAGTTACATAGACTTGCTTCCTAAGTGGTAGGTGCCTGCCTCCCCCCTCCTTGTCCAATGCATGCATCTCTCAGAGGAATATTCTTGGCAGATATGATGGCTGGGGTATTGAATGTAAAATGAATGTCAATTTATGTTAAGCAGTCATGATAAATATATAGAACCTCCTGAGATGGCTCAGTTTGCAGTTGCTGTAGAAAAAAGCTGAATTGCGCATTTTCTGCAAGCAAATGTGGTGAACTGCCAAGAGGATTTGCTGTCTTAACAGTCTGTGTATAAGCTTCCTATTTTAAGGATTGTATTAGTAGTTCGGTTTGCTCTTTTAGCAGCCCAGAATGATTACTGTAATGACTTTTGTTTGAGTGGCAAGCTATTTATTGGAAGTAAGAAAGGGGGATATGGGGCAAGGGTCCACAAATCCACTAGCTGTGCTTATCATGGTGAGAGTTAATCACTCTCCACTGGCAAGTCGTGGGAGGAGCCACCGCCTTCCTCTCATTCATGGAGCTAGAGAGAGGGAAGATTCTCATCCTTGCAGTTGTATTGTCCTCCCTATGTTTTCCAAGTGCCTTGGAAACGCGGTGAGACCAGCCAAAACCTAGCCCTTTTTCCTGAGCTCGGGAGCTGGAGACTGGTCATTCCAGAAGTTCTGTTGCTGTTTATCTGCAGGCATAGCACAACTGTGGGGATGATAAGCTCGGCAGAAGGGAGACAGACCTGTGGACTGTTTTCACAGGAGTGCATGTCTAGTTTCTCCAGGCAAATGCCCTCTCTGCCCCAGGTTTGAAAGAGGGATTTCAAAGCACTTGCTTTGCCAAGTTAGTGGGTCGTTGGGTGTAAGCCCCACAGGACTCGGTGAAATTTAATTCTGAGTAAATGTGCATTGGGTCAAGCTTCCTTAGAATTTCATTAAAAGGGGTTGTTCATCTTGTAGTGAGGTACCTGGAATCGCCACTGGAATTACAATGTTGGCTTTTTCAAAGTTCACCAGCTTCTTGCAGGGGTTTGGCTGCAGCTTCAGTTAGTCACTACTGTCCTATTCTTGTGACGCAGCAACAAGTACCAATTTCTTGCTTGTTTCTAGAATAGCGGCTTCATTTTATTTAGTCCCTGGGCTTGTTGTTCCAGCAATGAAAATGGTGCTGTGGAGCAGGGGGACAGCACAGCAATTTGTTTTGGTGCCCTTAGCTGGAGGGCCGCAGCTTGAGAAAAGGAAGCGGAGCTGGCTTTGCCATTTCCAATTTTTGTGAGCTTCATTCTACCAGAGTTCCCACGCCCCGTATTCCAGCAGATCCTGCATGACTCCTGCTATAACTACTGCTATAGCGTTGTTGTTGAAATCTCTGTTTAGTGCACAGTGTTCTCCAGCTTGTAATGCTCAACTTTATTACCGTTTGAGTTCCATTTCCCTGAAGTGCTTCTCCTCCTCAGAATGGTAAATGAGATTATTTTTACTTCAATAACATTGCAAAAACATGACCCTTATTTTCTGTTCCCTATACAGAACCCATGCCTGGTTATTTTTCATTTTGACCAATGCAGTCTTCTTCTCTCTGGTCTCCTAATGTCTCGCCGCTCATGTCCATCTTGTGCTATGCTGTCAAAATTATTCACCTGATTCTTTGCTCTGACCGTGTGACACCTCCTCCTTAAATCCCTGCACTGCTTTCTGTCCACTCTTGGATCCTGCAGAAGCTTCTTGTCTTTAACGTCAAAACTTTCCTTGGCTTTCCTCACCCATCCATTAGTTCTTGGACCTTATATCCCGATATAGATGACACTATTTCACTATTAATTATTTTGAGCTTGCACGATCTGCATTCAGTAGACTACGTGCCCAAAGTCAGCTTCCTTCCAAATGCATGCTCGGATGTTCCTCAGCGTTAACCCCTAATTTCCATTGCAACGTTTTAGTACCACCAGTACATAAACGGTAACATTATGAAAAGGAAGAGAACTCATGGAAACCAGAGAAGCCTTTTCTGAATTATCACTGATAACGGAGTGATCACATTTTCTGAATTCGCATTTTTCAGAAGTGACATGGGCTCTACTTAGAAAACTTAACATTTAAGATATGGGCAAGACAGGGTGGTGTGGTAAGTGTAGGGTTCAGAGTATGTGGGCAAATAATGGGCACTAGAGGAGCAGGTAATGTGGGGCTTAGGTGATTTACGTAAAGGTAAAGCGATGCCTGACTGTTAGGTCCAGTCGTGACCGACTCTGGGGTTGCAGCGCTCATCTCGCTTTATTTGCCGAGGGAGCCGGCGTACAGCTTCCGGGTCATGTGGCCAGCATGACTAAGCCGCTTCTGGCGAACCAGAGCAGCACACAGAAACTCCGTTTACCTTCCTGCTGGAGTGGTACCTATTTATCTACTTGCACTTTGACATGCTTTTGAACTGCTAGGTTGGTAGGAACTGGGACTGAGCAATGGGAGCTCACCCCGTCGCGGGGATTCGAACCACTGGCCTTCTGATCAGTAAGCCCAAGAGGCTTTGTGGTTTAGACCACAGCGCCACCCGCGTCAATTGGCAAATGTAACATAACTTTGGTTCAGGGGGAGTGGTGACTGGTGGTTTTTTTGGGTTTTTTTTTACGAAAAAGACTGAAACAGTCACCAGGAAAGGGTAAAAGGGTCCTTTTACCTTTGTTGTTGTTGTTTAGTCGTTTAGCCGTGTCCGACTCTTCATGACCCCATGGACCAGAGCACCTCAGGTACTCCTGTCTTCCACTGCCTCCCGCAGTTTGGTCAAACTCATGCTGGTAGCTTCGAGAACACTATCCAACCATCTCATCCTCTGTCGTCCCCTTCCCCTTGTGCCCTCCATCTTTCCCAACATCAGGGTCTTTCCCAGGGAGTCTTCTCTTCTCATGAGGAGGCCAAAGTATTGGAGCCTCAGCTTCAGGATCTGTCCTTCCAGTGAGCACTCAGGGCTGATTTCCTTAAGAATTGATAAGTTTTGACTTCTGGGGTGACGCCATCGGCAATGGCGGATTCCCTCTGATCTGGAGGGACTAGCTCCACGCGAAACGGGTCTTTTCCACTACGGCGAAGCCGGGACCCATTCAAAAATCACAGGCGGATGAAGCCTGTGACCATGGGACTCGGCGGGCACCCTTAGCGCCCCCCCCAACCCGCAAAGGAACCCACTAACAGGCTCCAGAGCGAAGAGGGGGAAGTGGCGCGGTGCTGAGAGTCAACTGCTTCTTCCGTGGAGCGAAGCCGCACAGCCGTTGCCGGAGAGCGCTGCCTTTTTACTGGGACAATTTGGCTTCTAAAATAATCACCCGTGAGTACCTAAACTCGGACAATTGGACTTTAAATAAGGACTTGTGAGCAGAAAGGAAAATTGGACTTTTTTACCTCAATTTGGCACTGAAACGGGAAGGTCTAAACAGGAAGTCAGCCTTCCGTTTCTTTGTAGATAGATTAAAGCAAAGACATGGCAAACTAGAGCTCAGAAAATCGCCTGTAAAAGATTAACTTTCATCATTTAAAATTGTTGAACCCCCCTTCGGAAGCAGGAGAAGAGGGGGGATCTTTTCGGACTGTTTAAACCTGCAGAAGTGAGGGTAAAGTAAAGTAACTTTCCACCGTCCTGATCCTGGAGCGGGGTGTTAGGACTGATGTTTTTTGAAGCTCATTGACCAGAGACAACGTTTTTGACAGATAGCCATAAGAAGAGAAACATTGATTCCATTGTTCCCCCTCGCTTTTTAAAGGAACAAATATTGACAAGATATCTGAAAAAGGAAACTTTGTTACTAGACTTGTTTTTAAAAGAAAGAACAAATAGAAGTTTTCCCCCTAGAGGGAGACTGTGAAACTGTAACCAACTCCGGGGAGCTTGCAGCTGTCACAGATTACAATCGTGGGAATAGACTTCTGACTTTGCAGGACAATGTATTCAGAAGCTCTGTTGTGTGCTTTCTATAAAACAAATGCCCTACTGGAACAGTTACATGAGAAGATGAATTTGATGACTGATTCGATCAGAAATTGTAAACAGGCAGTGCGAAATTTTGAACAGGCAGTGGGAAAATATATGGAGCCCACCCAGGAATTAAATCAGGAGTGTGCCCTGACAGAACAGATGAGGGAAGAGGATGTTGCTGAATCTTGGGCGCCAGAGATGGAGGGAGCTGTGGCCCAACAGGAACATGAGCTTTTGGATTTGACAAATGAACTTGGAAAAAGCCAGATTTGGAAAGAAAAAGTTTGGTTTGGTTTGGAAATGGGGGGCTGGATAGACCCCCCTATGCAGGGATGTTTGGACTTTTCAAGTCTGGCAATGGGCCGTGAGATGTTTGGGGTTGTGGGGGCTCCTAATTTTGGAGGGATTTTGAAACATGTTCTTAAATACCACATGGAGTTTAGTGTGGGTTATGGAAAAGGGGCTGATCTGTCGAGAAGGGTCAAAAACATTGTTAAGCTGGAGTTCCCACGAGTGAAACGAGCAGGAGACAAGGGAAAATACAGTTATAAATATGAAGAAGAGCTGCGGAAGGGACATGGAAGAGACTTAAGGGCCTCGGATATAAGGTTACCAGGTTAATGCGCTAGATCGATGGGATAATAAGGACTGACAAAACCCGGGACCAGGAGGAAGGGACACTGGATGAAGATTGGATTGTTTTTATTTCTTTTTTACTACTAGGATTGTTTTATAAAATTGATGAATGTTAGAAAAATGTTGGAATGAAATTACTTGGCTTTAGTAAAAATGCGTAAAGAATAACGTAAGAATATTATGGTTATGAGAAGTTGGTAAAAATAAGATTTAAGTTTTAAGGTTTTTTATAGTACGATAAGATTAAAATAGTTTAAGGTAATGTAATGACAGAATATTATGAAATATGGAAAGGATTTGCTGCGACAATTAATAACTAGGATACAAAAAAAGGGAGGAGGAGGAGGTCAAAGAAAGAAGGTAATGACAGTTGAGGATTTGAGAATAATGGATTTGTTTTTAAATGTTTGTGGTGTATTTTTGAATTTGTATTGTCTGATGTGGTTTGTTTTTTTTCTTTGCTCTTTCTTTTTTCTTTTTCTACCTTGTTCTCTTCTGTAATTAAAAAAATTTTTTTTTCCAATAAATATCATTTAAAAGAAAAAAAGAATTGATAAGTTTGATCTTCTTGCAGTCCGTGGGACTCTTGAGTCTCCTCCAGCACCATAATTCAAAAGCATCCATTCTTCGGCAATCAGCCTTCTTTATGGTCCAGCTCTCACTTCCATACGTCACTACTGGGAAAACCATAGCTTTAACTATAAGGACCTTTGTTGGCAAGGTGATGTCTCTGCTTTTTAAGGTGTTGTCTAGGTTTGTCATTGCTTTTCTCCCAAGAAGCAGGCGTCTTTTAATTTCGTGACTGCTGTCACCATCTGCAGTGATCCTGGAGCCCAAGAAAGTAAAATCTCTCACTGCCTCCATTTCTTCCCCTTCTATTTGCCAGGAGGTGATGGGACCAGTGGCCATGATCTTAGTTTTTTTGATGTTGAGCTTCAGACCATATTTTGTGCTTTCCTCTTTCACCCTCATTCACCTTTTACCTTACCTGTTACCAAATCAATTGGTTCATGCAGACAAATGGTGCTTTACCGAATGGCCTTTTGTGTGACAATTTGCACCAATGCTAACCTGTACCAGTGGACAAGATTTTGAAGTAGCAGCACTAAGCTTTAAAGAAGGCTCAGTTATAAATTCTGTTACGCACCAATGCATCCAATTTAGGTTAGGTTCGGAACTTTCCAACCTGGTGTCAAAGCTCAAATTTTGCTAGCCTAAACTTGCTGTTTAGTCATGCTGTACAAGACAAGGCTGCTCATCCCTCCCCTTCCAGTATCCATGGCGATTGCCTTCTGGGCTCATTTCAAATTTGTGATGATAACACCCGGCATCCCTAAGAGATGGCCTCAATCCTTATACAGTCTTTAAGATTGGCTAGGGATGCTTCCCCTTGATTTCCAACCAAGTCAGAACATGTGTGACTTTCAGAAGAAGTACAAGGCTGAAAATGAATAATTAGGACAATCAGCACATTGTTAAGCTAAGGGTACCCTTCCAATTAAGTACATAAATTGCAGATGTTTTCATAGGTGTGGGTGGGTGGTGGTGTTGTTTTGTTTGTTATTATGTTAGGCATTTTTTTGTTTTTATATTGTAAACCACCCTGTGATTCTCTGATGAAGGAGTGGTAGAAAAATATAATAATGGTAATGATAATGATGATGATGATGATGATAATAATAATAATAATAAGTGTGCTTGGAGCATTTGGAGTTCTTTGGCTGCAATATCCTTTTTTCAAAAACGCTCTCACCGCAAAATGATTCTGGACAAAGCCATACCTGCAGAGTAGAATTATTGTGTTTGGAATTACCTTGGTATTTCTTCTGAAAGCAATCCATTGCGCTTTGTTAACAGGTAACACAGCTTTCAGTTTGAGGAAGGCCAAACTTAACAAATACTTATATGTACCAGCTGAAACCTAATCTATATTAGAAATCTCTATATAAGATTTCAGTCATTTCTCTGTAATGTTGCCCACTGCCTAGATGTCTGAAACGGGCTGGGGGGGGGGGAATCACTGAAGCTGAATGTTCTGTGCTTCAGCTGAGACAAACAAATGTTATATATATGTATGTATGTGGTGCCACTGATGCATTATGATGTGGTAATGATTTTTAGTGGCAGAAAGACTGCTGGCTCTGTACATTTGAAGTTGATTTGTGCTTTCAATTTAAGTTTGCTGAGAGATTTTTCTCTTTGTTGAGTTTCAGGTTAGGTTAAGACTGATGAATTATTAGATACTTTATAGTTTCCCTGAACAGATGGCCAACAGCAAGCATTTTAAGTTTAATAGTTATATTAATTAAAGCTTCACTACGAACACTGCGGTTGTCACATGAATCAGGAAGTATGGTTTGTCCTGTACTGGAGATCCTTATGAAATCCTTGTTTGTTTGGTATTTTGACTTAAAGATGTGGAGCCTTTTTGCTCGTGAAGTTTTATATGAATGAATTCCTTCCCTTTAAAGAGCAACACAGCTCCATTTTGGGATTTGGAAAACAGCTTTATTCTGCTGAATTAAATTGGGCTTCCGAACAAGTGTGGTTCAGAGTTGTTTAATCAGTAAGCCACTTAGAGACCTGGGTGATCCTTGAACACTTGGAGGTTGGGGATGGGGTCAGTGGTTGCAGCCCCAACCACCCATTCCTTAATCCGTTTACACCCAAATAAAATTTGAAGATTTTACTTCCTGATGCGCCAGCTTAAAAAGCAAGAGAAAAGAAAAGGAAAAAACCTAGGATTTTCCCTTGTCTCCTTCTGTTATTATGTATTAAATGTCAGGAGCTCATCCTACTCTCGAGTAGGACCCTGGCAGAGACACACGCCTGACTGGCATGTTCCCTCCCTCCTGGTTGATCGTTTGGGAGCTTCAAAAGATTTCTTCTGCCTGAACATCACAGCGACCGATGGCAACAGACATCGGCACACTTAGGGATCCGCAGAGTTTGCGCATCATGCGTAACAGACCTCAGCAACTCAGCATTTTGGCTAATCTACTTTATTTACATATAAACACACACACAGCACTGCAACAGTGCTCCCTCTCTCTCTAGCATCAGACAACAAAGAGAGAAAACAAAGGACAATAGTCCCACTTCACAGAACACAGTAACACAAACATCCTGTCTCCGTCACTTCCCACTCTGTTGAGTCAAAACATAAACCGTCATGTGAAAGACAACAATCCCATGACTGCAATCATGGAGCAGGAATTCTAACATTAAACCCCTGATATGCATGCTTTATTGCTTGATGTAGTTCCCACATTTTCTTTTCAGTCCAACACTGGCGATCTTGAAGTCTTGCCAAAACAAAAGTGTTGGGAATTGCGAAAAGCTTAAATTAAGCAAGCCTAGAGCCTACAAATCTTGTTGGTGTAAAACCAAAGGTGGGGGAGCTGCTGTACTTTGGGATGGATGCACCCTTCCCCCTCCACATCCCACCCTTCCTCTCCTGCAGCTCGTCTTGGGGGAAAAGCATTCTGTTTGAGGTAACCAAAGACTTTTCTCAAGCCTGAAGGCAGCCTGGGATGTGTTGGGCAGATGGGAGAATTACATTTGGAGAGGGAAGGGTTAACCTAATAGCTGTTGTGGGGGGTTGGACTGTCTGTGTTTATCTGGATCATGTCCCTCCGTAGGTCTGCGTGGATAGATAGACAGACAGACAGACAGATAAATAAACACATAAACAGATTAGAGATCGATAGATAGACATATAGATAGATGGGAAGCTTTACCAAGAGATCAAGGTAAAAGTCAGATCCAGTAGAATTAATTTGAGCCTTGAAAAGCTGAAAGAGGAAGTGGGAAAGAGTGTCACGCTCCTAGCTTTCTCCTTCAGCTCCATGTACTTTTCATGGCCAAGGGGGCAGGGAGTGGAGAGAGCTTGAAGTCTTTGTGGGCACCAGGGAAAGACCTCAGGGGCACCATTGCACTCACGGGCACCGCCTTGGTGACCCCTGGACTACATTTAGGGGTGACTTATCCATTAAGCCCAAATTGGTTTGGCTGAGCAAAAAACTATGCAGAAAATAAACATCACAAGATTGTATTGTGAGCACTTCATTAAAAACGACAACTACTCTTTTTTCTGTATGCTTGCTTCTGCGGCAGCATCACACTCGCTCCAGTGCTGGGAAAATAGGGAGATGCTTGTAACACCCCAATTCTCACAGCAAAGGAAAGCACCTGAGCTTGTTTTCTACCTTGCTACTGCACATTCCGGAAGGTTTCTCTCCTTGCGCCCCCACTGCCCACTTGCACTTGTTTATCTTGCCTAAATATCATCTGGCCTTTGTAGTTGTTTAGTCGTATCCGACTCTTCGTGACCCCATGAACCAGAGCACGCCAGGCACTCCTGTCTTCCACTGCCTCCCGCAGTTTGGTCAAACTCACACTGGTAGCTTCGAGAACACTGTCCAACCATCTCATCCTCTGTTGTCCCCTTCTCCTTGTGCCCTCCATCTTTCCCAACATCAGGGTCTTTTCCAGGGAGTCTTCTCTTCTCATGAGGTGGCCAAACTATTGGAGCCTCAGCTTCACGATTTGTCCTTGCAGTGAGCACTCAGGGCTGATTTCCTTCAGAATGGAGAGGTTTGATCTACTTGCAGTCCATGGGACTCTCAAGAGTCTCCTCCAGCACCATAATTCAAAAGCATCAATTCTTCGGCAATCAGCCTTCTTTATGGTCCAGCTCTCACTTCCATATCATTTAGCCTATCCTATAACAATTTAGAGTATAAGAGAATGTTTGTTGTTTGGGATTAAATATATTGCCGTACAGTATGTTTACAGTAGTTTGTAGGGCATGAAATGGAAGGCTGCACCGTGCCCTAGTGTTTGTGTGCAAGCATGCGGATGATTTTACATAGATCGCCAACGTGGTGCCCACAGGTGCACATGAACTCTCAGAGTTGCTTCCCCCCCCTTTCTTCCACTGAAGGAGGCCATCTTTAGCCAATAGACTTTCCCCCAAGCCTACTTGTGATGTAGGAGACTATTTTGGGCAAGCTACATTTGGGGATGGGAAAGTTGTGGTGTTCACAACAGTTTCTCAATTTCTCAGCTTTTCAAATATGCTCACAGGTCCCAAAAGGTTAGTAACATGAATCTGAGATGTCTAATCCCTGCAGTATAAATAAGGTTGCTTTCCTAAATTTCACTTGGTCAGAAGTTTTTGCTTCAAAGTTCTAGTTACAAAAGTCATACATTCCCATCTCAAGAATGAGCACCTTCAATATTTCCTTTAAACTGCTCTGTTGGAGTTTCTTTATTCGCTAACATTTTAGTATATTCAGTTTTGATCATAGAAATATCCCACTAACTTTTATTTTGTCTCTGGGCCATTGAATTATCCCACTATAATATCCTGTATGTGCTTTGCTTTTAACTGATTTGACCCATTTAATGTTCTTCACTGCATGGATAAAATTGAGTACATGGAGGTTTTTCCTTTTTCTTTTTTTAACTCTCTTAGCCTTTTGCAGCACACTATGAGGGAAGCAACTTCTGAAATAACGTGCATTATTGTTGCCTTAAAAAAAAAAAGTACTGTTGAAAAATTAAACAACTGTTTTCAACTGCAGCTGTTAACTGTTTCTTTTCCTGTAAAAATGATCATTCAGTTGGCAGCCTGAAATGCATATATTTTAAGCTGTTAACTTTATCCAATCTGGGTTTTCAGAGAATAAAAAGGCAAGCCAAGTTGTTTTTGAAACTAGCAAAAAACTAGTCTTGAATTTTTTTTTCTATATGCAACTTTGGAATTCTAGGACGTATTGTATGATATGACAAGGTTTGTTCTATGGTTTGTCGGGGAGAGCTAAAACACAACCACTGGTCTGGACTACACACATGGCTTAGCTCAGTGCAGCAATAAAGTGACAGAAGATGCCTCGATCTCTCCAGGAGCTCAAACATTTGCTCGTTGCCACTGTGCCATGGGCTGGCTAAGTGTTACTTGTGAAGAAGGACATTGTGTAGATGAAAACAATGTATGTATGCAAGTATTGCAGTAGAGCAGGCACTTCCAACTCACAAGAGAATGTGATCTGCTCCTAATATAAAAGAAATGGCAGTGATCTACCCATTGTCATTGGAGGGAGGAGGAGCGTGCATTTTTTCAGGGGGTGCCAAGAGTAGAGCTTTTTTTTATTTTTATTTTTTTAAAAATAATTTTTATTAAAGTTTTAAACAAAAAAGAAAAAAGAAAAAACAACACACACAAAAAAAACAATACAAAATTTAACAGTAGAAACACAAAATATAACAATTAAAAACAAACTCTCTTTTCCATTCCCAATTTTAAATTACTTATTTTCTGGACTTCCTCATACCTCCCTCTTTTGTATTCCAATCTACATTATTTGTCCAGCAGTTTCTTTTCCACTTTTTTAAACCTAATCTTTAATTTAATAAAATATTAAAATATATAGCTTCAACTTTTTTTTTTTTTAAACATAATCCTTGTTCTTAGTGTCATATACCTTTAGATTTTTCCCTTTTATTATCAAATTTCCATTTCTTTAAACATCTTTAATCTTGATCTTTAATCTTAATCTATCCTTAACTTTAACCTGTACAGCTGGAAACCACTTATTTTCAATCCAACATCACTCTAACATTCCTTAATTTTGCAGTGTTTCTGAAGATAGTCTTTGAATTTCTTCCAGTCTTCCTCCATCGACTCTTCTCCCTGGTCACGGATTCTGCCAGTCATTTCCGAGTTGAGCTTTTTTTTAGGGGGGAGTACCCTGAGTTTTTGAGCTATTTTGGAGTGGAAATCCTTAAGTTGGTGAGCTTTTTTGGGGGGGGGGGTGTGTCCCTTACGTTGTTGAGCTTTTATGGAGCGGGGATGACAATAAAACAATCTCCTGAAAGTACAGCGCTGACAATGGCACACAGCGCTAAAGCCAACATTGCTTCCGCTGGCCACCTTGACCTGCGCTCAATGCTACTGCGCAGCTGGTGGAAGAAACTTCCGGGGTGGCGCCATTGGCAACGGTGGATTCCCTCTGAACTGAAGGGACCAGCTCCACGGGAAACGGGTCTTTTCCGCTACGGCGAAGCGGGGACCCATTTAAAAATCACAGGCGGATGAAGCCTGTGACCATGGGACTCGGCAGGCACCTTTAGCGCCCCCCCAACCCGCAAAGGAACCCATCAACAGACTCCGGAGCGAAGAGGGGGAAGTGGCGTGGTGCTGAGAGTCAACTGCTTCTTCCGTGGAGCGAAGCCGCACAGCCGTTGCCGGAGAGTGCTGCCTTTTTACTGGGACAATTTGGCTTTTAAAACAACCACCCGTGAGTATTTAAGTTTTGGACAATTGGACTCTAAATAAGGATTTGCGAGCAGAAAGGAAAACTGGACTTAAAGTTTAATTTAATTTGGCACTGAAACAGGAAGGTCTAAACAGGAAGTCAGCCTTCCGTTTCTTTGTAGATAGATTAAAGCAAAGACGCGGCAAACTAAAGTTCTGAAAATCGCTTCTAAAGGATTAACTTTCATCATTTAAAATTGTTGAACCCCCTTCGGAAGCAGGTGAAGAGGGGGGTCTTTTTTTTCTGGACTGTTTAAACCTGCAGAAGTGAGTGTAAAGTAAAGTAACTTTCCACCGTCTTGATCCTGGAGCGGGGTGTCAGGACTGACGTTTTTTTGAAGCTCATTGACCAGAGACAAACGTTTCTGACAGATAGCTAAAGGAAGAGATACATAGTGATTCCATTGTTCCCCTTCGCATTTTAAAGGAACAAATACTGACAAAATATCTGAATAAGGAAACTTTGTTGTTAGATCTGTTTTTAAAAGAAAAGAACAAACAGAAGTTCTTCCCCTAGAGGGAGCCTGTGAAACTGTAACCAATTTTGAATCGGGGAGCTTGCAGCTGTTACAGATTACGATTGTGGGAATAGACTTCTGACCTTGCAGGACAATGTATTCAGAAGCTCTGTTGTGTGCTTTCTGTAAAACAAGTGCCCTATTGGAACAGCTGCATGAGAAGACGGATTTTATGACTGATGCGATTAGAAATTTTGAACAGGCAGTGGGAAATTATATAGAGCCCACCCAGGAATCAGATCAGGAGTGTGCCCTGACAGAACAGATGAGGGAAGAGGACGTTGCTGAATCTTGGGCGCCAGAGATGGAGGGAGCTGTGGCCCAACAGGAACATGAATTCTTGGATTTGACAAATGAACTTGGAAAAAGCCAGATTTGGAAAGATAAAGTTTGGTTTGGCTTGGAAATGGGGGGTTGGATAGACCCCCCTATGCAGGGAGGTTTGGACTTTTCGAGTCTGGCAATGGGCCGGGAGATGTTTTGGGTTGTGGGGGCTCTCAATTTTGGAGGGACTTTGAAACATGTTCTTAAATACCACATGGAGCTTAGTGTGGACTATGGAAAAGGGGCTGATTTGTCGAGAAGGGTCAAAAGCATTCTCAAGCTGGAGTTCCCAAGAGTGAAAGAAATAGGAGATAAAGGAAAATACAGTTATAAATATGAAGAAGAGCTGCGGAAGGGACATGGAAGGGACTTAAGGGCCTCGGACATAAGGTTACCAGGTTAATGTGCTAGATTGATGGGATAGAAAGGACTGACAAAACCCGGGTCCAGGAGGAAGAGATGCTGGATGAAGATTGGATTGTTATTTCTTTTATTATGATTGTTTTATAAAATTGATGAATGTTAGAAAGATGTTGGAACGAAATTATTTGGCTTTAGCAAAAATGTTTAAAGAATTATGTAAGAATATTATGGTTATGAGAAATTGATAAAAATAAGATTTAAGTTTTAAGTTATAAGGTTTTCATAGTAAGATAAGATTAAAATAGATTAAGGTAAAGTAATGACAGAATATTATGAAATATGGAAAGGATTTGCTGCGATAATTAACAACTAGGATACAAAGAAGGGAGGAGGAGGAGGTCAAAGAAAGAAGGTAATGACAGTTAAAGATTTGAGAATATTGGATTTGTTTTTAAATGTTTGTGATATATTTTTGTTTTTTGTGGTTTGTCTTTTCTCTGTTTTTTCTTTCTTTTTTTTCTTCTTTGTTTTCTTTTGTAATTCAAAAATTTTCAATAAATATCATTAAAATTAAAAAAAGAAACTAGGGAGCGGCGACATTACTTGCCGATGAATGACCGCAATCAACCAAGATCACCCGGCGTTCTACCTGTTGATTGCGGTCAGCCGGTTGGACATGTCTGCAGTAGAGTATATAATGAATCCTATCCTATCCTAGGCTTTCTGTCTCCTTCCTTATCATGTATATTTTTCAGACCTGCAGCCGCACAAAAGTCTACAGATGTGCCCTCATGCTTCTCCTTCCAGGTGAGCAAGATGCATTTCCAGGGTTTCTAGCCAGGAAAAAGGGCACAATGCAGAGCCCAGTGGCCTGGGGAGTGAGGGCCGGAGAGTGGGAGCCGGATGGCCATGTTTGACCTCAGAGCTATGAGGTTCCCTACCCTTTGCCTGCCATGAGCTGGCTATCACAAAAGTTTTTGCTAAGGCACTGCACTTAAAACCTGTCCCCAGGTGGTAGATTTCACTGAGATTTGTTGCATGTGCCTCACTCAGCAGCCACAGATAATTTTCTGTTGCCGACAGTTATTAAAGCGCTCGCATCCTGCATTCCAGTTCCGCAAGGTGGTTACCACTATTATTAAAACTACAAATCTAGAAACAATAAAAAATTCAAAACGGCAACTAACATGATTTGATCCGCGGCATCAAAAAACCCCATCAGGAATTTTTTTTAAAAAGACTTTAAAATGCTTTCCTTGTGATCAGACGCATTTGTTGGTTTACAGCTGATATGTGGAAGGAATTGAGGTTTGTTTGAATTAGCTCACGGAAAGTTAGGCATGAGCCAGACCAGAGTCTGGTGATGCAGTTCCTCCTGAAATTCCACCAGAGTGCCAGGGCCTCTCTCTCTGATTGGCTAAAGAGTCAGCTAGTCACACAAGGGGGGAGGAGCAGCACTTTGGGAGGGAGAATAAAAGGAGCAGTTTCTGAGGGAGAGAGTTAGAGAGGGCTAAGGTTCAGGTTATGAGATAGGGCTTGATTTAAGAGGAGAGATGGGGCTGAATATGAGAAGATGGATAGGGCTTGTTTTGAGATGGGGGTTAAGGAGTGAGGTAGGGAGTAGGATAGGCTCTGACTGAGGGAGAACTGGTTCTGAGTTCAGTTAAACATCCAAACTGAGGAGAATATTCATAGCAAGAGGACAGAGACTCACAGCTTAGATAGGGAGACCGGGTTGAGGGTCTGGGAAACGTAGACAGACAGGAGCGTCCCCTGGGTCTGTTATGCAATTTTGGAATACCTCAGGAGTGAGATTGTTAAGTGAGTGGGTAACTGGGGAAAAGTGCCCCTCGCTCCTGAACCAGGGTAATAAATCTGTGAAGGAAGCTGTTCTGCAATAAAGATATTTAACGGAACCACCTGTCACAGCTAAGTAACAGAAAGTGATTTAAGCATCTTACCAACTGATTAATAGTGACTGGAGTTTAAGTAGAGCTGTGCCTATATTTAAGCCTGTGACATCTTTTTTGCCCACTTCTAGTACTAAACTAAGTTCTCTTTGTTGAAAACACTTTTCTTGTTTGTTTGATCAACTCCTGCCTGGGACTCTAAATCATTCAATTTTCCCTCACACAAGTCCCCCCCCTCCCCCCCGCGGCATCCTGTGGTAAATTTGCAAAACTTCCTATTAATTGGTGGACAATGAGGATTGTGCGCTGTATTTAATAGGGGGCAGTTAGCGGGGCAAATCTGCCGCATTATTAATTGGTGATAGGTGGTTGGATCCGCTACATCAGGCACCCTTTGGTTTTAAATAGAATATGAGCTTGCAGGTGCTGGAAATACAAATGGAAAGCAGCAGGGCTGGGGGGGGGGAAGGGACAAGTGATGGCAATCTCTGATCTGTCTCAACAGACTAGAACACATTCATTAATTGCCTTTATATCCTGCCTTTCCTCCAAGGAGCTCAAAGTGGTGTACATGGTTCTCTCACATTTTATCCTCACTGCAGCCTTCTGCGGTAGGCTGTGCGGAGCCCAAGGTAGTTCTCCCCCCCCCCCGATGATCTTTATTGAATTTTTAGTTACATACTGTACATAAACATACATTATATTTCACATTTGTTCTTGCTCTCCTGAGCTGACTTCCCTCCTTCCTTCTTCTGGCTTTTTTGTGTCCTCTTTAACTTTTCGCATTGTCTTTGTCCATTTTCCACAAGATTGTTCTTCTTTATTTTTTCCATTAAATGTCCGTAAACAAATAAATCTTTCTATATATACAAATTCTTGCTGTCTGTCTATATTCATTTACAAATATTGTTCAGTAATAATCCTAATATACATTTTTAATTCATTTTGATATTATTATCCAGTAAATTTCTTGTATTTTCCCGTTATGAGATATTATTTTAATTCTACTGGTTTCCTTATTTCACATCATCTTCTCTATATATAACATAAATTTTCCCCATTCTTTTTGATATGTTTCATCCCCCTGATGTCAAATTTTTGCTGTTAATTTGGCTATTTCTGCATACTCCATAACCATAATAGAAGAATGGCAGTACAAGGTTACAAGAGCCCAAGGTAGTTCAGTGAGCTTCATGTCTGAATAAGATTTTGAACCCGGGTCTTCCCATTCCTGTTGCTGATGCCATAACTACTGCACCAGTTTCTTATCAAGATACAGTCTTGCATGTGTTTCAGCCTGTGCCAGTCATTATCCAACTCCTGTTTAGCACAGGAACCTCTGGTGTGGTTTCTTGGCAAGTGTGAATCTTGTTTAGACTCTGACCCTGAGCACCGCGCTGGCCTCTTGGTGTCCCCTTGCTGATCAGCAGATTACCCTTCTGTGTATCTTTTGCTACATACCCTTGATCTTTATAATTGGCTTCTGAAGGGTCTGTTTCATCTAATCTCTTTGACAATCGCAAACGCCATTGATTACCTTTAAGTCTGAAGAAAAAGAGAACTTGCCTTTTATTGCTCAGTTGCCTCTGAGGCCAACACAGGGCAAGCTCTTTTAAGAGTATGGAGTAAATATACTGGTGTCAGACCAATTACGGTAAACGAGACTTCTGCAACTTGGGGCCCTCCACATGCCCCAGCCAGCCTGGCCAACATTCAGGGGTGATGGGAGTTGTAGTCCAACAATATCTGGAGGGCACCAGGTTGTGGGTGGGCAGTTTAAAGCCTTGTCTCTTGGGGCCCAGAGACAAACAGTGTTGTGAAAGCCAGCCAGCTCAACCAGCATCTGCTCTGCATGCAGAAGGTTCAGTCCTCGGCATCCCCAGGTAGAGCCAGAAACCCTGGGGAGCCACTACCAGTCCGTGCAGACAGTACTGAGCTAGTTGTACCAGTGGCCTGGCTCTGTATAAGGTAACTGTTGGGAAACTGTATATGTGCAGCTACTCACACAGAGTCAATTAAGGTTTGGCAGACAGCCAGAAGGTCATGTCTGCCTGGTGATAACAGAGACATGGAGACAGCTCCCTGATTGGTCAAGCTCTCTCAAGGGAGTGATAATTAATGGCCTACTAACTGGAATGTGTTGGTTCGTAGTTCAGAGTTCAGTAGTTCAGATGTTCTGTGTCAGTGTAGGAGTTGTGAATCGTGTATGAGAGAGCTAGCTAAAGATCTGTGTTCTGTTCCTATAAATAGTCCACTGTACAGTGGTGCCTCGCAAGACGAAAAGAATCCGTTCTGGGAGTCTCTTCGTCTAGCGGTTTTTTCGTCTTGCGAAGCAAGCCCATTGATGGGATTAGCGGATTAGCGCTATTAGCGGCTTTTAGCGGCTTTTAGCAGCTTATCAGCTTATCTGATAAGCAGATAAGCGGCTTAGCGACTTAGAAAAAGAGGGGGGAAAGGGGAAAAAAAACCCAGGAACTCGCAAGACATTTTCGTCTTGCGAAGCAAGCCCATAGCAGATTCGTTTTGCGAGGCACCTCCAAAACGGAAAACTCTTTCGTCTAGCGAGTTTTCCATCTTGCGAGGCATTCGTCTTGCGGGGCACCACTGTATATAATAAACACCTAACTACAAGTTCCTGGTTCCTGCTTTGTCTATCCTGTCTGCAGCCAAGTTGCCAATTGCTTCTGTGGATTCTGTGTGTACTCTGCTAGGTCTGGCTAAGGTCCTGCAACTAGTCGGAAAGTTGCGAAACACCAAATAGGTTTTGCCAATAGTCACTTCTTATGCTCCTATGAAATTATATCTTCCTCCTGTGTCAGCGGCACCGACTCACTGGCTTCGAAAAAGAGAGGAAGGCAGCTGAGTGAAGAGGAGAGGTTTGGTGTGCAGAGAGAGCTATCAGAGCAGACAGATGATTCATAAGCAGGATTGGGCCTTCTGACGGATAGTGGAGCCCATCCCTTGGCAGAGGAGAAGTGATTAGGTCTTGAGGAGTGAGAAAATGAGCATGGTCTGAACGAATCTTATGTGCTCTGTAGAGAATATCTCATGCAGTCTTGGTATCTCATTAGAAAAAATACCTGCTTACAAGTTGGGGTGCTGGGTGTAAAATACTGAACTTTGTGACTTTCTTATGTGGTCAGTCTTTAATGGGATATTTGTTTGTCTACTTTGAAAGAACAGAGAAGAGTGTGCACCACAGCCTCCCCCCTCTCTTATACACACACACACACACAAATACACTTCTTGCGAAAATTGCCTTTTTATAGTTAATCGTTTAAGTACACCAAATATCTTCTAAGTAATTTACAGCCTGTCTTTTCAACTTTACTCAACCATCAGCTCTCTCAAAAACTCCCCTTTTCCAGATTCCACCTGGGTATGATTTACTCTTTATTAGTCTAGTAAAATGTGACAGGATCATCAAGTCTTTCTGAAGAGTTATTTCCAACAGCATTTTTTAACACTTCTCCGCAAATAGGGCAAAATAAACTATATTGACAGCGTGACTTGCCTTGAATCTATTCTCAAAGACTTTGCAATGCCTGATTGCTCAATATAGCATCTTTTTGAAGGTACAGAAATAGAGCAAAGGCCCATCAGTTGCCATGTCAAAGAATGATTTTTGTGTCCTAAGAAAGAATTAAGTTGCACCATGGGGAGCCCAAATTGAAGTTGTGTTGATTCATTGAGACAGCATGCAGTCAGGGTCTGGTTCATGCAGTTTCCTGCTCAGCACATACCCTCTTAGCATTCCCCAGAGATGTGCATGTGTGATAAAAAATAAGGCATGATTCAGACATTCAGAGATTTGATGGGGACTAACTTCTATGGTTATCTTCCCACCCCCCAAGCTACTGGATCACAGAAAATTACTCTTGGCCAATACACTTTGGTGTTTGCATTATATGATATGTTTGTCCATGACAGCCTCTCCCAACCCAATGTTGAGTGTTGTGTATGTGCCACAGAAGTTCAGTCAAGCGCTTAAGTTCACCACAGGAAACAACTGTGTAGCAGAGATAGCTTTTACTTAGCATACACACACACTATAGATGCACACTACAGTCGCTGCAAGAAGTCTTCACTCTCTGAGCCCAGAGAGGGTTCCAGCTTATAAAATTCTTGCTGGGACAAAGTCTACACAGCAAGCGCAAAACCCAGTTGCTAACAAAGTCCTACAACTGCTAGAATTCTCTCAATCCAGAAGTCTTGCAGGTTGTCCAACTTTTCTCAGATAAGCTCTTCACAAAGGCTTCCACACTTTCACAAGATTGTTCCAACAATCTCCACATCTCCAAAAGATTCTCCTGTACTTCCCAACAATGGATGCTGTAACTTGAGCCTTGTCTACCCAATGCTACATGATAGGTTGCCCAGCAGCTCAGATAAGACAGTCACAAGACACCTGTAGTTATACTTTTCTTAACACCCCATTCCTTTCAGATGTTTTAGACTACAACTCCCACCATCCCAGCCAGCAAGCTGGTGTAGACTGGTTCTCCCCAATTCAGGAATTTGAACACTAATTTATTAGGTATGCTAACTCTGATAGTAATTTTAAGGTGACCTGAAAAACCAATTGTACTATGCAGCTTGAAAGCTAAATAGCCAAAAAGTGATCAAAAACCAAGTAGAAGATAGTAATCCTGCATGTTAATCCAACATTTTTATTGCCATGGGATATTAGCATTACGCTCTTAATACAAAACAGTAAATCAACATAATGTCTCGTAAAGAGACCCATTAGCATGTTAGCTGGGTATTACTGTTCTGATAAACTTTGGAGATATATTTGTTATTAAAATGTGCTAAAAATAATGACTATAAAGCTGATAGCTTTTGATTAATGGGATATCTTGATTATCCTGAAACCCAAAGTATAATTACAAGTTGTAATTCCCACCGTCTATTCAAATGTTGTGGAAATTAAATCTCTTATTATTTCCGACCTTTATTACAATGATTTGTTATTGTTGTCTTATATGAACTAGCCAGAGAAGGGGAACCTCTGGCTCTACAGATTTTCCCATCAACCACAGCCAAAATGGCCAATGGTCAATGGACTTTCCATACCTCTAAGGATGGATGGATCAGTCTATTTGTGCTCTGTGTCACTTTTGCATGTGTTGATTCGTGATTCTCTTCCATACCCTTTCCACATTCATTTGCAGTTTATAAAAAATATGTATGAAGGTTTTCAAAGTATTTCTTATCAAAATTAAAATAGGCATTTCTAAATGTATTTTATCGAAGCAAGCATTTCTAAATGTATTTTATCTCAAAGTATGCATTTTAAAACATATTCCTGCTTTTTGTTGAGCTGAGAACTACACTGCGACATTTGCTGAAGTGTGATATACGATGGGCAGCACTGTTGTGATCTGTGCACCATTGTGAAATGTGCAGATCAAGTCAGTTCTTATTGAAGTTTGCAAAGGTCTGTTTCTTCCAGCCTTCCTATATGCTTCTGATAGCAATTCACTTCATGGGAGCCTGTCTTAACTCTTGAACACTGTGGTTTGCAAACCAGCCACTTGGATTCAGACCTACGCAGACTGATTGTGACCATCTGAACTCTGATTTTCACTAAAGTAAAGCTAGGCTGAGATTTAAACTAAACAGATACTCTATGTCACATAGAGGAGGGAGAAAGGTTGTTTTCTGCTGCTCCAGAGAAGCGGACACGGAGCAATGGATCCAAACTACAAGAAAGAAGATTCCACCTAAACATTAGGAAGAACTTCCTGACAGTAAGAGCTGTTTGACAGTGGAATTTGCTGCCAAGGAGTGTGGTGGAGTCTCCTTCTTTGGAGGTCTTTAAGCAGAGGCTTGACAACCATATGTCAGGAGTGCTCTGATGGTGTTTCCTGCTTGGCAGGGGGTTGGACTCGATGGCCCTTGTGGTCTCTTCCAACTCTATGATTCTATGTGGTTTAGGAGCGAGGGGCACCCTGTAAATAAAAGATGTCCTCTAAAAACTCTGCTGGGTTCACTGATTGCCTTATATATATATAAAACTAATGCCTTGCTATGTGTGAATCTTACTTCCAATTTCAGTCCACAGAGTCACCGTCATAATTCCATAGCAAAGTTATTTAATAGTAAGGGCATCAGGCAACTACTAAAGCTGCATTGCTTTTGTGGAGATGAAATATAAAGTATAGATGGCTGATAAGTGATAAGATTGTTTCTTGAACTAGCCGAGGATGATAAATGTGGCAACAGAAATCTTTCATGATCAGTTCCAACGTTTTCAGGAAATTTTCAGGAAATTGTGCCTGCCACACACTAATTTATTGCCTTTAATATAGTTTCAGAATGCAAGGTTCTCTCCTTTTACTTTAAATCCAGTCTTGCAAGCTAGTATAGACAAGATGTTTGGAACACTTAGCCTGTCCAAATTTGAAATACAAGCTTAAACTGCCGTTGCCGAAGGAATAAGACAAGGTGATTGGAAGCCCGAGGCCAATTATTTGGGTTCCCTTGACTCTTGCCCCTTGTGACCAATGAAACCTGCCTGGTCCAGGTTATGTGTGCTCTTCAGAACACCATATCAGGGCACCATATTGGTGAACCCTCCTCTACACTGGTTCTGGATGATGGGCTTCTTCCTGAAGTGCGGAAGGAAATGTTATTTCATACATATTCTGAAATATTTAAATAATTGCAGGTTGGTCTCAAATTAGCCACTCCCTCTTTAATTTTTTTAAAAAAGCAAGATGAATAAGTTGGCTGTGGTGTGACTGCTTAATGAATTCCAGTGTGAGACTTCCTGGAACATGCCAGCTGGGCTTTAGGGAAGGTGTCAGTACAGAGACAGCATTGCTTTACCTCTTTGGTGATCTGCATCTAGAGATGGACAGAGGGCATGTAACCGTGTTCAGACTTTTCAATCTCAGCATTTGACATGCTTTGCCACCTAATTCTTCTGAACTGTCTGGGATTGATGGGAAATGGGGACGCCACTAATAATATACTAGCTGGGATCCTAACTAGTGCTCCATGGGTGACATGGAGGAACCTGGAGTCCAGTGGAGGCATTTTTCACTGATCCTTCCTTCCCCATGCAGACCCCCACATTGCCCCTCAGTATCCTCAAGAACTTCCCCCAACACCCTGGAACAGATTTTCAAGGGGGCAAAGGGGGAAGGGGAGAGGGGTGAAAAATGCCCCCCTTCTGCTGGTCTGGTTTGTGGAATCACACCCATGGGATGCAGCCACCAGTGGATGCAGCCATATTTCTGTCAAAATGTGCATCCGTGTGTCACAGTGTGTATGTTCTCATGTATTTCTTTTTATATTTATATGCCACCTTTGCAACAAGGAGGCCAAGGTGGCGTACATAGTTCTCCTCCCCATTTTATCCTCACAACAACCCAGTGAGGTAGGTTAGGCGAAGAGACAGTGAGTGGTCCAGGGTCACCCAGTGAGCTTTGTTGCTGAGCGGGAATTGGAACCCTGGTCCCCTCGGGTCTTAGCCCAGCACTCGAACCACTGCACCCCACGGGTGCTCCCTTGTGTTTGGGTGCAGGCAAACACAGGGCTGCACAAAGGGCTCTTTCACGAATACTGCTGAATATGTATACTGTTGTTGTTTAGTTGTGTCCGACTCTTCGTGACCCCATGGACCAGAGCACGCCAGGCACTCCTGTTTTCCACTGCCCCCCGCAGTTTGGTCAAACTCATGCTGGTAGCTTCAAGAACACTGTCCAACCATCTCGTCCTCTGTCGTCCCCTTCTCCTTGTGCCCTCCATCTTTCCCAACATCAGGGTCTTTTCCAGGGAGTCTTCTCTTCTCATGAGGTGGCCAAAGTATTGGAGTCTCAGCTTCAGGATCTGTCCTTCCAGTGAGCACTCAGGGCTGATTTCCTTAAGAATGGATACGTTTGATCTTCTTGCAGTCCATGGGACTCTCAAGAGTCTCCTCCAGCACCATAATTCAAAACTGAATAAGAGCTGTTCGACAGTGGAGTGGTCTCCCTTGGGAGGTTGTGGACACTCTTTCCTTGGAGGTTTCTACGCAGAGGCTGGAAGGCCGTATGTCATGGATGCTTTAGCTGTGATTTCTGTATTGCAGGGGGTTGGACAAGATGACCTGGGGGTCTCTTACAATTCTGCAATGCTATGACTCTAAGACCTGTTTCTAGTGCTAATTGAATGTGGTTATCTACCCCTTTTATGTATGTCCTCCAGATAGGAACTACATCTAGCTTTGTCATCCTTGTATGTTTTGTGCAGTTGTAGCCCAGGAGAGGATCTTCTCTGTATAGAATTTCCTCCTCACAGAGACTCATCCGGCACATTCATTCCTGCATTGCAGGGGGTTGGACCAGATGGCCCTTGCTGTCCTTTCCAAATCTATGATTTTGTTGCTATTGTTGTTGATAGACTTCCTTCTGCAGAATAGCCCCCTGCCCTCCTGGTTGCCAGATATTCTATGGCTCTGAATAACGTTCCATCTTGAATGGTGTGCGAAGGCCATTTCCCACTTCCCGTTATAAACACAACTAATGTGGCTGCTTCACCTCCGAGCAGTTTCTTCATTTTAGGCGTTTGCATTCCATTAGGATGCAAAAGTGTTGCTTCCTAATGATACTCTCAAAGAGCTCTTAAAGTGATCAGAAGCCACTGCTATTCCCTGTTGGCCCTTGCTGCAGTTGGTCGGCTCATCTTTTTTTAAGTTCATTATATTTTCCTTTTAGGTTTGGGATGCTGTGGATCGGGGCCGTTGCTTGAAAACATACCTTTGCCACACCTGTGCCGTTCGAGCTGCCCAGTGGACCCCCTGTGGGAGAAGTGTTCTCAGCGGAGGGTTTGATTCTATGCTTCATTTAACCGATATTGAAACAGGTAAATATTAATACAGGCATGTGTTTTGGCTTGCATGTGAAATACTATTTTCTTACTACATGGAACATTGTGGGGCTTAAAATGTTATTTTAAAAGGTATTCAGGTCCTTAGAAAGTTTAGTTAATTTTAGTCAGTTTTAGTATTTTAACTTTTGTATGTTTTAAAGTAGAGTCGCAAACCTTTCTTGATTTTACTGTTTTATCTTCTATAAACTGCTTTCAGGGTTTTTAAAATCAAGTGGTGAATAAATTTTATGAATGAATAAGTAAATAAACACGGGGAAAGGGGCCAAACTACACATGGCAGTAGTAAATGCATATTTGCATCTAAGGTGCAGCTTTTAAAAAATGCAAATTGAATCAGCTTTTTATTGGCTGGGTGGGGGGCAAGGTGAAATGTTAATTAATTGGATCAGAACAGTTATGGAAGGGAGATTTCACCATTTTCTTCAGTGCTTGGTTCCAAAGAAATTCCCTCATCTCAAGCTAGCTGCATTGGGAGGTAACCTCCCTTAAGCACTAGTGAGTGTCCTCTGCCTTCAGAGCAAATTCCAGCTTCAGAAGACAAATTTTCTTTGAGACATTAGCAAGAGAGGAAAGAGTTAAATTCCCCTCTCCACATGCTTTGATTCTTTTAATTATCAGGCCCCCACCCCACCTCAGCTGCTGCAATCTGCATTTTTTCCCTAACATCCCCCCCCCCCCATATTGGATGCTAAGACACATTTACTGCTGTGTCTAGTTTGGCCCTAAGTTGTACTGAAATCAATAGGTCTTGCTTCCAAACAAGACTGTTAAGGACGGCCATTTAAGCGTTTAATTACTTCATCAATCTGTTTTTCTAGGAGGCCTTTTCTAACTTTCTGTTGTTTGTTTGTTTAGTTACTTCCAGTGGTTTTTAAACTAATTCCTCCCATGCAAGCTTGACTGTTACATTAATGCTGGAGTTGCTCTGTCCCAACTCCTAGCAGTTCAAAAGCACGCCTGTGCGCAAGTAGATAAATAGGTACCGCTGTGGCGGGAAGGTGTCCGTGTGCTCAGGTTTCCGTCACGGTGTTCCCATTGCACCATAAGTGGTTTAGTCATGCTGGCCACATGACCTGGTAAGCTGTCTGTGGACAAACGCCGGCTCCCTTGGCCTGAAAGTGAGATGAGTGCCGCACCCCATAGTCGCCTTTGACTGGACTTAACCGTCCAGGGGTCCTGTACCTTTTTAATGCTGGAGTGCAGGGGCATGGTGGCAATTCAAACTAAAGGATGGCTAGTAAGCCATGTTAATATTATGTGGCCCCCTCATAGTACCTTTATATTACAGGGCTGTGTGTAGATGTTTGAATTTTAAAAAGGGTAGGAATTTCTCTTGATTTCTTTTAGAAAAACAGCCATGAAACGAGCCAAAATGAAGATTGCCTGGACATAATTTTTCAGCGTATGCAGTGATAATCAATTCCTTCAGTTTTGTTATGGCATGTGTTTTTAATACTTGCAGCTCCAAGGGCATACCATACTCCGAATATAAAATCCATTAAAACTTACGTTGGAGTATTCACATTTCTGGGTTAATCAAGCTTTCATATTACCACTTACGAGTTTTATGGATCCGCTTTGCTTGTAGTTCAGTGGGAGAGCGAGTAATGTACCGAAACTTTCTTTTCAGAAAAGTCCATTTCTGCATTGTGTCTTTGGGTCATTTTCCTTCTTGCAACTGCATTTCTCTGGTATTTTCTTTCTCGCCGTCATTATAGCGCAACGCCAATTGTAACTGAAGCTAATGGACTGAGTTCCCCGTGCTCTGTTGTTAGTGGATGCTGGAGACAAAAGTAAAAAATTGGCAGCTGCTTTTCTAAGCTGTATGGCCTTTATATGCGCGTAAAGCATCAAGTGTCATACAAATTTGTTTTTGTACATGCCCTTCAGGAAGCACAGTGCACTTTATTATGTAAGATATGAAGTCAATTTAAGGCTGTTGTTATGTGAATTAACAAGCAAATTGGCACATGTGGAGAATTAGTTCCTTGGGTGGCTCTAGGCAGATTTTTGAGCCATCATCATCAATATGATTATTGTTGTTGTTATTATTATTATTATTATTATTATTATTATTATTTGCACCCCACCCATCTGACTGAGTTGCCCCAGATACTCTGAGTGGTTTCCAGCATATACAAAAACATAATAAAACATTAAACATTAAAAGCTTCCTGATACAGGACTGATAATTCCTGATAATAATAATAATAATAATAATAATAATAATAATAATATTTTTTTATTTCTATCCCGCCTTCCCCAGCCGAAGCCGGGCTCAGATACAGGACAGATGAGATGTGTGCATGGGTATTCCTATCTAAAGGTTGTAAAGATAGGCCAAGAATAATAATAGAATCACAGAATTATAGAGCTGGAAGGGACCCTGAGGATTATCTAGTCCAACCCCCTGCAATGCTGGAATATGCAGCTGTCCCACACGGGGATTGAACCTGCAACCTTGGTGCTATCAGCACCATGCTCTAATCAACTGAGCTATCCCTTCTGACTAAAGAGAATAAAGACTTATTTGCTGCTGCCCTAAAGGGTGGGATTAGATCTAATGGGTTTAAGTTACGGGAGGGCAGATTTCAGTTGAACATTAGGAGACGCTTGTTAATGGTAAAAGCAGTTTGTCAGTGGAAGCAATAACTTGGGGTGGTGGCCAGGGAGGTCTTGAAGCAGAGGCTGGGCAGCCATCTCATGGGGCTGCTCTAGGTTTGGATTTTATGCATAGAAGAGGAAGTTGGACAAGCTTGCCTACAAGGCTCTATCAAACTATTCTCATCCTGCCTGGAAAGGGACAACTATAGCACAGTGGTAGATCACATAAAGTAGATGCACCATAAGAATTGATGCTTTTGAATTATGTTGCTGGAGAAGACTCGTGAGAGTCCCATGGACTGCAAGAAGATCGAACCTATCCATTCTTAAGTGATCACTGGAAGGACAGATCGTGAAGCTGAGGCTCTGATACTTTGGCCACCTGATGAGAAGAGAAGACTCCCTGGAAAAGACCCTGATGTTGGGAAAGATGGAGGGCACAAGAAGAAGGGGACGACAGAGGACGAGATGGTTGGACAGTGTTCTCGAATCTACAAACATGAGTCTGACCAAACTGTGGGAGGCAGTGGAAGACAGGAGTGCCTGGCGTTCTCTGGTCCATGGGGTCACAAAGAGTCGGACACGACTAAACGACTAAACAACAACAACAACAACAACAGATCACATGCACTGCATGCAAAATGCTCTGGGTTCAACCCCAGACAACTCCAGATAAGGCAGGGAACGACTTCTGCCTGAAACCTTGGAAGAGTTGTTGCCAGTCAGTGTTGACAATACTGAGCTAGGTAGACCAACTGACTGATTTGATCTAGGGCAGCTTTCTAAATCACTGGGTAAGTAAGACTGCTCCGAGGTTCTGTAAGATAGGCAGGTGAGAATAAGTGGTGCTCGGAATCAACCCCGCCTGAAGAAGCAGCTTTCAATATCATATTAAAATGTTTATATTTAAACAGGCATTTCAATTCATTGGCTTTTGACTGAATTTTACAAGATGCTTCTGTTTTATATAGCTTGGGAATTTTCCAGTGTATTATCATGCATCTGTTATGTCTGTGTGTGTGTAAGAGAGAAAGACACACACAGAGAAGCAGGTTCAAACAACACAGCCAGTTTACTCTGAACACCTCCCTTTTTCCTTTCTTGTTTATTGTTACTCTGCATTTCTCACCGATACGTCAGTAGCGCTTTCAGTAAAAGAAAAAATCAGAACAAAAACAACCCAGCTTGTTACTGGAATCCAAATTGGGTGCATTCTCACTTGAAAAACATGAAGCCAGCTGTACAGATTAGAGCAGCCTTATTTCACTGAACCGTTCATTCACCTCTCTCCATCGCTCTTCACCAGTGCGGAGCTTATTTCAGCGTTTGATTAACTTCGCTTAGATGTCTTCCATCCATGGCGTCGTGAGCAAACTTTCCTCTCTTAATTACTTTTTTCACGCCGGCTTGGAGGAATTGTTCCTTGCTCAGGCCTCCACAGCACTTCAGGCCCGTGGACTGACGGAGTCCTCCTCCCTCTTCTGCCACTTGTGTGGAGAAGGTTGAAGTGCCTTCTTTGCTTGGAACCCTTCCGTGCTTTCTGGGGAACAAGTAAGGTCCCACCTTACAGGGCTGGCATCAAGGGCTTGGCGTGGTTGGGCATCTGCTGAGGGCCATGCCTCGTGGTGTGGTGGGAGCACTGACAAGAACCCACTGAACCATTTCCTCTTCCACCATTTCCTTCTCTTCCCCTTCCTCCTTTTCACCCTTGCAACCTGCTTGATGGTGGGAAGGAGGAGGAGGAGGAGATGCCATTGCCTGCTTGCCTATTGGTTCCCTGCCTGGCAAGCAAGCAAGTGGTGATTATTTATTTATTTGTTTGTTTGTTTATTTATTTCATAGAATTGTAGAGTTGGAAGGGACTCTAAGTGTCCTCCACCCTCCAGAGCAGAAGAAAACAAGCTTGCTCCATCTTCCACTGACAACCCTTTATATATTGGAAGTTTGCTATCGTATCTCGTTGCAGTCTCCTCTTTTCCAGGCTAAACATACCCAACCATTCCCCAGTTGGGGCAACTGGCTAAAATGTCATAAACGGTTCTAATTTTGGTTCCTCTGTTTCATTTTTGTTGGGTTGGTGTTGGTTAAATGTTTGGTTGGGGTTGGCAGTTACTTTAATTTGGGTATAACTGTAAACTGTATTATTATTGTTATTATTGTTGTCGTTGGTTTTTATTGGTTTATTGGTTGGTTTGTTGCTTGTACAGTGGTACCTCGCAAGACGAATGCCTCGCAAGACGAAAAATGCGCAAGACGAAAGAGTTTTCCGTTTTTTGAGTTGTTCTGCAAGACGAATTTCCCTATGGGTTGCTTCGCAAGACGAAACGTCTTGCGAGTTCTTGCGAGTTTGTTTCCTTTTTCTTAAAGCCTCTAAGCCGCTAATAGCCGTGCTTCGCAAGACGAAAAAACCGCAAGACGAAGAGACTCGCGGAACGCATTAATTTCGTCTTGCGAGGCACCACTGTATAGGATATCTTGTTTTTAAATGTTTGATGGTTTGGTGTGTTTTATATTATGTAAGCCACCCAGACTGGCTGGGGAAACTCAGCCTGATGGGCGGGATATAAATTAAATTATTATTGTTGTTATTTAGTCCAACCCCTTGCAACGCAGGAATCTCAACTAATGCACCCATGGCAGCAGTGGCGGACTTTGCGGGCCTCAAACTTCAGCGTTGCCCTGTGTGACACCAAAATCCGGCATCCCTCTGCCTCTCTTGCTCCATTCTAAACGATAGTTGCGGCATCCCCTGCGGCAACCCTGCAGCTCCAGGCACAATGCGACCAGAGTAGTCCTACTCCCCTAAAACTGCCTCTGATGACAGATGGGCATCCAACCTTTGCTTAAAAGCTTCCAGTGAAGTACAGTGGTACCTCTAGTTGTGGACACGATCCGTTCCGGGGTGCCTTTTGCACCCCGAAAAGTCTGCAACTAGAGTGGCGCTTCTGCGCAAGCACGGAGCACGATAGAGCATTTCTGTGCATTCGCGAAGCGTGCAGAAGCGTTCTGCGTGTACGCACAACGAAACCCGGAAGTCTACACTTCCGGGTTTGCTGCGTTCGCAATCTCAAAAGCCGCAACGTGAAGCCAACGCAACAAGAGGTATGACTGTAGAGTCCACCAGCTTCCCAGGGAGCCCATTCCACTGTTGAACAGCTCTCACCGTCAGAAAGTTCCTCCTGGTTTTTAGTCGGAACCTCCTGTCCTGTAACTTAAAGCCACTTAAAATTCAGGTCCTGCCCTCCAGAGCAAGCCAGCTCCATCCTCCATGCGACACCCTTTTAGATATTCGAAGCAATCCTTTGCACGAAGCCTAGGTTCCTCTGTCCCAGCATGTAATTTTATATATTATTATTTAGTCATTTTTGAGCATGTTGGCAACTCCTGCTGGTCACTGAAGCTCAGCGAAACCCGTCATACTAATGTAGTTTTGAAATTTATGTTTATGTGTTGTGGCATTTGCATAACAGCGAACATTTTTAATTAAACTGCCGTCTCTTTGTCACAAAGGAAACAATGCCATTGCACCTGCAGATTGCTGAGGGGGGGGGAAATCTTGTTATTTGGAATCAAAGACTTGTAGGGTTGGAAAGGGATCCTGTGGGTCATGTAGCCCAACCCCCTGCAATGCAGGAACCTCAACTAGCGCATCCATGACATCTGTGCACCCAACCATGACAGATGGCCATTTGCCTGCCATGAATGCAGCGTTCTGATTATCGCAACTGAACTGCCACTCTGGGATGATTTAAAAGCACTTTCTTTGGTGCACTGCAGATTGCCTAACATTACATTACATTAGAGTTCATGAATTAAATATAAATGCATGCCCGTCATAGATTTGTTGGGTCTAGATTTAAGAGGGAAATGTAGGTTACTTAAAGGTAAAGGTAAAGGACCCCTGACAGTTAAGTCCAGTCGCGGATGACTCTGGGGTCTCACTTTACTGGCTGAGGGAGCCTGCGTTTGTCCGCAGACAGTTTTTCCAGGTCATGTGGCCAGCATGACTAAGCCGCGAAACCAGAGCAGCGCACGGAAACGCTGTTTACCTTCCCACCGGACCAGTACCTATTTATCTACTTGCACTTTGACGTGCTTTCGAACTGCTAGGTTGGCAGGAGCAGGGACCAAACAACGGGAGCTCACCCTGTCGTGGGGATTTGAACCGCTGACCTTCTGATCGGCAAGCCCTAGGCTCAGTGGTTTAGACCACAGCGCCACCTGCTTACTTACTAGGTTACTTAGAGCTTGCTTTATGACTTTGCTTCATTTCTCCCCATTTGTATCCCACTTCAAGTGCTGCTTTAAAACAGAGAATGCCCAGATAAGTAAATTAGTCCAGAATCTGAAGAAGCCCTGTAGTTTTAATGGTGCTCAAGGTGCAGACAGAGATTTTCCTTATGCGTCCAATAATTAGGATTAAAAGTGGAGCCATCCATATCACTTCCACTTCTAGAGGGCATAGCCATACTTTTCCTTCAGTGGCCAGGGGCAGGGAACTTGTGACCCTCCAGATGTTGTTGGACTAAAGCTCCCATTATCCCTGACCATTATCCCATTATCCCTGGGGCTGATGGGAGCTGTAGTTCAACAACATATGGAGAGCCATGGGTTCCCCACCCTTCATTAAGGCACAGGACAGCAGAACCTTCTTTGTGGTTTTCCTAGCAAATTCTGTTCAGCCACTTCATTTTTTTAAAAAAAGATTGTATTAAAACTTCTGGAGCCGCTGCATGCAAAATGCGTGCTAAACTATTGAGTTATGGCTGCTCAACATAATTTAAATGATGATTTTAATGTGTTAACTGTTAAGTTGTGGGTGAACATATCAGATGACACAGCAATTCTTCGAACAGCTCTTGTTTCTTCACAGCCAGAACACGACTGGGCTGAAGAGTTCAGCCAACCTGCTTATATAGAGCTCAACTACAAAGCAACAGTAACAACTTTCTGTAACTATCCAATCACTGAACGTCACTTTCAATTCCTTATTTGCATATGTGGACCTGAGAGAAAACTATCTACAGTATCCCCCTGCTGGCCCAGGGTGAGAACTTCAGTACATAACAGTAACAACTGGGGACTACAGCAAACTTTTGCAGTTTGTAATGCCACTGTTCAGGATTTCAACCTATCTGTTCCATTTCCTCCACCCTGTTTCTCCCCTCCCCTCAAAACAGTCAGCATTCTGTGGCATTTAAGCATGCTCAGGTCCTCACTTTGGCTGTTTTGGGCTTCTTTCCCTCCTGCTGGGTTGTTGTTTTTTTAATACGTTTGTATTTCTGCAAATTTTCAAGTTCCCCCAGACCTGCTCACACCTGCCTCTCGTGCACGGAAGATACTGTTTGGACTAGGCAGTAATAAGAATTTGCAAGGTGGCCTCTATTATTATTATTTTTAAAATACCTTCTGTCACTGCATATCACAGGAAACACTGCTTAGCCTACATTGGAAATCGGTCGTGTTCCATTGTTTCTGTAATTCTGGGAAGAACTATACCTTTGGGAAGAAAAGGGATTTTTATTGTGTAAAATGTGAAGAAATGTGATGGTAGTTACTCAAGCAGCCCGCATCTGGAGAAAAGCTATAAATCATCAACTAGAACATTAGGTGCACGTTAAAAGTTTAAACAGTTTTTAATAATGTAGACAGATCTGCTGTGGAGTTGCCAACATATAAATGAGACCAGGACCTGACTTTATACTACGAAATTTTACTAAGAGTAGGGGTGGGGAAACTGTCGTGAAAGGGCAGGGCTCTGAGGAAGGTGAAGAGGATCCCAGGAAGGGGTGTAGCCATGATTGGTACACACCAGGACAAGCTGAAGATGGGGAAGGGGAGGTGGGGACTTAGGACAGGGGTCAGCAAACTTTTTCAGCAGGGGGTCAGTCCACTGCCCCTCAGACCTTGTTGGGGGCTGGACAATATTTTGAAAAAAAATATGAACAAATTCCTATGCCCCACAAATAACCCAGAGATGCATTTTAAATAAAAGGACACATTCTACTCATGTAAGAACACCAGGCAGGCCCCACAAATAACCCAGAGATGCATTTTAAATAAAAGCACACATTCTACTCATGTAAAAGCACGCTGATTCCTGGACCGTCCACGGGCCGGATTGAGAAAGCGATTGGGCCGGATCTGGCCCCCAGGCCTTAGTTTGCCTACCCATGACTTAGTAGGTACTTAGGCATCAGAGGACGTTGAAGGGGCAGCTGACAGTTCATGAGAGCTGGGGGACACATCTCCAGAACCAGAGGTACCCCCCCTCCGTGAACATGACAGGCTCTGAGGCGCCGTGAACAGCGAGAAGTGCTCTTAAGAGACTGAGACAGGTGAGAGTACACAGCCCAGCTTACTAGTCAAGGGACTCCTTGGGTAAAATGCTTCATGTGGGGAGAGAGGCACAGCTACTCATCTGGAGCAAGCTCAGGTGTGTCAAATAAGATTGGGAGGAGTAAAAAGAAGAAGAAGAAGAAGAGTTTGGATTTGATATCCCGCCTTTCACTCCCCTTCAGGAGTCTCAAAGCGGCTAACATTCTCCTTTCCCTTCCTCCCCCACAACAAACACTCTGTGGGGTGAGTGGGGCTGAGAGACTTCAAAGAAGTGTGACTGGCCCAAGGTCACCCAGCAGCTGCATGTGGAGGAGCGGAGAGGCGAACCCGGTTCAGCAGATTACGAGACTACCGCTCTTAACCACTACACCATACTGGCTCTTCTTCTTCTTCTTCTACTGGAGCAAGCTCAGGTGTGTCAAATAAGATTGGGAGGAGTAAAAAGAGAAGCAATGCAGAGACTCTGGGTCTGCTCAACTTTCACCATTGATGGACCACAGCGTGGCGGTTTTGGGAGCTGCACCAGGTTGCGATTTCAGAACTGCTTTTCCAACAAGTTCTTTCTTGGAGATTCTGGTCTGTTTTGGTGGAATATTGAGGTTTGGTGGTTGTTCGAGATGTGATTACTGCAGAATAAAAAGGTGTGATTGTATGGGTGCTTCCTTAACTACCCGAGGAATCCTCAGGCATGTTAAGAAAAGACAGGGAGAAGTATTCTTGGGAAGCGTTAACTCGTTGCCATAAGTTAGGAAACACTTCTTACATCCCCCCTCCCCTCCACAGGCATAGATTTATAGAAAAACAAGATTTTCTTATGCATAACGCAACCCCGTGTGTGTTATTCATCAGGATATAAAAGGGAATGGAAATTGTGAAAATGCATTTGGTTTCACACCTTGGAGTGAACTGTTTATTAACATCATTAATTTGATAAGTATAATGGCAATGAACAGGAGATAAAATTCAAATCCTTGTAGCTGAATTTCCTGTGGCATTAATTTACGGCCCTGGAAAGGTTGTTTACAAAGACGATTGGTATTAAGCCACAGGATTCTGTGAAGATTACCACATACAATTAAATTTAGAAAAGAGTGTCTCCATGGGAACAGCCAGTGCCTTACTTGAGAGGATATGCAAATCCTTATTTGCTTTGAGAGTAAAATTCTGTCTCCCTCCCCTATCCTAAATCAGCAACAAAATATATTTTAATCTATTGAGGTTTTGCCAACAAAATGCATTGCATGTTGTGCTGTTTTCTCAAAGCCCAAACAGTTGGAGAAAAGGCGACCGGAGCATTCATTCTAACGAGAGGGCTTTTCTGACTCTTGTGGGAGACATTGCTGAGATGCGTTCAGTGGTTTGCTTCATGATCATTTGTATAATTCACCCAATTTAATCATTCCAAATGGCTAGCGTTTTCCCGAACTTCATTAACACAGTGGATAGCAGACTTAAACCAATAATTTCCAAACTTGGGTTTCCAGTTGTTTCTGGACTACAATTCCCATGATCCCTGACCTCTGGTCTGCTAGCTAGGGATGATGGGAATCATAGTCCAAAGACAGCTGGACACCCACGTTTGGCAAACTGGACTAAAGTATTGCCCAAGGGCAACATGAACTGCTAAACCACCGTCTACGTTACACTTCCTTTGTTTCATTTGAATGCATTCTGGTGAAAGGACAAGTAGAAATTCAGAGATGATCATTTGTCTAATGCAGCCTCGGCCAACCTGATGCCCTGTAGTTGCTTTGAACTACAGCTCCCATCAGCCCCAGCTAGATAGAGGGCACCGGGTTAGCAAAGGCTGACTTCTTCCCAACTCCCATCAAACATAAAGCTCCTGTTTTTTCCATGCTCATTCTCCTTTATCTCTGCTGAGCGGCGCTGCTCTGTTCTGCTCCCCTTTACTTTGCATGCTTTTTGCTGCAGTATCTTTTGCCGCGCATGCTGCCTCTCTAGCTGCCAAATCTCTTCCAGTTTGAGAATTCTTCTACATTAAGGAACAGAACTAAGTTCTGCTGCTTTCCTACTTCCTCTCCATCCCCACTCAGTTCTTCCAGGCTAATGACTTTTTTTGAGAGATGAATTCTCCAGGGTGTCCCATTACAGATTATCTCATTTTCGTATTAAACTGCATTTTTGTTGCTGCTGCTAGGGAAATGATCCCACCCACCCTACCAAAGTAGCCTCATAACTGCAGTTTTGGATGCAATGCAGATGCACGTGCCACAACTGCTCATTGGATGGTGGCTGTGATATCATCAAAGGAAAGGGATACATTTTCTCACCCTATACCTCTGCTAATTTAATTTAATTTTTAATTTTTCACATTATTTCTTTATTCAAAAAAATCTCCAGTAATTGAGCCACAACTCCGTGGTAGAGCATCTGCTTCGCATGCAGAAAGTCCCAGGTTCAGTTCCAGACGAAGCTTAGAGAAGACCCTTAATTAAAATCCTGGACAGCTGCTGGCAGTCAGTGTAGACAATTCTGAGTTCTAGAAGGGCCAGTGATCTGACTCAGCATGAAGCAGTTTTCTATTTTCCCATACTGCCCACTGGTCGTAATAATTTCCTTTAAGGACAAAACAATGGTTGCTTAAATAGACTAACCTCAAAATGCATCTAGTTGTATGGTTTATAAGCATTCATTGTCTCGTTCTTCAGTTAAAAAAGGATTACCGCAGCAATTTCTAATAGATTTTTAAATATTATGTAACAGGGCAACAGAACAGCATAAAGTTAAGAGAGTCTGTTTTGTGAAGAAAATGAGGATAGAAATATTCAAAATAAATAAGCAAAATTCAGAGCTAAAATGACTGGAAAAAAGCTCTAAGTTTGGTGGCAGGCGAGCACCACCTGCCTCAGTTCTAGTGGTAGTTGTGACCTAGAGAAGGGCATTTGAAGATGGTCTTGATGTGCCAGCAGGTTTGTGCAGGGAAAGGTAGTCCTTGAGAACCTGGATCCCAACTTTTTTAGGGCCTTCTGTTGTAAGATCAAGTGGGGTTACAAATGGACCCATTTGTTCTATTGTCTGGGGCCAGTCATTATCCTAGCTGTTGTATTTTGAACCATCTGTACATCCCAGACAAAGTCAGCCCCAAGTTCAACATACATGCAGTCAAAAACAACCACATATGTCTTCCCTCCATTTCCCTCATCTTCCTCTGCTTCCCTTGAATTTCAGATTGTAAGCCCCTTGGGACAGGGACCTGTTTCGTATTCTCTAAAACTGCATGCATCCCAATGGTTAATGCAGTTAATGGGTTAATTCTCCAGAGTCAGCTGAGATGACTCATTCCCCACAATGCATCTGCTCTCTTAGGGCTCTCTTATCTGTGTTATTGGGCAGATTTGGCAAGTGACTGTATAAAAGGGCTCAAGTTACAGCATATTGTGAGGAATATTGTGTGGTAGGAGATTGCAGGAAATGTTGCAGGCTATGTGTTGGAATTCTGGATTCAAGCGAAGACTTTTTGAAAATATTTTTTGTGAAAGAAGAAAGAAAGAACTCAGAGAACTCTATCAGTTGCAGGACTTTGCAAGCAACTGAACTAAGGATTTGGTTATGAACTTTAACAGAGCAAGGACTTTGAAGCAAAGAACCCTCTCTGGGTTCAGAGAAAGAAGACTACTTGTAACATGTGTAGATAGTGTGTAGATAGTATGTATAGTAGTGTATGTTGGTGTTGGCCTAGTAAAGACAACTGTCTTAAACACTTGACTCAGCTTCTGCAGTGCATTTATCCCAACCCTCCCCCCCCCAACATGGTGCTATATAGACAATGCCAACTTTCTGATGGCATTCAGGAAAAAGTCAAAGAATTTTCATTGAGCATTACTAGCACGTATAGTTCTGAAATAAAATTGTGAAACCGTAAATCCTTACTTCCAAAAAAAGTAACCTCCATTCTTCTTTTTTGTCACTATTTTAGGAGCACAGACTTTTAGCAGTAGGACTGACTTTCGAATTAGCACCTTGAAGTTTCACCCTCTTGATCCGAATGTTTGTATCTGTGGAGGATTCAGTCCAGAAGTCAAGGCCTGGGATATCAGGTCTTCCAAGGTAAAAATAAAATTGAGTAAAAAAATTACTTGTATTTGCTTTTGATAAGCATCCTAGGAAGGGAAGATGCATGTGGATAGGTAATGATGCTTTTCTGGAATGGATAATTGTCATTTTCCGTTGAAGCAGCATGGGAACACAATTTTATCATTCTTGCTGTCTCTCAAAAAGGTAAACAGTCAACTACAATCTTTGATGTGCTTTCCCTGTAAAACAAATTAAAAAGAATAAAGAAAATATGAACACATCTAAAAAGTTTATTTTACATTCAGTTTTAAATATCATTTCACCTCTCTGGTAAGTCCAGGAGTTGTCTGCTGTTAAAGAATACTTATTCACTAGGAGACATCAGTTTGTAAGTAAGCACTTGACTGCTATAATACTCAACTGTGAGGTTTTCAAAACTATCTCTGTTTTGTCTGTTCACTTGTAAGAATCTTTTTCATTTTATAAGCTCTACTCTACTAATAACTATGTCTGGATCTGACCACCACTTGGGGTCCCTATGCATGCTTCCCTGGGAGCAAATTCTATTAAACCTATTGGAGCTTACTTGTGAGTAGGCACGCATAGGATTGTTCTGCTAGGATTCCTCTTGCCTGGGAGCAGACTTCCTTGAACATAATGGGACTTACTTACAAGTCATAGCTGTCAACTTTTCCCTTTTTTAAAAGGGAAATTCCCTTATTCTGAATAGGATTCCTCTCAAGAAAAGAGAAAAGTTGACAGCTATGTTACAAGTAAATGTGCATAGGATTGCACTATTAGGATGTGGCTCAAATTTCTGCTCAGTCATGGAATATATAATGCACAAATATCAGGAAATACAGGAATTGTACTTCTGAGAGAGATGAGGCTAATTAATTATTAACTTCGCAAATTGAGTTGTATGATAAATATAGCCGACTGCATTTTTTAAAAACTGACTTAATTAAGAAATAATGGTAATATCTCATTGTGGTGCAAGGCAGCAATCAAATTCCCAGGATTGCAGACCAAGACTGTTGGTTTGTTATGGCAGAGGCAATTGATTAAGTAATGTAAGGTCTCTTGTGCTTTTCTATCCATAGATAGACTGTGAAAAAACTGAAAGCTTGTCTGCATATTCTGAAATTTCAGTCAGCCCTGCTTAAATCCACAATGCTGTGTCTCTTGGACCTGCTGTATGTGTTCTCCTTGGAAGTCTCAAAACCATTCTCATACAACTTCAGAGTTTGTTCTGTATTATCAGTATAGTTCTTTACTGACTTTAAAACCCTTTTGTTCAAAGCCTTTTCATTCAGTGGTCTTAATGGTATTTTTTATTAAGCCCTCTTGCATCCAACTATCTGCACTAATTCTATCTTGGCTTCCACCTTCTGCACAAAGATCCATTTAAAGCTGGAATGTTTTGTGATCTCCTGCCACCCTTGGGGCCAAAGTAAATGTGACGTCAGAAAGTTCATGCATTTAAGGATGAATATGGGAATAGTGAGGCGCTGGTGGTTAAGCTTAGCTTTCAGCAGCAAAATAGGTGTGTGGATGAGGAGCACAGATTTCACCCACTCCTTTTCTCTGTCTTTTACCAACCCATAGTCCCTCTTTTCAGTCCCTCTTCTCCCAAGCCAGTCATATCAGAGTGGGTTTGACCGTGGTAGTTGACCTCCATTGGGACAGTGCTGGATTAAACCCAGTGGGAGGCCCCTAGGCAGTTGAAATCTTTGGGGCGAGGGGCCTCTCATAGATCATCTCCTAATATGCCTTTGATTTTACGCTTCTACATGGCTACTCGTGAATATTCTAGGATCTGGAGTCGGTGGGAACTCGTGACACACCAACAAAGCTTCATATCTGGAGGTTTCTTATGCATGCACTCTAGTGGAATAGCAATGAACTAAGAAAGCTTGATTGTAGTTTTGTTCCAAGATCAAAGCAATATTATTATGATCCATTGTCATGGGGCCCCTAAAAGACATGGGTCCCATAGACTGGTGCCTACTGTGCCTATTTGGTAATCCAGCACTACACTGGGACTTGGAATAATAATAATAATAATTTATTATTTATACCCCGCCCATCTGGCTGAGTTTCCCCAGCCACTCTGGGCAGCTCCCAATCAAGTGTTAAAAACAGTACAGCGTTAAATATTAAAAACTTCCCTGGTCGGAGCCAAACAGTACAAACTGAGAGCATTTGCAGATGACTTAGTATTGATGTTACAGGAGCCAGAATCTAGTACTAAAAGGGTTTTAGAACTAATTCAAGAATTTGGTCGAGTGGCAGGATTTAAACTGAACAAGTTAAAAACTAAGGTTTTAGAGAAAAATTTAACACCGATTGAAAGAGAGAGGTTTCAGAATGAGACAGGTTTGACTGTGGTTAAGAAAGTGAAATACCTGGGGATTAATATGACAGCCAAAAATGGGAACTTATTTAAAGATAATTTTGACTAATGCACACATATTACACATTTGCCCCAGTATAATGCGTTTTGTATTTTATTTTCACCAATATAGGCATGCTTACTCCAAGATTGGTAAATGTTGTTTGGTTGGATGGTGCGAATTTTGAAGGATGTGTTTTGGTTGGTGCATTAGTTTGAGAAGTGCAAATTGGGTTGTTCCTCATTAAAATGCAGGCAAAATCAAACTTTTCCATCATCGCTGTGTGCATTTGTAGGTATTATTATTAGCTGGGGCTGATTGGAGTTGTACTCTGTAGGGCACCAGGTTCATGAAGGCTGCTCTAGCAGATTAAGAGTTGTTGACACTTTATTATTAAAGTCCATTGTATACATTGGTACAATTTTGAGATTCATCTCTTTTTCTCCTACAGGTTTGTGTGTGTGTGTGCGCTGCTCTTTTCACTAGTTGGCTGCAAGCCTCCATTTTGCCCTAATAACACTTTTATATATAAAAAAAGTTGTAGGAAAGTTCCTGTTAAAGAATCCAACCAACTTTTTACACTAGTTTACCTTTAGTGACTTTGACTGGTCATAAATCATTGGGGAGTAATTTCCAGCTTAGGGTAGTTCAGTATGGATCTATTTTCTTCCATTTCCCATCTTTATATCAAGATTGTTTGTGCAAAGCGGCAAGCACAATTTCCTCTTTTTCCATTCTTGTATCCTTATGGTCACATATGAGATAAGGAGGGGGGATGTTCTGTCTGGCGTATCATAATTTTGTCTCCAGTGTGCTCAATTTATCCTTAAGTTGGAAAAAGTGGGCTAGGGACTCACTTCCCAGTTGCCTTGTCATCGTGATGCATGCAAACTGCCTATCCGTACAGCGCATGTATTTTAGACAGTGCTTTCTTCTCAGTTCATTCTTAAGATCCATGGCATTTATTCCCTCTTATATACTTGCTGCAGCTTTGATCTTATTTTGCCTTAAATTGCACTTCTAAGTCTTTCCACTTGTCATTCAGCTGAGAAGAGCAGCTGATGTGGGCGAGGCAGTTTCCCCCAACCCTCTTCCTTTCTAATTGTGGCACATGCATTGGTTATCTTTGCCAGGTCTTGGCAAAACCCATTCGCTTAATGCCAGGATCCCGCAAGAGTCATTAGCCATAGGTGTCAGTTTCATGACAATTGTCAGATGGCAATGGTGGTTGCTCGTGAGTAACCAGGCAGGTAAGTAAAAGACAGGTGAGTAACCTGTCTTTTACAGGTTTTATTTTGGTGCAAAATTATTTGCAGTGCAGAACCACAAGTTCATGTCTGCCTCAGTCGCTAGCAGAATCCGGGAGTGGTCCTTTCCGGGTCCTCCTCCAACATAAGAACTTAGTCACCCCCAGCCGTTTCCTTCCTTCTTTGCGTTTTACCCCTCTGCGCAAGGTGGGCAACGGAAGAGGTGTGTTTCCCTCCTGGCCGGCTTGCAAGGTACGGCACTGGGGCTCCCAGCAGCATCCTCTGGTCCCTCTCCTTCTTCCCCACTGGAGGTGTGGCTTTCCCCACCACAGGAAGAGGAACTGCTTCGCAAGATTTTTGGAGGTTCCCTGTGTCCCAACGGCCCCTCTGCCTCCCTTCCCTGTTCCAATGGCAGTCCCCTGACAACAATCTTGGCTTTTGTTTTTTTCAGACAATTAAGCATGTTTCAAATCCTCATCCATGTGAAGATAAGCTTGAAAATAAGTGGGAAGTCTAGGAGCCACAGGATGGTTGAGTTAGCATAGTGGGGTTGGAGAAAATAATGCCACCATATCTGGCAACCAATGTGCCCCTTGGGTTTCGATAGTACACGGGTTGATGAGTCTAAAAAGCTCAGGGCACAATTTTCCATGTCCCTCCAGTGGCTATGCTGACTCATTTAGCATAAGTAAATGTATCCTCCATGCAGGAAAGCAAGCAGTAATACCATAATTCAGGGACACATTCCATCCAGACAAAAAAACACTAAAGGAGGGGGGTGGCGCTGTGGGTTAAAAAACAGAGCCTAGGACTTGCCGATCAGAAGGTTGGCGGTTCAAATCCCCACGATGGGGTGAGCTCCCGTTGCTCTGTCCCTGCTCCTGCCAACCTAGCAGTTCAAAAGCACATCAAAGTGCAAGTAGATAAATAGGTACTGCTCCGGCGGGAAGATAAACAGTGTTTCCGTGCACTGCTCTGATTCGCCAGAAGCGGCTTAGTCATGCTGGCCACATCACCCGGAAGCTGTACACCGGCTCCCTCAGCCAATAAAGTGAGATGAGCGCCGCAACCCCAGAGTCTGCCTGACTGGACCTAATGGTCAGGGGTCCCTTTACCTTTGCCTTATGACCAAGGCAGAGGTATAACCTATGGAGGGTCCCAGGAGCCTGGCTTCTGACATTTGCCCCCTGGGCCTGAGGCTCCCTACCTTTGTGGCAGGTCACCTTTTAAACCATACTTCCCCCTCCCTTCCCTCAGTTTGCTGGTGGTGAACCATGTTTTCACAGTGAACTTCCGAAGCATTGCAGAGTTGTATTGTGCCAGCTAAAAATACCAAGATCACAGATATTGGAGAAGTCTTGGGGATTCTGTTTTTACGGCTTGATATACCCATTGCCAGATATTTAACCCTGTTGAAACCCCAGAAAATGGTTCTATATGAAATGCATGTAAACTGAGTTCTCTGCATACCAGGCTTGCCATTCATAGGAGAATTCAGCAGCTATGAAAACCAACCGAGAGATTCTTCTGCCTGTATAAGAGATGGTGGCAGATAAAGAACACTTTCATTGCTTTCTTTTTTACAGCAAAGCTTCTTGAGGGTGTACTTATCTTTCTGAAAAAAAAGAGTTAAACATTTGAATGCCTTTTTTTTTTTTTTTGGCTCGTCATCAAGAACCGTTTCAGTTTATCAGAGTGGGCTTTATCACAGCTGAAATCTGTATTAAATCTACTTGGGGATTCGTAAAAGATACCTGGTGAAATTATGCACAGGGATGTGGCTGAAACTGCACCAGAGACTATTATTGCTTCAGATGGAAGAGACATTCCTGCCTTTCAGAGCGATGTGGCTTATGGCGCTGGAAGCACCTCTCTTTCCTACCTGCAGAGCATTTTAAGAGCCAGCCTGGCTACTGGAAAGAGTATATGTGCTCTTTTGGATCAATAGGTGGGAGTGTGAAATGCTGGTGCTGATTAATGTATTTTACACAGTGCAACAATGTGCATGGCAGCTTAACTCAATGAAGAGAAGAGAGAGAAGTACAGTGTAAGGGTATCAGGGGGTTGCTCGAGAGCAATCAGGCAAATGCCTTCCTGGTTGGCTGTAAAGCCTTGTTTTTGGTGCCAGATAAACCTTCACCATGCAGAGTGCCCCTCTTCCGTGGCTCGCTCATTCACTGGCAGAATCTGAGAGTGGGCGGTCCTTGAATCTTCCCCAGCAGAATAATCGCTTAACCCCCAGTCTACGCCTCCCTTCTCGGCGCTTTAGCCTACTGCGCACGAAAGGCGTGGGCAACGGGGGACCTCCCTCCTCCCTGCTTTGCTCAGGCAAGGTGTCCCGGCACCGCCTTGCAGCCTCCTCCTCACTAGAGGTGTGGCTTCTTTCCTCCGCTGAGGAGGTGCTGCTTCCCACGATCCCTGGGGGCTCTCTGTAATCCATCCGCTCCTTCCCTTCTCGTCCCTGTGCCGATGGCAGTTCCCTGACATACAGTCTGAAGTTAGACTACTGGCAGTGGTGTGTGTAGAATTACATGTGAAGGAATGGGGTAGGGAATACAAAGACTGATAGTCAATACATAGAATCATAGAATCATAGAGTTGGAAGAGACCACAAGGGCCATCGAGTCCAACCCCCTGCCAAGCAGGAAACACCATCAGAGCACTCCTGAGGTTGTCAAGCCTCTGCTTAAAGACCTCCAAAGAAGGAGACTCCACCACACTCCTTGGCAGCAAATTCCACTGTCGAACAGCTCTTACTGTCAGGAAGTTCTTCCTAATGTTTAGGTGGAATCTTCTTTCTTGTAGTTTGGATCCATTGCTCCGTGTCCGCTTCTCTGGAGCAGCAGAAAACAACCTTTCTCCCTCCTCTATGTGACATCCTTTTATATATTTGAGCATGGCTATCATATCACCCCTTAACCTCCTCTTCTCCAGGCTAAACATGCCCAGCTCCCTTAGCCGTTCCTCATAAGGCATCGTTTCCAGGCCTTTGACCATTTTGGTTGCCCTCCTCTGGACACATTCCAGGACACAATACGATTTATTTATTGCCTGCATATCGCCCTAAGGTCACAGGGCGGGTCACAACATTAAAACACAATATTAAAAACACCTTACAACCACAAAAACAGGCAGGCCCTAAAAACATGGACCTCAAGTGCCAAAAGCCAGGGTAAAGAGGTGCATCTTCAGCATTTTCTGGAAGCTGTACAATGAAGGTGCCGGAGGATCTCTGTATAACCCCTGGACTACCTGCAGCTTCCAAACTGTCTCCAAAGGCATCCCCATCTTAAGCTCTTTGTGGTAGTCCATGGAGCCTTTAAGTTACCAAGGCATGGATAACTGTGGCTAGACTGTCACTGTCTAGGGGTGCAGTTGGTGGATAAACCTCTACGGATAGAAGGTCCTTTATGCCTTTCGAAACTCAAGAGACAAAGACAAGTTCAACACCACTCCCCAACTGTGCACCTTATCTTGCATGGAAAGTAGAGTCTCTTCTGGAGCTGATTGAAACAGCTTCCCTGGACAGCTGATCAACAGAGCCGCCAACTTGTCACGATTCTGTTTCAGTTTCTTGCTCCATATCCACTTGACTATAGCTGTGACCCCTCCTGGACAGAGCTACCCTTGTAGCAGTTATCAGTATATTTGGTTCACATTATTGCAATACCCGCTATGTGGGGCTGCCTTTGAGGATTGCCAATTAGAGCTGCGCGCTTATTAACAGAGACCAGACATGGAGATCATATCCCATCAGGTCTTGTGAATATACATAGGCTTCCAGCCCATTTCCAAGCAAAATTCAAGGGACTGGTTTTGACTTAAAGAGCCCTATATAACATGGGACCAGAGTATCTGAAGGATTGGCTTTAGACCTCCATTAACCTGTAATTTTGAGATCAGCCACTGAGGCCTTGCTCTCGGTCCCTCTGCCATCTGTGGTAAGGGGGATGGTGTTTGGAGACAGGGCCTTTTCAGCTGTGGCACCCACTTCTCAGATTCCCTCCCCAGAGATCACCTGGCATGATCTTTGTTTTCTTTTTAGCTCCCAGTGGAAAGCCTTGTTCTTTGCCCAGGCCTTTTAGCTTGTGTGACTTATTTTTACGCTGGTGTTTTGTTCTGCTGCGCTCTGCTCTGAACCTACTTTTCTATATTTACTGTTATATTCTTTCTATCAGTTAATTTGTAAGACTTGCTGAGACCTTTGGCTGAAGGGCAGCGAATAAATATTACAAACAAGAACATAAATATGGGTGAGAGAGAGAGAATGAACAGAATTGAAGTGCTCTGCATTTCCCTGTGAAAGCCTGTGGGGCAACTTCAAACTGCTGTGTGGTCAGGCTTGATGCTTTATAGTCCGGCTACTCCTTGCTCATGCAACGAGTCCAAAGCTGCAAAAATGTGGAGTCCAGATTTGTTGCACTCATTTCTGGAGTTCACAACTGCAAATCGAAGGAGGCAGTGCATCAGTACAGAAACAGCTTTTGACTCCAGCTCAGTGTATGCTTTTCACAGTATTAAAAGTGGACGAGTCTCTTGTGTGGCCAAATGATCTTTCTTGAAGTAAGCCTTCAGCTTCGAACTCTCTTTAAGTAAGAAAAAAATCCAGCATAATACTGGGGTTTTTTTTGTTAACATCCGACACTATTGTGCCTCTATCTGAAAGCCGTTTGTGATTGTCCGGGAATATTGAGCTTCAGTAAGCAGGCTTTCGAAAACCTGTTTGTATGTGTGAAATAAACCTGCTCATATAAAGAAGCAAAAAAAACCCCACCAACAACACATTTCCCTCTTCTACCAAATGGATGAGCTTACTGAAGTATGCCAGGATTTTTAAAGTGCAGAGTTTAAATAGCAGTATTTTCTTTCAGAAACCTACCAGAGCACAAATTTGGTGAAGTATCTTAGCACTAAAGCAATGTTTTCCAACATTTTTAGTTTGCTGTTTCTTGTAGGCCTGGTAGCCTTGTTTTCAAGCTTTAGATTTGGAGAGATGAACAGCCAACTACAGGCCTGAGGAAGCCCTGGATCTCCTAGCACACATAATAATAATAATAATAAATTTTATTTATATCCTGCCCTCCCCAGCTGAAGCCGGGCTCAGGGCGGCTAACAACAATAAAACAGTACAAAAGTACAGCATAAACAACATTCTAAAATCATTCATTATAAAATTAATTAATTCAAGCCACTGGCAACCATTGGGCCAGAGCTCTGCGAAGATTGCCGAGGGAGGGAGTCAGGCTGTGCCCTGGCCAAAGGCCTGGTGGAACAGCTCTGTCTTGCAGGCCCTGCGGAAAGATGTCAAGTCCCGCAGGGCCCTGGTCTCTTGTGATAGAGTGCTCCACCAGATCGGAGCCACGGCCGAAAAAGCCCTGGATCTAGTTGAGGCCAGCCTAACTTCTCTGTGGCCTGGGACCTTCAAGATGTTTTTATTTGAAGACCGTAAGTTTCTTAAGGCTTCCTGGAAGGAGAGGAAGTGCCTCTGTTGCTGTGGTGACGGATCCACACTTCCCTGCCATTTTGTTCTTCCTCTTGACTCTCCTCAGCTTTGATTCTACTGCCAAGATGACTGAGGCATTGTCGCTGTTCCAGCAGGCTTTGGCATGCATCTCGGTGGGTTCTGAGTACAGCCTTTTGCAGAATTGTGAGCCCAGATCACGTTGCAAGTGGCTAATTCCTGAAATGGATATTATATGTTTTTTAAGTTGGTGTGTTCAATACTGCAAGTATAACGTGGCTCAGTTTAGGTGAGAACAATGTGTTCCCATGCAGTTCCCATCTTGTTTAGATGGTTTTGTCCCGTATCTGAACCATGACACAGAGGTAGGTAGGTGGATTACAAACCATCTGAAGATGTTTAAGGTTTCTTGGGAAAGAGCTGGAGGTCACTAGTGTAGAGCACATGGTTTGCATGCAGGTCCAATCCCTGGAATCTCCAGGCAGGTCTAGGAAATGTGAGATGTAAACACAGGAGCAGTCAATGACAACATTCCTAGAATGTACATGTTAGAACATGGGGAGGGATGTCAGTCCAGCAAGCAGGTAAACTTCCTGGGACGGACTTCCTCCGCATGTGACCAGAGGTGGGTGTGGCCTCACCTGTGCAGGTAATGATAAAAGCACAGGGCAGGCAGCCACTCTCTCTCTCTGCCATCTTCCTTCGATGAGGAAACATCTAAGGATGCTCTCTTGGCTCCCAGCCAAGAGAGGAGATAAGGACTATCTTCGCATAAGATAGATTCTGAATGTATGTAACCTTTTTAAAGCTGTCTGCCTTCTGGGATCATATTGTGAACAGAACGTGAGTAAACTCTTTTATACTTTTATAAAGACTGTGTCGTGTCTTGTATTTTAAGAGGGAACAAAAGGGGAAATTACCAGAGTAATTATTATAGAGGTTCTAGCGAACCTGTGCAGACGTTACCGTTGCGAACTAAAAGGGGAATGTCTATAAACTCTGCTGATATTTTGGGAACTTGTTAGCACAAGTTGGATAAGGATATAATTAGTCAATATATCCTCTCCTGCACCCCAGAACATTCCCAACAGGAAAGACCATCTAAAAGCCATTCCTAATTGGGGAATAGATGCTACGGGGCTAGACACACTGAACTACTGCAGTGTTTCTCATCAATCTTAGGTCCCCAGCTGTGGTTGGACTACAACTCACATCATCCCTGACCACTGGTTCTGCAAGCAGGGGATGATAGGAGTTGTAGTCCAACAACAGCTAGGGGCCCAAGATTGATGAGAAACACTGGACTAATGGAATGGCTCAGGGATAACAGGGATGGGTTACCTGTGGCCTTCCAGATTTTGCTGAACTACAACTCCCATCATCCCTGCTGGTTGAGGCTGAAGGGGGCTAGAGTCCAACCATATCTGGAGGGCATCATACTCCTCATCCCTTTGATAGAAAAGTGGTTTCATACATTCCTATGATCAGGTTCCACCTCCCCAATGGGGCCAAAATTCAACCAAGAGGTGACAAAAATCAAGTGAGCACAAATAGAAAGGCAAGTTGCTGTCTAGTTCCTTCCTACCTCTCTATGTTTTTATTTTTTTATTTTTCACAGCTCTTTTGTCTTGATGATGCAGTGTTAAGCATCTTCGAAACAAGAGGGGGAAAGATCCATGCGGCATTCCTCGGGTGCAAGTACAACATATTTACATCCGGAGGCACATTCTGCAGGGCTTTCAAATAAAACACTGGGTTTCTGAGCGCCCTAATTACGTATTTTGTTTCGTTTCTGTTTTGGAGCATCTTAATCAGAGATTAAAATACAAACGCTTAGTCTGAGACTCCTAGCCACTGTTTTTTTCTCGCTTCTTCTCCCTTTGCTTTCATGTCCCCCGTCTGCAACTAATTAGCTTCTGTCCCTCTGCCTGCCTGTCTAGCGCTCTCTGCACTTTTGTGCTTTCCTCCCTTCTGATCTTTCCAACTGTCAATATTAACTCCTTTCCCTTCCAAAGGGTCTTGTTGCCAGGCAACCGTTTCCTGTACTGCGTGCTCGTCGGAGCGCCCCTCCCTCTCCCACTAGAAGGCCCACGCGTTCCTTGTGCAACTTTAAATAATTCAGAAATGTTGCTGCAGATTTTCCGATTGCAAGCTCTTCCCTCCCTCCCTCCCTGCCGGCCACCCCTAACCAAAATTTTCATTCTCCGGGCAGTTGCTGTGCTAGCAGTGGAGACCTTTTTTAAAAAATATGTAAACTGTTATTTATTTTGACAGTCATTTTCCCAGCCAGTAGCTTACAAGTTCTCTTCTGGTAATGCTCCTTGACTTTCCCAGGGAGTTACCCATGTGTGATCATTTCTTTGCAAAAATAAAAATCAATTTACTATTAGCATGCAGATACTGAAAAAGAAGAAGTTTTAATTGCTTTGCGTGCCATGCGTGATCCCTTGGAAGTTGTGGTGGAATGCAGTTGTCTCATTTTAATAGTATCCTGATTGAGAACCAGTACCTATGGGTTACACCAACGATATCTCTTCCAAAAGCAGCATAGATTTCTCAGCTTTCACCTAAAAAGGTGACTATGCATTTAGAGCCTATGACTTCCCTCAAAGAATCATGGGAACTGTAGTTACTTAAGGCTGTTGGGCATTGTAGGAATCATTGGGGCAAAGTCATGTGGTTTAAATGTATAGCATATCTGCAGCCTTAACTGTGAGAGATGACGATGTTTTGGTATGTGTGCAGAGATTAGAGAGCATGCTAAAAATGTAAAAGCCAATGTGGTCCCACCTCCATCTTGAGTTCTTCCCCTGAACTTGAATGGACTTTCTCCCTCCTCTTCTTGCGGCCCACTAATGTTTTGCATTAAAATAGCCTTCTTCTGCTTGCAAAGACAATATGTCTTGAGAAGCCCCCGGAACAACGGTTGTTTTATGGTTTTTAATCTTTTTTTTTTTAACCACAGGTAATAAAAGTTTACAAAGCTGCGGTACAGCAAACCTTAGATATCATGTTCCTCCCTGAAGGGAAAGAATTTCTTACCAGCACTGATGCAGTAAGCCAAGATTCAGCTGACCGTACCATCATTGCCTGGGATTTCCACACAGCTGCAAAGATCTCCAATCAAATCTACCATGTGAGACTTTTATTTACTTTTTTATTTACTTCTATGATGGCTCAATCACTATTCCGTTAAAAAAGAAAAAAGCCCACAGCAGTTTTTCTCTGGAAACCGCTGAAACAAATTTGCTTCCCGCCAGTCAAAAGGATGCTGAAGATTCATCCTCAGAACTAGGAGGTGGGAAGATGGACTGTTTTGGATGGGATTGCAGTCCCTTGGAAGGAGCAGGTCCATAGCTTGGGGTAGTCTTGGATCCCAGTATTGTCGCTGAAGGTTCAGGTGACCTTGGTGGCTAGAAGAACCAATTGCCAACTACGGCTGGTTTGCCAAAGTTGGACAGAGATCACTTGGCCACTGTACTCCTTGCTCTACTAATTTCTAGACTGTGCAATGCACTTTCTGTGGGGCTGTCCTTGGAAGGCAACTCGGAAACTGGTCCAGAATTTTTTTAAACAGCTGCACTGGTTGCCTGTTCGTTTCTGAGCCCAATTCAAGGTGTTCCCATTAGCGTTCAAAACCCTAAATGACTTAGGACCAAAATATATGAAAGACTCCCTCCTTCACTACAGACCTTCTTGGGTGTTAAGATCAGCAGAGGGGGTGGCGGCTCTTAGCAGTTTCACCACTCTCAGGTATTGTGAGTGTTTTTACAGAGAGGATAGATGCCCCATGACAGAGCCTTTTCTGTGGCAGCCCCAAAGTTGTAGAGTTCCTTCCCCACAGAAATGCATCTGGTACTTTCATTGTGAAGTTTCCTTTGTATGCTGAAGGTACATTTCTTTACCCTGGCCTTTGACCCTTGTGAGAGATATATAAATATTAGGATTGATCCTATTCATTAGGTTGTAATATATTTTAAACTGTTTTTAATACTGTACTCTGGGATGCGGGTGGCACTGTAAGTTAAACCACAGAGCCTAGGACTTGCCGATCAGAAGGTCGGCGGTTCGAATCCCTGCGACGGGGTGAGCTCCCGTTGCTCGGTCCCTGCTCCTGCCAACCTAGCAGTTCGAAAGCACGTCAAAGTGCAAGTAGATAAATAGGTACCGCTCCGGCGGGAAGGTAAACGGCGTTTCCGTGCGCTGCTCTGGTTTGCCAGAAGCGGCTGAGTCATGCTGGCCACATGACCATGCTGGCCAATAAAGCGAGATGAGCGCCGCAACCCCAGAGTTGGTCAGACTGGACCTAATGGTCAGGGGTCCCTTTACCTTTACCTGGGACCTTATGGGAAAGGATAGCTAAGAAATCGAATAATTGTTATTAGTATTGGCATTATTACTATTTCGTCCTTCATCCAACAGGACTCTGCTGCATTATGCTGCAATCTGTAGGTGCAGAGCTCAGGAGAAACAGCAGAGCACCCTTCTTTTTTTTTGCATGGATAGTTGGAAGTAGGCCTCATTAAGTTCAGTGGGATTTGCTCCCAAGTTCTTGTCAGAGCACTACAATATTAATTTCTTCAAGGTGTTATTATCCTTGAATTGATAGCTTTACATCTAGAGTTCTGGATCAGCAAGCTGCCTGAAAAATGGCACCTTGCCCGGGAGTCTGCTATGGCGGAGGATTGTGACTCCAAACTATTGTTTGTGTATCTTGCTAGCTTCAGATTGTTAGGCCCAGGTAGTGCAGTCTTAGCAATGATAACAATAATCACCTCCCCGCTTTCCACAGTGCCAAGTAAACTTCCCAAACTCTTGTCAGCCTGGAAAGAGCCCAGTTTCTCAGCAGTATCTTGGAGCCTTATTAAGTTACCGTATTTTTCGCTCTATAAGACGTACCAGACCACAAGACGCACCTAGTTTTTGGAGGAGGAAAACAAGAAAAAAAATATTCTGAATCTCAGAAGCCAGAACAGCAAGAGGGATTGCTGCGCAGTGAAAGCAGCAATCCCTCTTGCTGTTCTGGCTTCTGTGATAGCTGTGCAGCCTGCATTTGCTCCATAAGACGCACACACATTTCCCCTTACTTTTTAGGAGGGAAAAAGTGAGTCTTATAGAGCAAAAAATACGGTAATTAAGTCCGTCTGTGCAGCACCTGGTCTAGAGATTTTTTGGTTCCATTTTGCTACGCACTGATCATATTTGCTTTACAATGGAAGGTTGCAGCTGACACTACAGCCCAGCATTTCTGTACTCAAGCCATTTTTGACATTGTTTTATTTTATTTTTGTATGAAGCACATTTTAGACAATAATTATGCTTCTTTAACAGCCCTTAATTTACTCTTTGATTATAAATGTCAAACGAACCAGAGAACTATTCATGCATTTGTTTCAAGTATATTTATATTTCATTTACTATGCATGCTCATCAGGGAGTGAACCCCCATTGAACACAGTGGGACTTGCTTCTGAAGTAAATATGCATGGTGGCGCACCGTTAGAAATGTCAACCTGGGCTGATTAGTGAGGTAGCAAAGAGCTGATTCACGCATGCTAATCTCTTGATTATTTAGTCCTTTGTTCCTCTAACTCCGTGGGCTTGGAACCAGACGGCTCTCTGCCTGGCCGCAACCGTTATTTTATGGTTGAGGTAGGATTGGAACTCGGGAACATCAGACATATCGCTCTGTCCACAAGTCCCCATTGGTTCTCTAGCACATTCTTGGGTTCCATCCGGATTCCTTGTAGCTGTCAAATCATGAAACATATTATTCATCACACTGCTCAGTTTTGGGGAGAGGATGCAGAAGTTCAGTCTTCTATTCACAGGCAGGAGGAGCTGTGGGTCAGTGTTAGAGCACGTGCTTTGCTGGTAGATGGTCCTAGGTTCAGTCACTGGCAAGGCATGTTAAAGGGAATTAGGTAGCAGGTGGCAGGAAATACTTCTAACTGAGACTCTGTAGTGCTCTTTCCATTTAGAGTAGTCTGGACTGGGCTGCTGTACTGGGCTGGTTGGGCAAATATTTATTTATTTATAATAAATAAATTATAATTTTTCAGTTTCTCAAAAATATTTTGACAAAAATACAGATCCAATATTTCCCAACAAATATGTTTATTTTGACTCCCCCCCCACTCCTTTTGTGGTTTCTTATATTTTTTAAATTTGTAACACTGCATTTCCTTCATTATTCCAATTATTAATTACTCCCTAGTTTTCCTTTAGCATTAATTTTAACTGTCTGGTTTAAGTTAAGCCTGCTAACGAACTTATATGTGTACAGTGCTACCTCGGGTTACATACACTTCAGGTTACATATGCTTCAGGTTACAGACTCTGCTAACCCAGAAATAGTATCTCAGGTTAAGAACTTTGCTTCAGGATGAGAACAGAAATCGTGCGGCAGCAGCGGGAGGCCCCATTAGCTAAAGTGGTGCTTCAGGTTAAGAACAGTTTCAGGTAAAGAACAGACCTCCAGAATGAATTAAATTCTTAACCTGAGGTAACATTTCAGATAATCCACAAATTTCTCCCAGTCTTTGATGAAGTTTTTTGGACAAATATTTATTTATTAAATTTGTATACCTCCCTATACCTGTAGATCTCCGGGCAGTTCACAGCATAATAGTCTGATAAAAGGTAGGTCCCTATGTTCCTCCTAGGAAGAAATCCTCCTTATACTAAATATCTCTAAAGCCGATTCATAACTTTCCTTTGGTGTGTAGGGTCTACACACAGTGGGACACAGGAGCAAGCTTCAGGCTTGCATGGCTATCGCTATTGTGTTTAAAATTCACCTGTGAATAAGGGACTCAGGCACCTCCACTAAAAATGAGAGGACAAGGATCATAGGTGTTGTGTAGCCATATGTACCCTGGGAGTGTCGTGTTATGTCTGTTGTTCCCTCAGGGCAGACATTTCTGCTTGCCAGGCAGAATGATCGCCCCTCTCCTCTCCCCACGTCCTGTTCTGGGGGGTTCTCCCGATCTCCGCAGGGCTATTTTTTGGGGGGTGCACGTGGGGACAAAAGGGGGAAAGCTTCCTGTTGCAAAGGTGGAAGTTAGGCTTCTACAGATGGGAATCATTAGCTGAATCCACAGGAACCTTGGGTTCAAGGGTTCAAGGTCCCTTCACTTCCCCCATAAAATATTTGAGGAGGCAGTGCCCTCTCAAAATTGATGGGCGTTGCCATTCAAATGGTGTGTGTGTCTTGTGATCAATTATGGAGTTTATTCAAGTTGGTGCCCCTGGCTGAATCCCGCCCTCTGCAGTAGCTTGGGGGTCATTCCTGTGCACTTCTGAGGGTTGAAATGTGAACCTGCTCTCAGATTTCAGTCTTGGGCTTTTGGCACAGTTAGGGAAGCTGTGGCCATTGGCCTAGTATCAAATTCCAAGCATTTAATCTGGCTCCTCCCACTTTGGTGTTGCTCTGGCAACTGCTGGCTGTGACCCCACCCACTATTCTCAGGTGCCCCTAACACAGGCTTCCTCAAACTCGGCCCTCCAGATGTTTTGAGATTAGCTAGGGATCATGGGAGTTGTAGGCCAAAAACATCTGTAGGGCCGAGTTTGAGGAAGCCTGCCCTAACAGATTATTCTGTGGAAATGAGGCTCTTGACAGCAAAAACAGATTCCCTACACCTGTTTTTTTAGGAACAGGAAGTTGTTAGACACCTCCCTGTTGTGAGTTTCTTGCAACTTCCTGAAGAATGAAGCTGGCTGCTTTTAGAACCGCCATCTTGTGCAGTGTAATGATTTTGCACCATTTTAAAAAGGCGTTTCCTACATAAATCCATCCGTTTCACATATAGCAGGAAGTCTGCGGAAACTCAAGTCTCTTTTGAAAACATAAAGAATCAGGGTCAGTTTGCATCCATTTATCTCTGAAAAGAACAATTCTGTCCTCGCGGAGAGATGGAGTGGATGATTTAATAGAACTTGCCCATTCCCAACTTTCCGTGATTGCCTTTGTCCGGATTTGCAGATGCACAATCCAGTGCATAAATTGTGATAGTAGGTTAGTCATTTGCACTTCAAAAGCAACGCGCTTCACTGAATAAGAAACTGCAGAGCACTCAGTTCTGATGTATTCAGAAGCTTAAACAAAATGATTTCCTTGGGAGTTAAAAAGGAGAGTGTTATTGAATGGGGCAGTTTACTGCGCTCTCTAGAGCTAGCGTGAAATTGAGGGTTGGTTTGGGGGTTTTTTTGGTAAACAATTACAAAAAAAAATGCCTTTAGTTTCATAAATTTCCATCTCTAATCTTTCAGATGGAAGGCTGCGTGCACTCCCAATACACTGAAAAGTCAATTTCCACTTTCATCAAGGGTAAACACCATTCATTGAGCCAAAACAACTTCCATGGTTTGCCTTTCTTTCTCTCTTTTCTAAAACAGCTGACTTTTACATCTGAGCCTCTTGTCCATTCTACACCGGAACAAATGACCTGATCCATCCTTTATATAGGATAAGGCTGTTAATGGCTACCAGCCATGATGTCTAGGTAGATAGATGATATATATGGATTATTTATGGATTATTTTATTGATACACCAGAAGAAGTGGTTAATTCAATTGAAACACTAAGTGTCTGGGTTCAGACCGTTTAAAAGCTGGTATGGTAAAAACCTCAGACAAAAACAGTTCAGCTAATAAATATGGAAGGAATAGCTTAGATTAAAAGTGGTGAATCTCTTTCACTGTTGCGGCTTCCTAAAAACTGGCTCCAGGGAGGAATCTGTAGGAAATAAGCGATGCTCATATTGGTGGCCATATTTTAACTATGTGCTATGTGAAGAAGTTACTCCTTGGACTTCTGCAAATGTCGCATTACTTCTAGGTTGCTGATACCTCCCTCTTGTGCTTAGGAGTCAACTCCTAGGAGCCAACCCCACCCATAAAATATTTGAGGAAGTTGATGGGCATTGCCATTCATGTGCCACATCATGTGATTGCTTATGCTGGGCGGGGCTTACCTGCCGCTCCCCCCAATATTTAATTCAAGTTGACACCCCTGCTCATGTGTATGGGGGCTGATCATCAGTCACAGCCTGAGCACCACAATGAGAAGGAGTGAAAATTAATGAGGAGGTCACGGAAGATCTGCAAAATATATTGAAAAGCATTGAAAGTACTCAATTAATTGAGATTCTCTCCCCCCCCAGCAGATGCCTGCCCCCCAAACAAATCCTGCCCACGCCCATGGTCCTCCATGGTCATATGGATTTCCTTCCACCACACTCCTGTTGGATAAATGCAGAACAATTTCCACCAGATTAGCACCTGGAAAGATCTGCGTTTTGTCTTTACGCACTATCACATAGAAAAATTGGGAAAGATGGTCACAAAAGTTGATGTCACGTTCCGGCGTGAGCAAGTGGTCAAAGGAAACGAGGCTGGCGCTGGGATGTCCTGAAAGGGCAGCTTGAGTCCTGTTTTGCAGGAGTGCAACTTTCTTTTAAGACACACTTCTCATTTCCTCCATCAACATTTTCTGCTTTCGTTGTTAAAAGGGAATAATTTGCAACATGTGTCCCATCTCCCTGAAGCAACACGATCGTCACTTGTACAAATTACTCCGATACGGCTGTGCAGCAAAGCGAGCAGAGCAAATTGTATGCAGGGTTGATTTTTGCTGCTGCTGCTGCTGCTAAATCATATCATAGAAATGATTTCTGATTGTTCCGACACATGTGGGATTTCTTTGTGCATTTTCGAAGCATCAACTAAATAAATACTGCGCGGTTCATTTCTAACGTAAATTTATTACTTGTTGTAGGGTTGGATCAAATTCCTCGACTCAGTTTGTAGGTGGTGAAATCAGGGGTTGGAGTATTTTGCTCTGGGAGAGTGTAGTGTAGTAAACAGGACACACCCCCCCAGCAAATACCCAGAAATTTGTCTTCTGATTATTATTTTCTGCTCAAAACTCTATTCCTTGTTCATACAGGTAGATGAAGGAAGTGGTGGGGAAGAGTAGGGCACAGATACTACTGTCAACAATATATAAATTGGGTTGGATCCACATTTGCACCCAGGTTTTCCACTGTGTTGTTGGGTAGAAGGTGCATTTTTCCAACAGTTCAGCTGGGGGAGAGGGCAGAAAAGAAAACCCTCAGAGAGTTTGTTAGAAAATAATTTTCAGGTTTCCTTTTTCCATTTAGCTCTGCTCACGTTTATATAGTAGCCGTCACCATGCACGGCATTCTACAGAAGACAGGCCCCTGCCCTGAGGAGCTTACAATAGAAAATTGGATGCAGGTGAAACAGAAGAAGGGCTGGGGAAGATTCCTGCATTGCTGTGGGTTGGACTAGATGACCCTCGGGATCCCTTCCAACTCTGCAATATCACGATTCTATGATTATGTGGTTTGTTCTGCTCAGGCTGGATTATAGGCCTGGTACAATGTTGGAACTAGAACTTGGAGCCAAGGCTTTATCCTTCTGCCGTTCTTCCCAATTCTCCACACAGGAACGTTACACCTGCCCCAGTTTTGCACCGCATCCAAAGGAGCCTGCCTTCGTTGCTCAGACAAATGGCAACTACCTGGCCTTGTTCTCTAGCCTGCGGCCCTACAGAATGAACAAAAAGAAGATATACGAAGGGCACAAGGTATCCTCCCCTCTCTGCAAACTCGTAATAGATCTTGCCCTTTTAAATGCCTGCTTATGCTTCTGATTTACAGCGGGGATAAAAATTAATCGACTTCAACCCTGTTCTATATTTTAGTTAATTTAGAACTAAACTGAGGAGCGAGTAGAGCTTAAAATACCTGCAAGTGTTATTAGTTGCTAATAGCCTTGTCACGTATAAACCGGCTGCCGCTAACAATGTAAAGTCCTTAATGGGACTGTCTTAATAAACACCTAGGGAAGCAATTAGGCCATTATGGTAAAAACTGACATGTTTATTACACTATGAATTTTTGGGAGGTTATAGATCATATCCCATTTCCTTAATTAACATCTTGATTTATTTAACCTCTTTCGATTCCGGATTCTTGCAGGTTGAAGGATTTGCGATAGGCTGCGAGTTTTCCCCCGACGGAATGCTGCTTGTCACGGGGAGTTCGGAGGGCAAAGTGTTTTTCTACAACTATCGCACGGCTCGGATCATTCGCACACTGTCCGCGCAAAGCCAGGCCTGCGTGTGTGCAACTTTCCATCCAGTCCTTCCGTCGCTCCTTGCTACATGTGGCTGGGACGGAGTCATCAAGATCTGGCAATGATAATATCAGTGATCTTAAAAATCAACTATATATATGTCCTGTGTTTTGAAGTTTGCTCCAAGTTTACTCTAGAGCAGGGTTTCCCAAACTTGGGTCTCTAGCTGTTTTTGGACTACAATTCCCATCATCCCTGACCATTGGTCCTGATAGCTAGGGATCATGGGAGTTGTAGTCCCAAAACATCTAGCGACCCAGGTTTGTGAAACCCTACTCTAGAATGCTGCTGGCTCAACCATACAGGTGCCCAACTTGCTTAGCTCGTTGTTGTTTTCAAACATTGCCTGGAGCTGTGATACTCTAGGGCAGTGATTCCCAAACATTTTGAGAGCACAGCCTCTTTGGTTCCATAAACTCATCCCCAATGCCCTCTACCCTACCCTACAAAGTGCATTGTTCAGAATAGTGGTTTGCATGACCCACTAAGGGAGATATTAACACAATGAAATTCGAAGCAGGAGCAATGAATTGCATGTTTATTCAAAACCCGGTTAAATCTATTTAATTCAACAAAATTGGTGAACTTGATCTAATGGTGCCAGCTTTTCAAAGTCTGATCGTAATTGACACCTCCAGCACCCACTTCCCCGCTACCCTCTTGCATCTTAACGTCCACATTTGGAACCATTGCTCTACTGCATCTTGATGCTCACTGAGCTGTGGTTTCCTTGCAGAATACTACTAAATCTGTACCTGTGACTAGTTTCCACCCTCTTGCTGCTGTAGTTAATGAGGGAAAGAGCTTCCAAAGTGAATGAGTGACTAGCCCGCAGCCCCATGCCTATACAGTCTAGCTGCCATGACTCACTACAGAATGCACAAAACCTGTAACTAGAAGTGATTAAGAAAGGTTCGGAGTCAAGGTTAGGTCCCACTGGGAGCATCGAAATGTGACCCTCTTTAAACTTGGTTGAATCTACACTTTAGCCTTTAAACCTTTTCTGTCCTAGAGACTAGAGGTGATTTTCTTTCTTTCTCCTGCTTAGCTAAAGCTGAACTTAAGTCCTTTTCTCTTTACAACAGTTCCAGCCCTTTATCAGTACATGATTTGGCCTTGCAGGAGTTTCTGTTTTGAGTCCTCGGCTAAGTCATGCTAATGGGCTCAGCGCTGTGGCCGATGCAACCACAGAGACTTTTCTGGCACAGGTTACTGCCATTAAGGGTCTTGCGGGGAGTTCTACTTACAAATTGCGTTTGGGGCCTGTATGATTTGGATGCGAGTTGCTTCCATATGAGCAGAAGTTTCTACAGAGGAGCTGCACTTTTAAGACTGTAGCTTTCATATAAGACAGAGATTGTCATAGCAGAGCTGGCAGTAGAAAGGAAAACGGAAACAGTATTTTAAGTTCGTGATCCCTGTTTCCATGCCACTGACGTTCAATACTGGATAGGCTTCTTAGCCTAAAATGCAGTTATGTTTATGTATTTAACAAGTCTCAGCCAGTATGTTTTCATTATGTGTGCTGAGCACCAGTGTTCTGTGCATTGTGGAGGATGTGTCTTCATCAGCTGTGGCATTTCTCCAGGGTCAAGGCATGGCTTTATATTATTATTATTATTATTATTATTATTATTCCCCTCCCACCATCTGCCTGGGTTTCCCCAGCCACTCTGGTGTGAGCCATCACTGAGAGATGTCAGAGGCCAGCTTTTCTGCAGAGTGATTTGCATGAGAACCAGCGGAACTTGCATTGATCTGCCATAGATGGCGGGTAAGAACTCAGCCATTTGTACTACACACCTTTCATGCCAGACCCAAAGCGCTTGTATACGTTTATTCTGTGTAAATAAGAGTGCATAGTTTTATGTTGTGCTGAGGTGAAAATTGTTAAATGTTGAAATGTATAAAGGAATCGATGAAGATACTGTAAAATGTCAAATAAAAACTTTTTTAAAAAAGAAAATAGCAAAGAAGGTAAACTAGGGCAATCCTTGCTTCCTTGTTTGTTTCCTGTGCTCATATTCCTTGGCAAACCTATTTACTCTTTTTTGTTTTTTGCATTGACTGGGTGTGTTTATTGATCAGGTTTTTTTCTGGGCACAGCTGTGATGAAAGTTATTGACACAATAGCATTTTAGTTCTTTACATTTTGTAGGACATGGACTTCCATTGAACAAAGGTTACGTTAAGGACATGGCTGACTCGGATGTGTCTTTCTTTCTTTCTTTCTTTCTTTCTTTCTTTCTTTCTTTCTTTCTTTCTTTGAGGTTATGTTATTTTCCTGTCACACGCTTCCAAAAAGCTCTCGGAGCCGCTTACAGTATATCGTAAAAACACTTAGCAGCGATAAAACGTATAACAGCAATAAGTAAAGTGCAACAGAGCCCAAGTCTAAAACAGTACAAGTCTAAAACAGTACAAAAGCAACTTAAGAGAAACAACCAACACAATTAAAAAGCAAGTACTGCCTTCTCTGCCCACCTACAAAAAAGTTTTCTGAAACAAGAAAGGAAAACCCTTGCAGTTTTCCTAAATATTAGGATAGAAATAACCTGACAAGTTGCTCTGCAGAGGGAATTCTGCTTAAAACAGGAGTAGGCAAATGAATGAGGATAAGACTTTCAGTGGCTACCAAACATGATGCCTATCCTGTGCCTCCACTGTCCAAGACAGAATGCTTCTGAATATCAGTTGCTGGATTTTGCGGATGGGGCTCAGGTCCTGCTTGCAAGCTTCCCATCTATGGAGAGCCAGTGTGGTGTAGTGGTGAAGAGCAGTGGACTCGTAATCTGGTGAACCAGGTTCGCGTCCCCGCTCCTCCACATTGCAGCTGCTGGGTGACCTTGGGCTAGTCACACTTCTTTGAAGTCTCTCAGCCCCACTCACCTCACAGAGTGTTTGTTGTGGGGGTGGAAGGGAAAGGAGATTGTTAGCTGCTTTGAGACTCCTTAGGGTAGTGATAAAGCGGGATATCAAATCCAAACTCTTCTTCTTCATCTGGTTGGCCACTGAAAAACTTTTGTGGAGTCAGTTCCATGCTGGTTTTGACCTTTAAAGCCCTATGCGGTCTAGGACCCTTGTACTTACGGGACCGCCTCTCCTGGTATGTCCCTGCAGCAGGACCCAGCAACTTTAATATCTGTACCATCATGGCAGATTGCTGGAGAAGAGACCTGCTGGCCTGCTCTATGCTGTACTACAGCACCACCCTTGCAAATGGTCAGAGGAGGTACTACAACTTCTTAGAGGTTGGTACAACAAATCATCAGGAATCAGTAGATTATAGTCTGGTGCTGCTTTGACTCTTCAGTCTGATCGGGGTGTTTCTTAGACACAGAATGAGTCCAGTCTGCTGTCCCCGGCTTGTCTCCCCACCTCCCTTCCTTCAGATCCGTCACGGGAAACAGAAGGGACGATTTCAGAAAGAAATCGATCTGATTTGTTGGGTGTTTCACTGACGAGAACCGAGCGCCTAAGCTTTCCTCCCAGGTCTTCCTCCTGTTCAGTTTTGTCTCGGAGACTCTTGTTTCTCCACTGCGAGGCTTTGAATTAATTTGGTACCTTTTGTATTTGAGCGTTTACAGGTTGGCGAAGTTTGAAAAGCACAGGAGTAGCTATTTGGGCCCACCTGTGGGTTTGCAGAGTGGCAGAGTAGGTACAATCTTCATTTTAAAGCCTCATTTTCTGAATAGGTCTGCTGCTGAGCTAGGAGTGTGGGCCTGGTGAGCAAGACAGACCATGCCACTTACGTCTCATAATAGGACTTGAAGTTAGGGGGATCTAACAGTTGGGCTTGAGGCGGGAGGTAAGAATTCCTGAGGATTTACGCCTCCCTTTCTGTACTCATCACTGTCAATTTTCTCTTAGCCAACCTTCTTCAGCCTTGAGTCCCCAAAAGCTCTCCATCCCCAGCTGGCTTAGCCAATAGCAAAGGTTGATGGGATCTGTGGTCCAACAGTGTAGTGATCAGGTGGGATTGCTATGAGGAATTATAACAAATATAGAGTAAGCCATCTGTGTCAGCAATGAAAGCATTGTGTTGACTGGGTTTAAGCTATTTTGATATGATTCTTGATCAATCCACAAGTTTCTTCACAAGTCACATACACACTTAGACAGGCAGGCGTCCTAGGTCATCAAAGACAGTGGGCAGTTTCTTTGCTGTAGCTTTTCTGATATGTTAATCTTAGGATGTTAATCTTAGGGCCAGGAAACAGGTCTCACATAAAGGTGATAATGATTGCTGTCCTCCTGGCCATCCTTCTTATCATGTGTATTGATTGTTCATGACATCCGGGGTTGCTGAATGCACTCCTTTGTAGTTTTCATTCATTTACCCCAAAGTATGCATGCCTAACTAGTGTTTGTAGTTTAACTTTGTCCCCACGTGGGGTTTGTTGAAATGCTCAGAAGAAATCTGATTGATTCTTACGAACACTGTAAAAGTTATTTTGTGAATAAAACGACCTGGGCCGAGGGGTGGGGCAGAGAGATTATTATATGCACCCTTCCCAGAGTCTTGCTGGTTCAAGCCTCTGTGTGTATTCTTATTAATCAGAGTTCAATCCTTCCTTTACTTTGAGAACTCCTCACAACAGCATCTTTGGAACCAAGGCTAAGGAATGCCGTAGTAAGCAATATTAATTTTCTTAATGAAGTTATCGTTTATCCGGTCCCTCCTACGTTGTTTCAGAGATCATGGCAGCCATGGATATCCTCTGTGTCATCCTTCCCATTATCAGCAAATACAGAATTATAGAGTTGGAAGCGGCCCCAAGGGCCATCTAGTCCAACCCCCCGCATGCAGGAATTTCAACTGAAGCCTCCATGACAGCTGTCCATCCAATCTCTGCTTCAAAACCTCCACTGAAGGAGAGTCCACCGCTTCCTGAGGGAATCCGTTCCACCATCAGAACAGCTCTTACCACCAGAAAGTTCTTCCTGATGTTTAGACGGAATATCCTTTCCTTTAACTTGGTTCAAGTCCTACCCTCTGCAGCAGCAGAAGAGTAGCTTTCTCTATCTTGCATGTGACAGCCCTTTAGATATAGGAAGACGGCTA